TTCAGCTGTTAAGGACGACAAAACGTTACAAAATGAGAAAGAAATTAAAGGTCACCCATTCAAGGAATGAATTTCAACAGACACATTTCATGCCAGATAAAGAATTAAACTAAAATCATCTTATGATGGGAAGAGACAGGTATAGATGTTTTGCTCAAATGATGTAAAATGTGCAATCTCATGCAAGATTTGTTAGCTCTTGAAGGATGTGTTGAGGAAGACCTGCAGCTACTACCACACCAAATGTTAGCACAATATCTATAAAAATACAGTCATAGTCATTTATGGGCTAACAAACCTTAGTTAGCTTTGGTGACCATCTTGAATTGAGTGAACTCAAAAAGTTAATCAGTTGAAGGTGTGCCCGTACATATTATAAGTTTTATTAAAACCTATCTGGTGGTTTATGAGATATTTTGCTAACAGACATGGTTACCTTAATGGCAAAGTTTTAAGCAGAAATATTGCACAATGTGCTAGGAATATGTTTTAGTGATGATGCTCATACTAATTATTTCATTCAACCTTTATTTAGACAGGTAAATCCCATTGAGTCTCGAGGACTCATTTACAAGAGAGACCTGATTTCAACAAAGAATGATGACAACGATGGACAACAGTGACAACAATAAACAGTTATAAAAAGTCATACAGATTTTTTTTTTTAAAACAAATAGGATGGCTAAAAAAAAAGGTAACAAAAAACAGCTAGATTCTAAGACGAATATAGAAAACTAAAAACAGGAACGTGTCTCCATTGGTCCCTTCCAGGAGTCCAACAGATTCTTAAAGACATTTGAGAGGTCAAGGTCGAGAGCTTCAGATCTTTTTGTCAGATAATCCAGGAAACAGGAGCAGAGTAGGAGAAGGCCCTTTTGCCTAGTTCAGTCCTCACTGAGGGAACACTGCAGGTAATAATGTCCTGAGAGTGCACGCTGTAGCTGCACTCACGCAGAGACATAGAGGAGGAGATGTATGAAGGCAGCAGACCAAGAAGTGATTTAAAAATGAAAACGTACCAGTGAGAGAGTCTGCAAATGCACTGAATAGCTCAATGTCTGTAAATGTGGCTAGATTATATGTTCAGAATCAGAATCAGAATAAACTTTATTATCATTGTACCAGGATACAGTGAAATTATGTTTGTACGGTCGACTGAAAGATTTGCAATAGACAAAGCTTTGTCCCTAGTTACCCATGTCCCAGGAGAAATTTGATAGCCGCAAGTATTCAAGGTCAAACAGGGGAGTCAGATTCAGATAAGCTACAATTGTTGATTTTCTTCAGGCAGACTGTTTTTCCTCGTCAGCCTCGAGTCCTGCTGGAACTTTCCTGGTCCAAAATGACCAGATTTATGGGTGTCCACTCCACTGATCGGTGTTATGAGCCTTCCTCAAGGTTGATCCCAACATGCTGATGAGTCCTAGAAGCCGCAGGTGGCCTGCAATTCTCACAAATCGCATCCATCTTATGGTTTAGCTCATAAATCAGCTGATTTTGAGTACTTATAGCACAAACCAAACCTTCACACAGGCTCAGAAGTTTTGCCGTGGCCGAAACTGCTGCAGATGTCTTCTTCAAAAGTTGATAAAACAGAGCCTTGCCAATGCCAAAGAGCAGAACCCCTGCTATCATAAATCCAAATATATAAACGTCTTCAGCATCCTCCTGAGACAGAACTGAGAGACACATCAGCTGCCAAACTCCCCATGGATCTCTGACGTACCCCGCAGCGTGGGTCTCAGCTGGACAAGAGGGTTCTCCAGGACCCTGTCGTTTTGTTGAAAAGATTTTGTCGAGTGCATTGAAAGTCCAGCTCACCAGATCCATAATACTATTTTTTGTTCCAGAGATGTGTACCAGGAGCTTCAAGACACACAAAGAGCAAAGCAGGAGGAAGAGGAGAACATGGGGAGGGAGAGCAGGAGTGTCTGCCTTGATCGAGAAAAGGAGAAATAAAAAATGTGTTTCCTATAAGGTTAGTTGACTGTGGCGGCCATCTTGTATTGGTTAACTCCAAAAGTTAACAGTGGATGTATAATGATTACTTTTTGAGTTTCAGTAAAATCCTTTGCTAACCCTACCAACGACTCACACGTGATTAAAAACAACATTACTGTCTTTCACCTTCTAGCAGATAATAAGTACGCTTTTGCATAATAAAAACACTAATATGTGGGTTGATGCCTTGAGTAGCTTTTACTCACAGTACATAAAAATACTAGTAATACTGTGGCGCCAGAACCAAAGATTAATATCTGGAGCTCCTTTGAGTCGTTCAAGTTGCAAGTTAGAGACAGCATGGATGTGTGGTTGGGTGTTTTGCTGCAGAGAGCCATGAACACAGTCAGTGTGTTTCTTGTTAAGCTGCTTACACACATGATGAGTCATTTACAAGAGTCAGCTTCTCACTGAACACTTAATATACCCGAACCCTTCAGTATTTATCACTACAAGATGATCAGCATTATATTTATCGCTCAGTGGGCTCGCGTGGTTTGTATGAGTTGATTTAAAAACATTAACAAATTGATTGTGTATAAAAGGTAAAAGTGTGAACAATGTTTTAATGATTGAATTTTTAATGGGCCTCATCATAGACTGATGAAAATGATTTGATCCTAACTGTGCCAAAGGCTGCTTGAGACCTCTTCATCAGAGTCATTCAAGCAAAAAGTCAATAAAACACTGCAATTAGGCCTGCTCTTTAAAAATCTGAGGCTGTCTAATTGACTATGTATTGGAGCAGAACAGTAAAATTCCCTCCAGCAAGTTTAATATAATTGACAAGAAGCACGCTTTAAGTTCAGAAACGCTAAATGATCTCTTATCAATACAGCTGGATAATAAGAGTTTAGATTTGAGGCCTTTGAACCGTTCAATTTATTTTCATCAAGTGTCTCTTTGAAACTGCTCATCACTTTTTATAATAGCATCTTTATAAAAGCTCACGGTGCTCGCTGAGCACGACGTGGAGCCGCACATCAAACAGAGCCTGGTCAAAAAGCAAAGCACTCAATATCTCATAGGAGTGAATTTAATGGCCACTGGTTGCACTGGGCTCTTGACCCTCTACGAGAGTGTTAGTCACTCTCCAGTGCTTCCCAATTGAAACACAGCCAGACTGGCGGTAGATGAGATTTCAACTGTCTACTCGAAGCCTGGATGACAGCGGCACCAGCGGATCAGGACTCCCAGTGATGCTCAGGTAATAAGAGATGGGGAGTCAAACTGGATGCTGGGAGAAACAGATTGTTTTTAATTATCGTTTGCATGACCTGCAGCTTCATGTTCCTCTGTCCTAGAGATTTAAACTGCACCTGACTGCATTATTGATGTGGACCAAAGACCAAAATCAGTACAACTTCACAAAACAGGCCCATTCAAAAAGAATTAATGTCCGTTAATGTGTTTGTAAATGCTTAATAATTATTACCCATCAGTTATAGAACAGCACCATTTATCACACTTAAATTAAACCAGTTGTGAAGTATTTATGTTCATTTCTGTCATTTCAGTTTTAAATATCAGATTTCAATATAAGAGCAGATTTTATATGCAAAATACATTGATACAATTTTAGTTAAAAATTGGTTAAAAAAAAAAAAAACTAAATGAAAAAAACACAAAGTTTGTTTTCTCAGTCATCCAGGTATATAACAACAAAAGGGGACTTCAGGGGTATCTGAGGCAGGCTTGAAACACAAGAGTCAGGGTGGCTTCTGGGTAATACCAGATGGCTAGGCCTCAGACTGACGAAGCCTCTTGGATGAGGGGCGAAACGTTTCTTTTTTAACAAAAAAACGAAGTCCAGATGACATGATTCAACCTTTTTTGTTTTTAAATGAAAAAAGTTGTATGCTTGAATAAGTAAAAGCACTTGATCCTGCCAAATGGTTATAAAATATGTTTAAAGAAAAAGTTTAAAGTCTAAGTATGGTAATTAAATTCATTATAAATAAACCTGTGAAAAGTGGTACTCCAAAAATAATTTAGTTTGTACCCAAGTTGAACATTGTTTCTAAAGCAATTTATTAGTTTTGCGAGTAAAATGTTCCGTCACATAATGTAAAATATAAAAAAGAAAAAACAATATAAAATCTCACATTTGTCAATGAACCTGAATCTTGTGTTGGTTAATAAAACTTTTTTTTTTTTTAGCTCACAGATCATTTGTAAATATAAAGATGTGGAGAATCATCCCATCTGCTCAGCTCATCTGCAGATTTTTAATCGTCCCTGTGCTGCCATCTAGTGTCCACTTGTGGTATAGCTGCAGATGAAACGTGTCACGTGAGGGGTCACAATAGTTGTTTTTTCTCCTGAGTTTAACAGCGACTAAAATGCAAATGACATTTCAAACTCTATTTGAAGCATAATAATGCTTGGGCTGATGTTTTAATATACCGCATTATTTTACATTAGTGTATATCTTAGACCCTTATATACAGTTTCTTTTAATACTTTATATTTTCGCTATTTTTGGATGTAACTGGGACCTTGGGTACACAATTTCTTTCCACCTCATGTACCACATGTAATGTGAATGACAATAAAGAAACTTTAAGCTTAACATAATTTAATTAGGCAAACAAACTTAGAGCGATAAACACTTTATCCAAGTCATATGTGCCAAATTTCATACTGAACAGTCACAAAAGGCTTTTTTTAAACTTGTAACAAGTGCCTTTTTTCAGAACACAAAATATTTTACAAAAGCTTTGGTGACCTATGTATACATATCTTTTGCATAGAAAAGTACAGAAAAGGTTTAAATATTATGATAAAAGAGCTAAATGTATAAAAAAAACAACAGTTCAGATTATTGCACAACAGCCAGGTGAAGACCGAGGAGGGGAGCCATCTCTGCTGCAGCCGTCAGTAGTTTTCAGGGTTTTCTGCGCCTGAAACAGAAACCACAGAGGATCAGACCTCTTGTCACACACTCCAGATTGTCAACTGAACAGTATTTTCTGATATGATACTGAATGTTTGCCGTATTACTTTGTAATCCCATGATGCTCATGTCCAGGTGCCATGTTTGACCCCGCCTTCATCTCCAAAGCCACCGAGCACTGGAGCAGAAAAATAAACAAAGATGAGAGATTTTAAAGTCTTAAATTTAAATTATATGACCAGCATAATAAAAACCATACAAAATAATTTGTATTTTCTTTCTTGATAAGTGTTAGCACAGTCACATGATCCGCCTCAGCTACAAACCCAATAAGATTTTTGCATCCAACATGTTAAGATGTTCACGTGATTTAAGAATCTTACCCTCGTCTCCACATCAGTCCAAGCACCATCCATTTGCTGTTTGTTGGCTGGAGTTCCTTCAGAAGACCTTCTTTTTCGGCTTTAAAGACAAAATTGACAATAAAAATAAATAAATCTATTGCCACATTTGCTATACTATTTTGCCCTTTAAAAACAACACTGGTGATTAGTGTACCAGGAGGTGTTTGGTGGGCAAAGTAAATATTAAAAAGTGCTTTACTGTTGAATCACTCAAGTTCTAACAGGAAATCTTTTCTATTTATTAACAACTTTAAATGGTGTCCAAAAAATACACCGTTCTTACTTTGGGGCTGAGGCGAGCTGCTGTTTAAGTGTCTCAATGTCCGTGAACTGAACAGCTTGTCCTCCTCCTCTGGTTTTAATCACATCCCCCTGAAAGGCAAAGAACAATTAGGTCATACTTTAACTAATAGCAGCAAAAATAAATAAACCTACTTAAGTTGATCAAAAAAGTATATTTAAAAAAATACACACACACACATATGGCAAGTCAATGCAAGCAGCAATTAACAAAAGTGAACATGTTATTACAATTTTTTTTCAATCTATAAATGAGTTTGGGTCAATGTCACACATAATGTCTCAGTTTATAAAGCAATGTCGACTCTACCTATTGAACCCCTGTATACTCCGTTAAAATACAGGACTTTTCATAGATATAACATTTTCATCAATCAAAAAGGGTTAAGCAACTTTTGCATATTTGCATCTTTTCGTATTCTGAACAAGCATAAACTCTTCTCAAACTTCAACACTCGTGGCTGCAGCTGCACCAACTTCTGCTCTCGCATCCAAAGTATAAAATGCTGTAATACTGGAGTAATTCAGCCATCAGTTGATAAACAGAGTAAAAATTAAGTTAGTAAATGTATTCAGCATTCTGCTGTTCACCTTAATAAGTTTGGTCTGTATCTCTCCATCTGATGCGACCTCCTGGTGTGTCAACACGTATTTGTCACACTTGGACAGGGCCTTCTCACTGGGCGCAGACACCTGGATGGCATTGGGGATGACCGGCTGCAGGACTGTGCCCAAGTCAAGGCTGGATGCAGGCTTGTGGTCCACCCATTTCTCCCCACCAGCAGAACGGGAGCGACGGTGCAGTGGTCGCACTGGTGTCGTCGTCTGCTCAGATTGAAAGGAACCATTTAAATAGAAGGACAAACGCAGCTTGGTGTAAAATTAATGTGTGAAAGATGATACGTTCAACTGTAGAAACTTTGTTCTAACTCTACACTGACCCTGTAGCTTCTCTCTAATTGATCTAGGACAGCAGGAGAGAGGCAGCACCCTCCTCTCTTGGACAAGCTGACTGAAGAACCTGCTGGAGACTGGGAATGATGAGCTGATCTAGGAGACTCAGCAGCCTGCCTGTAGTCTGGAGACTGAGCATTGGTTCTCTGGGTCGCAGACTGGGCTCTCAGAGCTGGAGACTGGGTTCTTGGGACTTGTCTAAGAGACTGAGAGCTCTGCCTGTTGTCTGGAGACTGAGTTTTGGTTCTCTGGATAACAAACTGGGATCTCTTGGCTGATTTAGGGGATTGGAAAGCCTGCCTGCTGTCTGGATCTGACCGCTGCTCCCATGAAGAGATGGAGCAAGCGACTGACAATGAGGTACTGCTGCTGGGCGATGGGCATGAGGATCTTGGAATCATCTCAAACATCTCAACCTCCTCAACTCTAAGGTCTCTGACTGCCTGCGGCTCTCTCACTGGACTGACATGAGGAGACTCAATGGGGCTCTGAGGAGCAAAAGTGGAAACATATTTAGCCAAAGGTTTGTATAGATTCATAAAGAAATGCATTTAGTAGAAACATGGACTAAGACATTTGTACAAGCTTGTATTTATCAACAACTGACACTATACAATTATCTTTAGCACCGTACACATGTACACTGCTGAACACGTTTCTAAATCAAAATTGAGCACCTTGATGCTTTTCATCTGAATCAAGTGTAGAACTTTGTCAAAATCATCATTGAGTTGGAACAGAGCGCATGTGTAAACAGCAGCAGTCACATTATAAATAAGGGTGGTTACGTTTGACAAATCAAATTATGGTACATTGGAAAAAACTAACAGCATTTTCTTTTTTTAAATATTAGGAAAATTAATTTTAAAGTATTTTTGCACCACAGCCCAAGCGCTGCAGAGAACTTCAGCACTTAGGCTGCCCATCAATGTTTTAAAACGTTCCCATCCACGGCTTCTTAAAATACTAGTTAGTTTCCTCGTTCTGACATGTGAAGAATTCCTCAAAACAGTGATAAAAATCGCCTTCAGGTAAAGTAAAATCATGTTTTTCAAGTGTTGTAATGAAAGCTACATGAACAAGAAATTTTAAGCTTTTGGATTTTTATTTTTTATTTTTCTGCCAGCAAGTGAATAATTATAGTCCAGCATAAGTTGTGTTGGACCAAAAGGTCTTCCCATTATTGTCATGCTTATTTAGTTTGGATGAAGGTTGAAAGTGTAAGCTGTCAAAGTGCAGGCTGGAGCATCTTTTTAGCTGCAGAGTCTTTGGAAAATACACAGCAGTCACTAAATATTTTTAGAACTAGTTAGAAAATCATATTCACTCTTTGGCTTTTCAATAATAATTAGAAACATTTGCGAGTTGCAGTAGGGTGGTGATGCAGCATGAAAACATTAACACCTGTATGACTTCCTTATGACATCTTATCCTAAAAACGATTTAAAGAAGATTTTGTAAACTTACTGGAAGAGGTGTGGGTGACGCTGATCTCTTAGTTGGGGGGCGTTCCTCTCTGGAGGGTCGCTGAGGGTGGGTCTGACGCGGTGGAGGATCAGGACGACCAGGAGTTTTGCTCTCTGCCACGATGGCTTTGAGTTGTTTAAACTTTTCATCTTTCACCCAGAGCTTGTTTTGCATCTCGAGCTGCATTGCATTAACACGTCTCTCCTGCACAAGAACATTAACATTTAATCAAATTATCACTCAGTTTAAAGTCTGATAATCAAAACCAACATACGTGAAGACAGGATCATATTTTTTAACTTCCAACAAGGTTAAAGTCAGGTCTTCTATAAACAGCACCTTCTCACAGTGGATCAACCAGTTTGATGTTGATATCCAGAACTAGCTGTTCACATGCAAAAGGAGGACCTCAGCCTAACGACGATCGTTAGAGCCCTGTCAATTGATCGTTAGTGCCAAGAAAGCCGCTTGCTATTCACATGCAAATAAACAGCATGCGCGTGAATAGCAACCTTTTGCATGTGAACAGCTAGTTCTGGATGTCAACAACAAACGGTTTGATCCACTATGAGAAGGTGCTGTGTTGCAGCTCCTCAGACTGAAGAAGTCCTTTGGGTAAAAGAAGAATCCGCCCAGAGGACCTGACTCAACCTTGTTAGATTTATCTACCTGGATTATTGAGCATGAACCTGGAAACTCACACATTCTTTTTCCCACTTGTGCTGAGTGTTTGAGACCACGCCGTGCATGCGCTGCTCCATGCGTCTCCTCTCAGACAGCTCCCTGTGCAGACGATGCTCTCTGGTCTCCAGCTCCTGCTGCAATGAACGCTTGTCGTCCTCGTAGATTTTAGTCGTTTTCTGCAAAATGTCGATCTGGAACAGAACCACACAAGGCATTTAGCAAACTAATCAAATCTCCAAATGATCTCTCCTGAAGTAGGTGGAATAAATTCGTCTCCAACCTTATGCTCCTGCATCTTGGCCTTCTTCTCTAAACGTTCAATCTCTGTCTTGTTGTTCTGGATGACTTTGTCTTTCTCCAAGAGTCTGCCATTTTGTTCATGAATCAAACAGTCTTTAGAACTTACATTCGAGTCCAGTTCCTGAAGCATAAACTTCATCGTGTTGGCTAAATTGGGGGGGGGAATGAAAAAATGAGCCATGATAGGAAAATTCAGTAGCTTGGTCAGGGGACTGAAAAGCTGAGCTCAAACGTGAGCAGGTACCTGCTTTGTTGTATTCTTCAGTCATCAGCTGCTTGATCTTGTGTCTGTTCCGCAGAGCTTCAATGAGACGAGGCAGGGTGACATCATCATTTGGGTCAGTCAGCTCAGAGGAGGGTAGAGGGGGTAGGCTGAGCACCAGGTTTCTTAAAACAGAGGAGGTCCCATCTAAAGAGCGAGCAAAAATCTGCAATTTACTACCCAAAAAAACAAGTTTTTATTTATTTAATTCCTTTGTAAATCCTTTAATGACATTTTCTTTCCTTACATTGCCTTTATTAAAAAAAATAATAATAATTGATGCCATTACTGTACTTTGATAGTTTTTATGGTGGACTTATTTAAACTTTTTTTTTTTTTACCTTTGTCTACTGGGCCACCACGCTCCTCTAACTTGCATGATAGCTCCTCTTTGAAGGCCTGGTTTCTATAGCGACGGCCTGGAGTAAAGCCACAAATGGGTTTGTCCATGGGACGAGCCACTTCCACCTCCTGGGTCATCTCTGCAAACCGCATCACCAGCTGCACAAACAGAGCACGTCTTGCTTATCTGACGAAACTAATTATTTTTGTCTGTATAATAAGGACTCGATGATCGTGTTGGAGCAACTTACCAATGTTTCCTCGTAGTCATCCGCCTTTGGATTGACGCAAACCACCATCCTGACCTTTCCTTCCCCATCAAAGTAGTTTTTAAACAGATGGGTTACTTTTGAATCTCTGTAGGGGACCATCTATGAACAGAAATCCAACATGAACTACAGTTTATCTTAATATAAGTGACGTTCGTCTTAGTCTGGAAACAAACCTTGTTTGTGCCACACGTTTGGTTTTCTCTGAGTATTTCGATGCAGGTTCGCAGATTCAGCAACGACTGATTAATGTTACCTGCAAAGTAAACCAGCATTAGGTCAGGTAAAACAAGGTTGAGAGTAAAATCAGGTCCTGCTGTTGGATAACAAACCTGCTTCACGTATCCGTGTGCCTTCTGCCCCCGTCCTGCCAGTGCGCTCACTTCCTGCCAAGTCCACCAGGCACAACTGACTAACAGTAACCTGGTTCTTATCCTGACGAATCAAAGTGACAAAACCGAATTGTGACGACTGTAATTCATCTCAGTTGGTATTACGACAGTGGTTCCAGCTGACCTGGAGAATGTTGTCACCATCGGCATCAAGAGGAGCCTGAGCCAGCTTGATGATGAACACGCTGTGCGAGCGACTCGACTCCCTGTTTAACCGAGTGTTTGCAACCTTCCTCTTCTTCTGACCTGGAGAGAGAGAGAAAAAAATATAACCACAAAAAAAAAAAAAAAAAAAAAAAGAAACAGCATAACAATTTGTTCTACAATTTCAACTCTTCCAATTTATGGCATCAAACTGATCCTTTAACTCATCTTCAACCTGCTCAGAGAGAAGATTAACTGAAGTCATTTCCTGGCCAGAGCTGACCCAGAGACCAGCAATTCCAGGTCAGACATATAAAATCATCACTGCAGTGTTAAAAACAAGAAGCTACGTTTATCACTTCACATTCAGCGATAGATCTTTACAGAAAACTCACCTTTCCAGAACACTTGAAAAGCTTCTTCTGCCGATTTAACCTCAACCTCCATGCAGCCGGCCACATACATGTTGTGATTCTGATCCTCTCGGAGGATTTTAGACTGAGGCGGTCTACAACAATAACAAACATGTTGAACTCCGAGTACCACAGAAAGAGACGATGTACATGAAGGTTTGCCATAACAAGGACGTCAAGCAGCAGAAGGCTACGACAAGGCAAACATTGAGAGGAGACACTGGCTGGCACAACATCACATTCACAGGTTTTGATAATCATGCAGGACGTTGAAGTTCACCACATGCTGCTTTCTAAATGTTAGAGAAGCAGTAAATACCTGAACAGTGCAAACATTTAGCATTAGGTGGGTCCTCCCAAACAAACTTGACTTTTAAAAAAATTTAACCAGCCTCTTAAGGAATTTATTCTACAGTTGTTACAAGAATTTGAGAAGTTTACAACCTTTTTATAATTTATATAGATGTGTAAATATTTAATATAAATACAAAAAAAGGTACCACAGTTTTTCAAATTAATGTTTTTGTTTTCTAGTGAAGAGTGAAAAAGTGAAGAGTTTATGAATAAAAATGTTAAGTTGTTATTTTTACAGTAAAACAGAAAATATCAAATTGCTGACGAGTCAAATAAACATGCAAACACACAGTCCTCATGTTTCACAGATGCACAAACAAGCCAGTAGAAAAAAAATATTGTCTTGGCATCCATTAGAATTTAAAGTTTGCTATTGGAAGCAGTTTATGCATTTTTCTAAAGATACCCAGCCTTGCGTTTAGGAAGCACTACTCACTACATCTGTGAAAATGTCTGCAGCATTAATGGCAAGGTTTGAGTTACTTTCTAAACGGTACATTTGTGTGCATAAGAAACAACGGCGTTAAACAACGCAGCTACTCTGGTGTCTGAGTATTCAAAGGCCACATACATGAACTCAGTGTTCTGGCGCACAGGTGTGCCTCCACCATTCCACCTAGTAAAAAGAAAAAGACAATAATTTTGTCTTCTAGCTACTCTGTGATTAAATTATTCAATGCTAAAACTACAGTATAACTAGTTGACAACCATTTTATGTGCAAACACATTTGAATACTCCAGTTTATTTTTAAAAACTCACTTGGGCTTGATTGCATCTTCAAAACTGTCCTCCAGGAGATCATAGATGTAGTTGTTGTAGATTTCTATGTAGGAAACAAAGATGCTGTAGCTGCTGTCCTCATCCACACAGTCTGCTTTACAAGCCTCCTCTGGCTGTAGCATGTCACTGATTTCAGGATCAATCTTTTGTCTAAAAGTAGAAACGTTATCAGTTGGACACATATGCAGACACGTTCTGCAGCGGAGCATTAAATGTCACAAGACTCATTCAGAGGTAAACAGTTATTATTAATAATGTTAAACATATTGAGAGCAATAAAAACTAAATCTGTGACAGGTTACATCAATCATGTCAAAACGCATTAAATATTTTAAGCCTGAAATGACAAACACTGTAAAGTGTTGTTTTTCTTTTTACCTGGAGGAGGGCGTTTTGGGAACAAACAAATTGTTCTCCCTTCTTTGGCGCTCCAACAAAGCATCAACCTCACACTGAATTTCCATGCCATTTTTATCATCAGTCTTAAAAACCTGGAGGAAAAAATACATTTGGATAAATACAGATTTTCTAAACCGTAAATGTGTATAGTTTCAAAACACTGTTTTACAAGCTGTTCTCTTACATATTTTTTGGCCTGGAGGGGACCAACACTGTTAAAAATCATGTCCAGGGAACGAGGCAGAAGTCCACCCAGACCCGGAGAACCAGTCATGGTGAAGGTCTTCCCACTTCCTGTCACCCCATATGTAAAAAGAAGACCTGCAACAAAAAATAAATTTAAAAAATATATATTTTTTTTCAATACTAGAAATACTGAACTAAAATGAAGAATTAAATAGATAAATCTTGAATTCTGACCTTACCATAGTTTATATAAGTGGAATAAAATGCAGCAGAATTAAAAAGGTAAACAACAACATGAACAAGCTATGGGTTGCTCTGTGCTCTTACCATTTTTTCCTTGAATCAGGTCATCAACAAGGGGTTTGGCCATACTTTCAAAAAGCTCTTTCTGTGATACAGACACTCCAAAGACCTTTTTGAACGAGTACTGCATCTGAGAAGATAGATTTGACAGTGCAATTTATTATGTGTTGTAAAAAAATTGATATTTTGTCAACTAGATAATATAAAATAAATAATTGTTTATCCCTCTGCGGTCTGTGCAAAACTCTAGTTTAAGGTTAACACAACACATTGTTCAAAAGACTTTAAGCATAGGTCTAAACTTGGTTGGATACTTTTATCCGACTTCATGCATCTGTAAAAAATAAAAATAAATTGTAAAAAAAAAAAAAAAAAAAGAGTCTAAACAATCTATTTTCTTAAAGCAGCCACAGCCCTATTAGCTTATAATAAACACCTGAATGTAACAGTAAGATAATGTGCAAGACTCTGGAACAGTCGTTCTCAAACTTTTCACAAGTAAAATAATCAGAAAATACTACGCTGCCCAAGTACAATCACCACAGTGGCATCACCACTTTAGTGAAAGGTTCCAAATAAACAACTGAACTGCCAAATTTAACCTGAAAACCAAACTTGCTTCTTCTTCCGAGTAACACATACTGGTAGTTCAATATGTAAAAATGCTTTGTTTGCTAAATAAAATTAATTATAGACGTTCTTCACATTTCAGCTTTTAGGACAAACAACGAAGTTATCTTGATTCAAGTGTGACAGTCTGTGCTTTGCCTTGGACTCCCTGATCACTGGTCTGATTCAAAGTTGGAGTCAGAGATTCTTTAGTCATTCACACCTCATGTGGTGGAGCAAAATTATGTACACGGGGTCCCAGTTACATCCAACAATAAAATGTAAAAGAAAAACAATGATAACATCTAAGATATGAACTAAGAAAAACATCAACTAAAAATATACTAAGCACTAGTAGCATAAAAACATTACGTTGAACATCAGCACAAACATGAACATGAGTCTGTGAGCAGATGTGCACGCATGAACACATCATCATTGAAACAGATCAGCAGCAACATGAAACAGATCAGCAGCAACATGATGTGATTTTTTTCCACGGTGATTATTCTGTTTAGAGATTCAAAGGAAACCATCAACACATAAAAAGAAAAGCACGACATACAGTACACTTCTGTCATGCCTCACCCTCTGCCCCACAGCTACCAGTAAATATGCAACGAGATTAAAGTCAGGTCCTCTGGATGGATTCTTCTTTGTTGAAATGTTTCATCTTTTATCCAAAAGACTTCTTCAATCTGAGGCACCGCAACAAACTCAGTCTTATAAATAGACCCCGTCACAGTGGGCCAACAAGTTTGCTGCCGACAGCAAGAACCAGTTATTCACGTGCAAACGGAGGACCATCAGCACAGCAATTGATCGTTAGAGCCCCAACAATAGGTCGGTCGTTAGCACCCTGATGGCCACTTGCTATTCACAGGGGCGCGAGTGATGCTTGCAATAACAGCATTGCAAGAGGTTGGAAGTTGAACATGGAGACCCCACCATTTAAAGATGGACAGGTTCTCTTCACAAAGATGACTTCCTTTACTCTTCTCTCAAACCAATGTTCCTCTCTCCAACAAGAATGTGCACATCATGTGCCTGAAAGAGTGACTCCAGAAGATCTGATTTAACTCAGGTCTTCTGGAGTCACTCTTTCAGGCATGAAGACTTGATTTAACCTTGTTAGATTTTTCTACCTGGATTATTGAGCATGCATCAGGACACAACTGAATAAAATTTTTAGATAATTTAAAGACATTGTTTCAATCAAATTCCCCCACTGCTCTGCACCTTTTGTTGCTAGCAAGTTCTGTAGCAACTTCCCTGTTAGCAACTAGCACATCAGATAACCTGCTACCAGTCCATTTCCACAAGAATTCTCTAAATAGTTTCTTTTGTATTTTTCATTTGGAAGAAAAGACTGCACTTTACTTGAACCACTAATCTTTTTGTCTACCTCTTTTTTTTTTTAAATAAATCTTTTTAGAACACAGTTCAGGTTATAGCGGTCAGTTAGCTTACTTGATGTGCTAATAGTTGATATTAAATATTTAAACAAACCACAAGAAGGAGTGGTGCTTGTATCACAGTTTGTAAACCTCTTACTAATGTAAGAAGAGCTGAAACAAATGAGGGAATCAAATGAGTGACAATAATTTAAGTAAAAGACATTGCACTTTGTGGCATTAAATAAACCAAATAAAATGCAGATCATATTTATAAAAATCATGTATTTGGAACTGGGTTAGGGTCAACAAATACATGTGCTGATCAGGAATGTGTTGGGAGACTTTGGCTCAGAGCAAGAACAGAAAATTGTTAATTTTCATTGATTATTTTGTTTTTCTTGCCAACAGTAAATGTAGAGAACCAGCAGCTTTAATTTAAAGATTTGTTACCTCCTTGTATTCCCCATTGCGGTGAACCTTGAAGCCCTCGGGAGAGTGCAGCTGGATGGTGGTGCTGCTGATCACCTCGATGCAGCATTCCTTGTCCTCCGCGCTCAGAGGCCGCACACGTAAGTACACCTGAGTAACATCACAAAGAAAACAAACGTGTTCAAGAATAAGTAACAAAAGCGTCCCTGATCACTGGTGAAGTGACACGGCTTGACATGAAAGTAAAGACTATGCTAGTACCGCTGTTATGCTAGCTGCATCGGTTGCTTTGTTAAAATCAGCTTACACTTACCCCAACCGGGTCTTTCTGGTTGTTGAGAAACTTTTTTGGAGGAGGCCTGCGGGGCGTTTTACACTTCCTGAATTACCAAAAAAAAAAAAAAAACTATGATTTAATTCATTGTTGTTAATCTCGATTTTTATGGCAGATCGTGGCTAGCTAAGAACTGGCTGAAAGGTTAACGGATAAAGTTAACGGATGCGAGATTATCGAATTAATACATTATGAACTATAAATGATTACCCCAACTAACACAATGCAGATAGATACGGAAGTCTGAACGCGACAGGTAGACAAAATAAAATCAACTTACGCTTGTCTGTTCATCATGTCAGTTTGACTCGGTGTCACCGTTCTGTTGCTCTAATTTTGAATGTTCCCTCCGCCTCAAATAAAGATGACGTTTTTTGGCAACAGCCAATAGGAGTGCAGAAAACCACACACGTGGTTTCAATTTTACTTCCGAGACCTTTTATGGAAATACGGCAACAACAAAAAACGTGTTCGCTAAAATATTTAGAAATTATCAGACAAGGTAGAACTTTATCGTACGTTTAAACGGCAGACAGAACAACCTAGAAAGCAGAACAACCAATATTTGAGAACTTTTTGATTTTTAAAATGAAAAGAAGTCCTTTAAACAAGCGCAGGGGACAGTGCCACCTACCGTCCACTGGCTGTAAACACAGGCAGGTTACTAAACATGGCCAGCCGCTGGGAATATCCCATCAAGTTTAAAAGGAATGAGTTTTTGGGTGGACAAGATATGAGTGGGAAAAATAATGTATGAATTAGATAACAAGAAATTTTCCAAGAATAATCCAGTCGGTGCTACTCCTCCATGGTTATACCCAGATATAAAAGTGAATATGAAAGTTCTTGAAATGACGAGACTCACATGAAGTAGGGGTGAAAACCAGCATCCAGTATACCTCAGACATTCTTATTATAATTATTTTAAAACTACATGGCTCTAAAAACACAAAGGGTTGTGTGGGAATAGGGATACATTCCAGAGTATGTACAGTATCCACCTGAAAAGAGAGGATAAACGGGGAGAGAATGGAGTTTAAAATGAATATTGAGAACAGAAGAGGACATCAGTATAAGAAAAGCGTCATTTTTATTTTTGCATAAAACAAAACAAACAGAATTTAGTACACGCTCATGTACAGTAGGTGGCGGTATGCACCTTAAAGCTGTTTGCGATCCGCCATTAAACAAAAGAAGAAGAACCTGGACAGGTCACGTGGACTGATGTTATGCAAACCTTAAGTTCTTGTTGTTGGCTTTCCGCATTTACTGCCGACTGTCACAGGTAAACAACAGGTAAAGTCATTATGTGCACAGACTGGTGAATCATTGTCGAGTCAGATCATTCCTGTTGTGCCTCGTTCTCGACTTTATAGGGGGAAACATGAAAAACAAGCTCGCCGAGGTAGATTCACACGAGTCAAAAAGTAAAGTGAAGAAGAAAAGAGCTGCCGAGGACCCGCGTCCAACTCTCGCTAAGAAACTGCGAGACAAAAAAGATGGAGAGACACGCGAAGCAGGTGTGCAGCTCTGATGTGACATCATCGACACTCACCTGAGAGGAGCTGGTTCGGACTCATGAATGGGTTTGTGCGTCTTGCAGGGCTCAAGTCTGCAGGAGTGCAGCGGAAGACTGGGAGCATCCTGCATTATATTTATAAAAGCACCTTGGGCCAAAGTCTGCACACTCACATGAGACAGGTAAGAGAACCTCAAGCTGCTGCATTACCCACTGAACTGTTTTCAGTAAGGAAAGTGTCCTGAGGTGGGTTGATGGTCTTAATCTGAGTATGTAGACAAAATAAACCCAAACCCTGTCACCAAGCTCAGGAGAAATAGTTTAATCTGTAATAAACTTGTTGCAACAATTAATTTGCAGAAAGCATATTACCTATTCTTCCCAATGCCCCTTTTTAATCTGTGATATCACCCCAAGTCACTCAAAGAAAATAATAAAATGAAATAACCCACCTATGAACACAAAAGAAGCACAGCCAGCACATTATCTGTTTAAACAAAACGTACATTATACTGAGATGAGAAGCTGTGGTGCATGTTCTTGACTTTCTTCATGTTGTAATTTGTAGTTGCAGCCACAGTGAGACGTTCAAGAGGAGCATGGGTCAGTGGGTTTCTCTGTTTTTGCTTGATAGTGTTCATGGTTGAAAATGTTGACTCACAGGTGTAAAAATTCAGCTTTTATTACCCCAGTCCCAAGAAGAAAACACAAGTCAACAATAACAATGAACAATAACAATGAATACCAACTCCATGCTCAACAATGAATATGCTGTAATATGTGTACGGATGAAGATGCCCCCTTCACAGTTCCCCCTGCCCCCTCATGTAACCATGGCTAGAACCGGCCCTGTGATGCTCCTGCGTCCTTCACCACAGATGACAGAAGGTGCGGAGACGCGCACGGCCAGTGATCAGCTGATCCATCTGAGGTTAACAGGATTGTTTTTTTGTTTTTTTACCTCTACCGGCCGGTTTGACCTGCCTCCTCCTCAACAAGTAGATTAACACAATTTTATATTGTGCATTCTCATTTTGTCTTTGCGCTGTATGATTCGTGAAACCGCATCATAGAAGCCCGAGCCGACATGTGCAGTTATTGCGTAATGAGCCAGCACGTTTTAAAAATGTACTGGCTGTGCTGGTGCATTGTTGTAACCAGTCACGAGACGAGGGCCACCATAAAGCATGGCGAGCCAATCGTGCTTTTCTAAATGTGACCTATGAGTGACATGTATGTGTTTGCCTCCGAACAAGAGAAGGGGTTCTCTGCACATAGATATCACCTGTGTCTCTGCAGACCAAAAGTGGGCGTTTCTGGAGAATAGGCGTTTGTAGAGGACAAAATTGGTTAGCTGTATTTTCTGGATCTTTAGGTAAGTTACATCAGCTCTTTTTTAAACTGATGGTTTCTAAGAAACGGCGTTATATCTGCTGTCAAACACAAGATTTTCTTTTGTCCTTGGGTTGTAGGCTGCACCTGACACAGGTTGTCTGAGTGTGGTCTGAGTACAATGAAATATGAAGCATCTGAAATGAAACTGGCTCTTGTCAAAAGTCTGGTCCCAATTAAAGATCAAGAGTCCTGTAACAAGATTAATGGAGACAAAAACAAAGTTTACTCTTTAGAAGTTCTTCTATGAGATCTGATCTATGAAAGGAGATGAATCATGGAGTAGGGTTGACCCTTTAAAATGTGAGACAGCTGAGGAAGTTAACCAGTAAACAGAAAAACCTGCTCCAGTTACAGAACTCTTACAGAAACTGACAATCACTCATCTGCAGTGACTGCAAGTTGAACAAGAAAATGTGAAGTTAAAGGAAACATCCTTTGTCCCAAAGCCAGTTTAAGTATCATTATTATTTTGGTTACTTTATTTTTCTTTCTTATGATTGTAACTATTTTCACATTATTCAACAACTAAAACAGATTTTGTTTTTAATGTAATGGCTAGATATTAAAAAACAAACATGGCCCTCCCCACTACCCATTTATGATGCTCTTATTTTGAAATGTAACCGGAAGTTCTGAGAGGCGGAAAGAGAAGTTATGGAGACGCCGCTAATGTCGAACCGGTCTTGAAGCAGACCCATCACTACTATAGTGCATTAATAGATTTGTTATTTTGGTTATGATGGGTGCACGATAATTTCCCTCAAAATAAGATAATTTTATGTCTCTACTACCATAATCCTACATTTCTCACCTGGCAACACTGGGAGGAAGCCACTGCTCTCCATAAAGAACATGGCTGCTTCTCTGCAGTTTGTTAAAGATCATGTGGACAAGCCAGAAGACTAAGAACGTTTTGTGGACAGATGAGACCAAAATAGAACTTTTTGGTTTAAATAAAAAGTGTTATGTTATGAGAAAGGACAACAGCATTCCTGCATAAGAACCTTATCCCATCGTTGAAACATGGTGGTGGTGGTATCATAGTTTGGGCCCGTTCTGTTGCATCTGGGCCAGGATGTCTTGTCATCATTGATGAAACAATGAATTCTGAATTATGTCTGAATTCTAAAGGAAAATGTCAGAACATCTGTCCATGAACTGAATCTGAAGAGAAGGTGGGTCATGCAGCGACACGATGACCATAAGAACACAAGTGGTTCCACCAAAGAATGGTCCAAGAAGAATAAAGTTCATGTTTTGGAATGACCAAGTCAAAATCCTGACCTTAATCCAATCCAGATGTTGTGGAAAGACCTGAAGCAGCAGTTAATGTGAGGAAACCACCAGAGTTGAAGCTGTTCTGTACGGAGGAGTGGGATAAAGTTCCTCCAAGTCAGTGAGCAGGACTGATCAACAGTTACCAGAAACATTTAGTGTCAGTTATTGCTGCACAGGCGGGGTCACACCAGATACTGAACGCAAAGGTTCACGTGCTTCTACCACGCACAAATACAATACGTAGTATTGGGTCTTAATAATTTGTGTAATATTATCTAATATAATGGGGGTGCAAAACTAAATTGTGATCTGATCAGCCCAGTGGAGGGAGTGCAGTAGAGCCGCATCCATTTTTATCATTTGGGACTCCATCTACACACAACAGGCATCATGGTCTGCTTTCACCTATTTTTGGTGGGCAATAATGAATGAAAGAGCAGAAATTGGGTGGCTTGACGTTAAATTGAAACGTTTCAGACAACTTGGGCACAGATTTTAGATTTAGGAAAAGTGAAGCAGGTGGATCTCTCCCAACAGTGATAAAGATGAACTCTGATGTGTATGAGAGGGAGCAGTAATACCAGACATGTTTAGGCATGAATAGGATCGTTGTAGCTTTGTTTGACTCTATGGAGCACACTGAAATAACTATTTTTGTGGAGCCCAACATTTTTCAGTCAGGTCATCTGGACAGTTTCTTTTCTTGCTGAAACGTTTCACCTTCCATCCAGAAGGCTTCATCAGTCAAGGAAACGCACAACAAAACTGATTCTTCCCCCAAACAGCTTACTCCAAAGTGGAACAAACCAGTTATGTTGGTGCTAAGATGGTGTCCAGATGGCCTGAATGAAAATTGTTGGATTTTGTACCTGGATTATTGAGCATAGACGTTTTTTGGTTTTGAACCAGTTTGACATGACTGTCGACGAGGAAGAGGGCCGGCACAAGAGGAGGGGGCGTGCCAAAGACACCATCTTAGCACCAACATAACTGGTTTGTTCCACATTGGAGTAAGATGTTTGGGGGAAGAATCAGTTTTATGTTGTGTGTTTCCTTGACTGATGAAGCCTTCTGGATGGAAGGTGAAACATTTCAGCAAAAAAATAAGAAACTGTCCAGATGACCTGACTAAAAATTGTGGGATTGTATACCTGGATTATTGAGCATGGACTTTTTTGGTTTATTTTTGTGGAAGTGGGTGAAAACGTTTCTGTTTTGCAGTGTCTCCAGGAGCCCTTCATTCGTTCCCTGTCCTCCTATCATTTCCATGGTTCCAGCAGCCTATTTGACCGCAGAATCACCTGCTTGGAGTGGCACCCAACCCACCCCACCACTCTGGCTGCAGCCTCCAAAGGTGGAGACATTTTCCTGTTGGACTTTACCAACCCCACAAATAAAACCTTTTACAAAGGGGTGAGTTTCTGCATTGATTTGTTTTGTGTGGCGTTAATGTGACAACATGAAGTATTTAACAAATGACTAGTTTTGAACTCCGCCCCTCTTTTATAGGCTAAAGACTAGGGCTGGGCGATATATCAATATTTTAAAAATATCGAATTTCATACGCAATATAAAATGAGACTATATCGATATAAAACAATATAGTCTTATACTCTACCTACTTGAAAATCTGCCAGTTTTTCCTCCCAGTCTGTGACTTCATGCCACCCCTCCTTTTCCCCCTCACTGAATACAAACCCACCCCTCCCCCACCACTTGCTGCAGCTGAAGACTATTTGAATTACAAAGCTGAGCTTAAATATGCAGATATCTTTGTTGACTCACAATGGGAGAGCACTGTAATTTCCTGATAGGTGTTAAAATGTAAAGCAGAGGTTTATGCCCCCAGTATACTCTCACGTACATCGGTCCACGCGTACCGAAATAGTCTAAGTGGACGTCCACAGGGCATGTCCACGCAAAGCTCAATTTTTACGTACGCGTACTCGATGTCGCACAATAAACTGCCCGGCGATGGACTGTTTTGTATGCAACACCAGTGTATTAGATTTCCCTTCTTCATCCCTGATCTGTCCTTTTCTTTTGTTTTTTTGCCAAGAGGCAGTGATCTCTTGCTCCTCTGTTGATGCCATGACTGAAATTGTGAAAAATGAAGGAATTTGTCACAAACTAATTAAAATCAGGTCCAGCGTGGCTGCAGGAGGGTCTGGAGATTTCCTGGTGGGCTGGTCTGATGTGTGGGCTGCAGGGCCAGCGCTCCCTTTTTATTTTTTAGAACTTCTTATTAACAACATATCAACACAGAACACCGCTGCGCCTGGGGCTGCCAACACTTGTTTGTTTTTTTTCCCGACCTGTCATTCAGTCCAGTAGGCGTGTCAGCAAATGACCAATCGGCGACCTCAATTTGTCCCAACGGTAAACGCCCCTTGTCTGTGAAGCTGCTCTGCAGCCGCTCAGGGTGGACGCTCAAGCATGAAGTCTCGACTCTCTGTGGACGGTGCTCACAGTTTCTGCGTGGCTGACAGGATGTGGGAGTATACTGGAGCCTTTAGTGTTCTCCAGGAAATTAACTGGTTTGAAGTGGCAAGGTATGACGTTGTCTTCTCATTAAAAAACATGAGATAAATATCCAGTTTAGGCTGATTTATTTGCTGTGCTTCTTCTGGTATTTACACACAGAAGTTTAAAGCGCAAACAGAAGCTCGATAAAAGCAACAAGGCTCCGTCTGTGTCAGGAGAGAAAAACTCTGACACAAGCAGCTCTGCGCTTTGTTTACACAGAGTGGTGCATTCACAAGCGTCGGAAAAGCCACACTGCATTCAAGAGCATAGGAACTATGAAATTCAGAAACAAAGGAGCCGTAACCAAACAGAACCGAGCTCAGTGAAGAAGCCAACTACACACCAGTGTGGGCTTTCTAACAGCTTTGTAAATAAAGTTTATAAAAGGTTAAATTAATATTTCATTAGAATCAGACTTTTTAAAGAGCAAGTCAGCCTTTCGTTATGTTTGCTCTGTGTGTGTTCTGTTTAAATTTTAAGTGTACAGCTGTGTTTTTGGTTTTGTTATGGAGGAAAAAATATCAGTTTTATATTTCATACTTATTTTGTACAGTTGCAGCTTTGTTAATAAAAGTGCCTGTGTGACAACTGGGACAAAGCTTTGACTCAGAAATATATTTTTATTACTTTATGGAAAGAAAAAAATATCAAGATATATATTGTATATCGCCATTCATCTTAAAATATTGAGACGTGTGGTCCATATCACCCAGCCCTACTAAAGACTAATTATTAGATTCTGAGGGTAATTTCAGGACTGTGCATCTTTGATGCGTTTGTCAACACCCTGTTGTTGATTCTCTGCTCAGATGGGAACTGGTGACTCGCGTTACAGACATGAAGTTTAACCAGTTAAATCCCACTCAGCTGTACACCTCGTCTATGGGAGGTACAACAGCTCTTGAGAGATTTCAGTGGGATCACCCCAACAGTGTTTACCAGCACAGAAACGCTGAAGTAAGACTTGAGGCCCCTCTTTCTCTGTAAGGTTTTCAGTCTCGGATCGGTCTTCTCATCAGGTGGCCCGTAACGTGTTAAAACACTGGAACTTTTGTGTCATCGTGAAGTCGGAGCAACACCCACGTCATTGGCTTGCATCTGTATTTCTGTGCACAGAATGGAGCAGGGGACTCTATTGGAGGGATGAAGTTCTGTCCCACAGATTTGTCCAAAGTGTATTTGGCTTCTGGAGAAGGCACCCTCACCCTGAAGAGCTTTGAGGGCCACGCACCCACTCTGCTGTCCAGAACTGCAGACTGTGACCACAATCACCACGATGTTTGGTGAGGAAACTAAAGAAGACTGATGCTTGACAATACATCACTGCACATCGTTCTTGACCTTTTTCCCCCTCGATTTTAGAACAATCTTCTTAAATTTAGATTTAAACAAAGATGCAACCACGGGAGCGGTGGTGTCCGGTCCTGGTCCTCGAGGGCCCCTGTCCTGCGTGTTTTGGGTGTTTCTCTGCGCTGACGCACCTGATGTGAATGAATGAATGAATGAGTGAGTGAGTGAGTAGCGGGCTTCTGCAGAACTTTGAGACATGCTGAAGAGCTGGGAAACGACTAAAACTTGTGGAATAGTCCTAAAGGACCAGGATTGGACGCCACTGCACTAGAGTTAAAGGGATAGTCTGGATCTTTTGAAGTGTTGTTCTGTGGAAAAATTGTAATGGTTAATATCTTGCCTGTTGCAGAAAGCTTTTAGAACGACCTCAGTTTGGAAAAATAGTTTAATTCCAACCTGATTCAGCTAGCAACTAACCCGAGTGGGTTCATGAGCAAAGTGGATGTCGAATTTTCTCCAAACGGCTTCTTCAAAGCGTTGCAGGTTAGACACTAGCTGTTATAAACATTTCCACAGAACCGCATTTAAAAATATCTGAACTATTCATGTAAGCAAGAAGACATTAGCAAGAGAAATGAGTGCCATTTTGTTAGTTGTAGACAATGAAATAACAAATGTACTGTATTTTCTGGACTATAAGTCGCTCCAGAGTATAAGTTGCATCAGTCAAAAAATGCCTCTTGAAGAGGAAAAAACAATATAAGTTGCTTCAGAGTACAATTCGCATTTCAGAAGTGTATTTCACAAAGTGCAAGAACAGCCATTTAATCTGAAACAACAATAACACAGAACATACCTGGGATCCTGAGCAGTAGAAAAAGTATTCTATACGTCTCAGGACTGGCCAAACTATGAAAAAAAGTGCAACTTACAGTCCGGAAAATACAATAATGTGGTTTTCAAGATTCATCACGAGTCAGATTACAGAACAAATCAAGTGTTAAAAGTATAGTGTGTCAAGTTTAAACAACTATCCTTGGTAAGGATTGCTGATTGTTCCCTGTGTGTGTGTCCAGTCAGCTGACTTGGCTGTTTGTTCTGTTGCACAGCTTTTGGTACTGTTGTGTTGACGTGTCTGTGAGTCGACAGATGCTCGTCACCGGAGACAACATGGGACAACTTGTTCTTCTTGGTTTGGATGGCCAAAAGGTAATCATTTTAGAAAAGAGAGGAAGAAATGCTGCTTCTTATCAGCTTGATTGATTTTAACTCAGTCATACCTTTAAGTCTATTATTGACACTATGTAATTTTACACATTACAGAACATTTGAAATGAGGACTTTTTTGGGGGGGAATAGGATCTATTTTTGTCTCGGTGCCTCCATCTGTTCTTTTTACAAGGCTCATATTGGAGAGAAGAGATTTAAGGAGATAAAGTCTGGAGTTTAAACCGTTTACGTTTTGTATCTGCTCATGAAGGTTTAGTGCAGTCCATGGAAGCTCTTTTAAAAGATTTAGTTCTTTTCTCTGAAGCTAAAAAAGTGATTCAAAGACAAAACAGCATTCAAAACATTCAAAAACACAGAATGAACAATCAACAAGTGAAGCTTTGCATCTGTCGACCACAGCGGAGGCAGTGTGATGATATGGGCCAGTTCCACTTATCAATGGAACCAATCGACCAGTTTATTGAAAACGTAACTTCTGATAAAACTGTGTTGTAACGCAAATATTATAATCAAATGCAGTACATGAGCACATCTGCACTTACATTTTTATTGTGATTAAAGTACACAGAAAAAAAGATAAAAAATATATTTTCAGTATATACACTTTCAGGTTTAAATGTGCTTAATTTGCAAACCTTTGTATATTTTAAAGACTTTTGTAAATAATGGTCCTCCGCTTGTTTTTTAGTTGTATATTTTTATTGTTTTTAGATTTTCAGAGAGAAGTTGCACAAAGCCAAAGTAACGCACGCAGAGTTTAACCCTCGATGCGACTGGTTGCTGGCGACGGCCTCTGTGGACCACACAGTGAAGCTCTGGGACCTCAGGAACCTCAAAGACAAGAAAAGCTTCCTTCATGAACTACCTCATGAGAAAGCTGTCAACTCAGGTTGGATTCTGTTTTAGAAAAACTTTTTTTTAACAGAGTCCTGACTCGGACATTCTGACGTCACTGATGCAAGAGACCAATAATTAAATTAACCTTAATGAGTAATCAATTTCTTCTACGTAGCTTAGAATAAAACTTGTGATGGGCAGTAATGTTTTTTGCCCGTGTGAGTCTGTGTCTGTTCTTTAGCAAAATATCTCATGAACTACTGGATGAATTTAAATGAAACTTTCAGAAAGTAATTTATGGATGTGCATTTTCTACAAATGATTTATTTTTGGAGTCAACTCGATTCAAGATGGCCGCTACAGCCAGCTGAGCTTTAAAAAAAAAGACATGTAAACAGTAACTCTGTCAGTTCTACTGATATTAAGCTCAAATTGAACATAATAACCAGGAGTCACTCTCAACACACTCTGAATGTGTCGTATTTTGTTTTTGTGTAAAACTGCGGTGTGTTTGACTGAGATGACTACAGCTCCGTCATCTCTCACATTAAGATGCATGAAAGGCGATGGGTGATGCATATTCCTTCATGGAATGCTAGGCCTTTAATTTAAGCTATATTTAAACATATTCCAGAAGTTTTTCTGCGTCTGTCTCATAATGAAGGAAATGTAGAGTTACTACTGCTCTTTGAATTGAGAAAGCTCCTCGGATGAGGAGCCAAACGTCTTCCGTTACAAATCAAGTCCAGTTGTTTTTGTATTGAGCGCTTTTTGAATTCATCGTGTCCTGGATGACTGAGAATCTTCACCAGCATAAACCAAATTGATTAAAATAATTGAAGAAAGTCATAAACACTGAAAAATTTTGGAAAAATGGTTTGTCAGGTCATCTGGACAGTTTCTTTTTTTTGTGCTGAAACGTTTCGCCTTCGATCCAGAAGGCTTCATCAGTCAAGGAAACGCAACACAAAACTGATTCTTCCTCCAACAGCTTACTCCAAAGTGGAACAAACCAGTTCTGTTGGTGCCAAGATGGTCTCTTTGGTATGCCCCCTCCTCCATTTTTATAGCAGAGTGAGCCAGACTTTATCCTGATACATGCTCAATAATCCAGGTGGATAAATCTAACAAGGTTAAGTCAGGGATCCTTTCTTGAAATGTTTCATCTTTTATCCAAAAGACTTCTTCAGTCTGAGCTGCAACAAACTCAAACAGCCTCTTCTCAAAGTGGATCAGCCAGTTTGTTGTTGACATCCAGAACTAGCTGTTCACATGCAAAAGGAGGACCATCAGCTTAACGACTGATCGTTAATGTCCTGATTGCCTGATTAAGCTGTCCTCCGCTTACAATGCTGTTATTGTGAATGTCACTCAGCCCTCTGTGAATAGCAAGTGGCCATCAGGGCTCTAACGATCAGTCGTTATGCTGATGGTCCTCCATTTGCATGTGAACAGCTAGTTCTGGATGTAAACAACAAACTGGTTGATCCACTATGAGAAGGTGCTCTTTGAGTTTGTTGCAGCTCAGACTGAATAAGTCTTTTGGATAAGACGAAACGTTTTAACAAGAAGAATCCCTGAGTTAACCTTGTTAGAGCCAGATGTTATTGACTCACAGACTCTCGCAGAGATCATCATCAGGACGACGTTCAGCGAAAAGGAGCAGCTGTTCTGATCAGAAAGCAGCTCGTGTTATCACAGCTATCTACCCAAATTAAACTCGGATCATTTTTTGGAAACAATTTAATTTAGTTTTTCTCTTATCACGCTTCACTAATCTATTAATTTTGCTTCGTTCCACACCTCAGTGACTTAATCTAAAGGAACATCACAAATACGTTCGTCGTTTTAGTTGTGTGACGACCGTCTTTACGTTATTTTATTTTTGTTTGTGGCCGTTTCTTCGCAGCCTATTTCAACCCGTCGGACTGCTCCAAGCTGCTCACCACAGATCAGTACGACCAGATTCGTGTTTATGCTTCGTGTGACTGGACCAAGCCTCAACAGATCATCCAGCACCCACACAGACAGTTCCAGCACCTCACACCCATCAAAGTTGGTCTCATCTCCTCATGTTTGCACATTATCCTCCAGCGAAACGTCCCGATTGGTCACAAAAACAGATGCATGAGAAAAATACTTGAGTTTAGTATGACGATCAATTAAAAGTGAAACTAACTGAATACATCCGTTTTGTATAAAACAAAAGCCTCAGTTTGCTTACATTAGTGTATAAAATGAGATCAGATATTATTTATGATGTTCTGATTGTCCTGTAGGCCACGTGGCATCCCATGTATGATCTGATTGTGGCTGGGCGCTACCCTGATGATCGTTTCTGCACCACCGATGAGAGAACCATCGACATCTTTGACTCCAACACTGGGGAGCTTGTGTTTCAGCTGTATGATTCCACCGCCACAGGGATAAAGTCTGTGAGTCATTTATCAAAGGATGAACACGTTAAATAATAAAACCTGAACATATTAAAGCCGAAGAGTTTTTTGTTTTTACAGATCAACAAATTTAGCCCAATGGGTGACCGGATTGGATCTGGCATGGGTGAGCACGTTGACTGTTTACCCCGAATCACATCAGATGTTTAGCAGAGACGTTTCATGAAACTGTCCCACTCACAGGTTTGACACTGCTGGTCTGGGACCACGACGAGTCGCTGGTCGACGATCGGGACAAACCGCACGAAGAAACGCCGACTTCGTCTGGTTCGTTGAGGGGCCAGCGGAGGAGTCTGCAGCGCTCCAGCAGGGACCGGAAGGGTTCGGCTGGAGATGCAAAGCTCAAGAAAAAACTTGCTGCCCTTGAAGAAACGGAGACCAAAACCAAGACTAAACAAAAACAAGCTCAGACGAAGAAGAAGAAGTAAACTGTTACAGAATCAGGGAAATCCTTGTAAATTTATTTGTTCCTGTTTGTGTTTCAAGCATTCAAGCATGTTTGTAAAATGTTCTTAATACTTTTCAAACTAAAATGCTGTGTACATTTTCACTGTAGTTTTTCAACTTTATAATAAATAAATTGTTCATACATGGCTAGTCTTGTGAAATGTTTGATCACGTAGATGATGATTACTGTTCAAAACTAGAAGACAAAAGCTGCTGATCAGTTCCACACACTTTATTCTACATGTGTTTTCAGGAGTAACTGAAGAGGAAGCTTCCACGTAGTTCGTAGACGGTGATGTTTGCCAGCTGGAGCAGCACTCCGCCCCACGCCTGTCGCTCCTCTTCACTCACCTGAGCCTGGTGGGCCGTGTACACCACGCTCAGGATCAGCTTCTCAAACTGACCCAGGGTCAGTGGTTTCTGCTGACGAGCTTGCAGCGTGCGCACCATGAGCTCCATGGAGCTCAAGCTTTTTGGAATGCCATCGTTGACCTGAGCCAAGAATTGCTGCCCTTTCCTCATCGATGCCATCTCCTCATCCAGCAGGAAGACGTTGTCCTGGTCTATGGTCACCCCTCCCAGCAAAAACTGCAAACAAGACCTTTTGTGTCATGCTCGAGAGAAATGGCACAAAGTATTTTCATGCACATCAGCAAAAGGCGAATACCTCAAACATCAGGTTTGCATCAGAGACCGATGAGGCGGTTTGAGATGTTGGCCTTGTGCCTCCAGAAACATCTAAAGAGGACGTCGCATGAAACATTACAAAATGGGAATTACCTGCAGATAAACAGAACGACCAACCTCAAATTTACAAGATGTTAAACCTCTGAATCAAAACCTGTTGGCAGAATATCTGGTATATTGTTTTTTTTTTTACTTACCCTGCAGGACTTGATTAAACCAAAGCCATAAAATAATCGACAGCCAGCTCTTTAGACGTGACTTCATTCTTCTCTCGGTAACAAGAAATAAAACCTACGTCTCTCCCACCTCCACTTTAAACCAGACTGAATTCCACACATTTTTTTCAGCTTGGAAAAAGGCACCAAAAGCCAAGAAAATGAAACGATGCAGAGACTCCGTAGTTTTGAACACTTAATACCTGCAGGGGGAAAAACTACTTCAGTGAAACTGATTTAGAGAGAAGCCTATTTTAATTTTTTTTATTGGCAAAATCCTCCCCATAAAAAACTTTGAGATAAAAAATCTTTAAGTGAAGCCACCTCTGTTAAATTTACTAAAATACTTTTGAGTTCAGGTGATTTTCATCCAGAATGTTGCTGCTTGCTGGTAATCTGAGACCAGTTGTTCCAAAGTAATCCGACTGGATTTTGGATAACGGATTGGATAAAATCTTGAAAATGGGTTGTTCAAAAACTGATTCTGAAATCAGATTAAATCCAGTTTTAATCCAATCCTGGTTTTAATCTGAATCAAACATTCAGTTTGTGTTGGTCAAAATTTTCATATTGGGATACATTTGTCCCCCCCCCCCCCCCCCCCAAAAAAATCTAAATTATTCTGATCCCAGCAGTTTGGTGGATTCATGAACAAGATGTGATTTTAATTAAATTAAAACTTGTCAAAAAGACATGATTCATCATGTAGTCAATATACATTTATTTATTTATTTTTTACCCAATTTTCAAACCAAACAGGTGAAATCATAGATTACAGTACAGACCTGTAAATTAGATAAAAAAAATAATCCTCTCAATAGCTGCTAAAATAAATAAAAATATATATGTATAATCATTAATTTTTTATTGGAAATTTAATATTTACAGTCCATAGATCATGGTTCAATATAGTTTCAGGCAATTATTATGTTGAACACTCTTGGGTTCCTCTCACAACTACCGTAGTTGAGGCACACAAAGTGTCTCTTCAGAACTCCAATGCTCACTTTGGATTGGTAGAATATAATGGTGCAAGTATTCTACCATGCTGTTGTTTATTATATTTATTTTGAACCTTGTAAATAGATCTTATAATGTGTCTGAAATAAAGTAAATGATGATGACGATGACATCTTTTTCACTTTTTGGTACATTATTCCCCTTATTGAATGCTTTAGTATTTCTTGGTTTGTTTATTAGCAAGTCAAATTGGTTCTTCTCATCCTGAACATTTCATTGCATTGTTGACTTTGTGTACATAACATAACTTATGTTTAAAGTATAAAACTGCACAATATTAACTATTCTCAGAGTGATAAATGACATAATTGCTGAAAATTAATGTTATTTTTAAGTTTATAAGTATTGCCAAATGAATCACTTTCTTTATTTGTATGTATTTTAAAGGCATGTTACATAAAAGTTTAGTTTGACAGCTCCACACTTCAGAAGCTGCAGTAACACATTTGCCCACTTGAGGGCAGTAAGCGCTGATGCTAGCTGTTAGCGCAGAGCCGCAGATCTAACATACTTTGTTTACTTCCGGTGAACGCTTTACGCTTGAGCTGTTTCTGAATAGAAGTGGGATTAAAAGTAACATAGCTACTTGTTTGTCACCTGTAAGTGTTGCTGGCCTTGGTGTAACTTTAGCACAGAAAGAGTATAATTTGTTTTTCACTAGCGGGATCAAAAAGCAGCTAACGCCAGATTACACAGCAGCTAGCTTTAGCATAACACATGATAGCCTCTCATCATTAGCTCCAGTGATTGTTCAGTAGATTTTCTAGCGTCCTGTTGGGTTAAATTAATGTCACAGCATATAAAAACTTCGTGTTTAAAATGCGTCATTGTTACTAAATATATTTCTCGTAAGTTTTTTAGCGGAAAAGTTACTTCAGTGAAATCGCGACAGGTGCAAGAACTACTGTTTCTGCTTGTAAATAATTAATTTAACAAGTAACCCCGCGATACTATCAGTTACCTGTTAGTTTGTCTGTCGTATTCATTTTATTAGTACATTCTGAAATGCATATTTACAGTGAGTTGGGAATGAAGTGTTTAAAACTGATACTGCTATCGAAATGCAACTTTTTTATTGCCTACTTCATAGGACAGTTGTTTACTTTAGATTTGTTTGATCCGTTTTCTTTTTAATAAATTTAACATGTTTTGTGGGGTTTCCACAGAGCAAGCAGCAGAGATGGAGACCAGTGAGGAGGGTGGCCTGAATGCTGGGGGCTCAGTGGGAGAGGAGAACTACTTCCTGGGATACACCTTTACTGATCGATCTCATTCAAGCCGTGTGGTGAAAAGCATCATGGACCTGTGTCTGGAAGATGGCCTGTTTGCTGATGTCACCATCATCGTGGACGACAAAGAGTTTCATCTTCATCGACTGGTGCTGTCAGCGCAGAGCAGTTTCTTCCGCTCAATGTTCACATCCAACCTCAAGGAGTCCCACAACCGCACTATTGAGTTAAAGGACGTTAGTGCCACTGTCTTTCAGCTGCTGATTGACTACATCTATCATGGTACAATCAAACTAAGGGTGGAGGAGCTGCAGGACACTTACGAAATGGCAGACATGTACCAGCTGACTGCTCTGTTTGAGGAATGCTCCCGCTTCCTCTCACGAACAGTGGAGGTCAAGAACTGCTTACAAGTAAATATTTACCATCAATGATGTAGTAGTCGTGCAACTTTGTAATATTTATGTAACCAAGTTTTTCATTTTTGTCTAGGTGATGTGGCTTGCAGACAGACACAGTGACCAAGAGCTGTACACATCAGCCAAACAGTGTGCAAAAATCCATCTCGCTCAACTGCATCAAACTGAAGAATATCTTAATCTGCCTCTCTGTCTGCTCTTGGACATCATCAAGGGTATTACAGCTTGATGGCTTACTAAATTATGCTTTTTTGACTTTGTCTTTACTGTAATTGTAGTTTTTTAGAGCTAATTCAGATGTCCACATTTACAGTTTCTAACAGTTTAAATGTTTTTATTACTTTTATTTCTTACAGTGCAGAACAGTGCTGTAAGTACTCCAATCTAGACAATTAAAATAAGCACTTTGTGTCAGTTTTTTATTTTTAATTTCAATAAAGGTGCAAATTGTGGTGTTAAATCCATCCATTATCTTTACCCACTTCTTCCTTTTTGGGTCACAGGGGTCACTGGTGCCCATGTCCAGCCATCACTGTGCGAGAGGCACATTCTGTGGTTTTGTTTAAAATGGGTGTATCTTGAAAATGAGTCCTCGTGACTCTGAGACTAACCTGTACAAATAAAGGTTGAATGAAAATGGTCACGTCTCCATTCCATCACAGGGACACAGAGACAAACAACCATTCACTCTCTCACTCACACCTAGGGACAATTTAATTATTAATTAGCCTAACCTGCATGTTTTTGGTCTGTGGGAAGAAGTCAGAGTGTGGTGTTAAATTAAATAATTGGTAAACTTCTACAACATTGTTACTCTTTTTTTTTTTTTTTTAATAAGTCAAAACACTTGTGAGTTCAGTTACTCTGGGCTCTGTGATTCCAGGTTGCATTAGGAAAGGCATCCATCATAAAACAATTGCTGAATCTTTTGACAACAACTTTTATGAGTTTAAATTAAGATGCCCTGTGTTTGCGTTTAGATGGAGTTCCAACTTCCCAGAACCCACTGGTGGCCATCGAGTCGTGGATTAACCACAACAAGGTTGAGCGGGATGAGTTTTCTTGCATCCTCCAAGAAAATCTTAAGGTAATATTGTTTCATACAAGAGAAGCAGGTTCTCCTTAAGGGTCAACCGTAGGTATTTTGCAGAGAGCTATAATAATAAAAAATATTTTAATACTCTGGCAAAAGGCTGAATGATCAGACCTAATGTTTTGTGAAGGTTTTTTAAATCCTGTAGCACTTAAAAAAAAAGTATTTATGTCACTGATGTTTTTGTTTTGTTTTTAGGAAATTGGTGAGAATGTCCATATTTACCTGATTGGTAAAGAGGAGACGAGGACTCACTCTCTTGCTGTGTCACTGCACTGTGATGAGGACGATGTGATCAGTGTGAGCGGACAGAACAGTCTGTGCCATCAGATCACTGCCGCCTGTAAACACGGCGGTGACCTGTATGTGGTGGGGGGGTCCATTCCTCGCCGCATGTGGAAGTGCAACATGCACACTATGGACTGGGAGCGTTGTGCACCACTGCCCAGAGACCGCCTCCATCACACCATGGTCTCCGTCCCCACCCAGGATGCCATCTACTCATTAGGAGGTAAGACATTGCAGGACACGCTCTCTAACGCCATCATCTACTACACTGTGAAGGACAATGTGTGGACAGAGACAAGCCAGCTGGACACCGCTGTTTCCGGGGCTGCGGGTGTTAACCTAGGAGGCACCATCTACCTGCTCGGAGGGGAGGAAAATGACATGGACTTTTTCACAAAGCCATCTCGTCACATTCAGTGCTTCGACACATCCTCCCAAAAGTGCCAGAGCAAGTCCTACATGCTGCCGTTTGCAGGCTGCATGCATGCTGCCGTCCACATGGACGTGATCTTTATCGTTGGGGAAGGAGACTCCCTGGTGTGCTACAACCCCTTGCTGGAGAGCTTCACACGCCTGCGCTTCCCCGAGGTCTGGAGCTGCATCCCATCACTGTGGAAGGTGGCCAGCTGTAACGGCTGCATATACGTCTTCAGAGACAAATGTAAGAAAGGTGACGCTAACACATTAAAGTTTAACCCGGCCACGTCTGTGGTTTCGGTCATCAGAGGTATAAAGATCCTCCTCACAAACTGGCAATTTGTCTTGGCTTAACCTGCCCTCTGGGTTTTTACACGCACTACAATGGATCAGGTAATGGACGTTTGGATAACTTATCATCACCTCTCTTCAGACATCCTCTGATGACTGTTAAAAACATATTTACTCAGCTGCCCCGCTCATTCCAGCCTGGTAAAGATAATTCAGCTGTGTCCGTCACTTGCTTCTATTCCGGTGTGTCGTCGTGGACCTCTCAGCCGAGGAGTAAATCTGTGGTGATGCTGTGACCAGTGATGAACCAAGCCGTTGTTTCCCGCATGTTTACGGACGTGCATGAACCACTTCAGTGTAAACACTTCACTAAATATACAAACATCCTCCTTCACTGTGTTGTGATTGTCATGCTGAACTTGACTGAATAAAGATAAAATCTGAAGTCTATAAACAAAACGGCAGGTGTTTTAAAACTTCTCAGTGTTTACTATATTTTTATGTATGCTCTTAATGGCCATGTTAAGCTGTTATTAGAAATGCTCAAATACATCACTAAAAAAAAAATCACCTTTTTGTTTTATTTGGACGCTTCAGTCATCAACAGTTTTAAGAAACTTCACAGTGCTGCGTTCCTTCAACAAAGACTTCAAGTTGTCAAAGCGAAAAGTGCCCGAGGTTCTCATTTCCGTTCTGAGCGTTTGAAAAGTTCGAGTTGAAGGAGAGAAAGCTACTACAGAGAAGCCATTGATGTGCAGCTGAAACCCAAGCTCGGGAACATGTCCGACTGAACTATTCTAAGCATCAGTTGCTGACACTGAGATGAGAGCTGGGAGGGGGCAGGTAGGTGTGGGGGTGCAGGCGTAAGGATTCCCAGTAGGAACTTGGAGTCGTAACGAGCCCAGTCGAATTTGCAATTTGCTTTTGAAAAAATTAAATCTGTTTAGTGTCCAGGAGACATTCTGCAGCCTCACGCAACTGGTCAGACTGGTTTGTGGATGTTTTTGATGCTCCAGACGTTCGTGACGTGGAAACGTGTAGTCTGGTGTCGGGCAGACTGGAATGTTTTGTGGGAAGGTAGATTGCTAGGAGCTGTATTGACCTTGGGACAGTTTGCTGAGGGCAGGACATAATTCCTGAAGGGACACATGGTCTAGAGTGACATGGCCATCTGCTGTAAAGGCAGGAGGAGGAAGGTGGAGGGGGCTGGACACGGGGGTGCTAAGAATTCCTTTGGCTGGGGTGTGGAGGGAGTGGATATTCTGGGACACTACATCTTGTACTCAGCTGGGATACATGTTTCTTTGGTGTTTTTCAAACGGAAATCTAAGAGAAAAAAAATTTCCTTTGAAGTTTTTGATGATGAAACGGGATCATCACACGGTTGAGTGGGAATGATGCTGTCCTGGCTCTCCAGATCTCCTCAGAACCTTTGGTGATGATGGTTTTTGCGTGTTGCCAGTCTTCTTTTTTGGATTTGGTTTCCTCTCCATTTCAGCACAGCCGGAGCTGATAGAGCCGGATCTGGTAGGCCTTCTGGCACCGACCTCCCTGGGGATCATCTTCAGGGGATCTTCTATTGGAGTTGTACTGTGCACGGGAAGGATCTACTTTCTTCCTACCTTACTAGGGGTTCATGGCCTAAACAAATTAATATTTTTATGAGGCACCTTGCACCAGAGATGGGCCAGGACCAAACCAAGCAGCAGATAGAGAAGGGCCTGAAGTTGTACCAGTCTAATCAGACTGACAAAGCCCTGCATGTGTGGACAAAGGTGCTGGAAAAGACGTCGGATCCTGGAGGGAAGTTTCGAGTGTTGGGGTGTTTGATCACAGCTCACTCAGAAATGGGGAAATACAAAGACATGCTCAAGGTAAGGCACCGAAACAACAGAGTGCTGCACGGGTGATCACATACCCTCAAACCTGTATGCACTGACGAGTGTTTTTAACAGAAACACTTTGTGCAAACCGGCTCTGCTCATATTAGATCATTTAATATTTGCACCGTGTCATACTGGTGTTATGCAACTGGTGTGTGGTTGTAAATCCACACGCGCGAACGTTACAGAACATCTCGCAGTTTCAAATATCAACATGTCCGCTCGGGACAGATGCAGTTCTGCTGCAGTAGCATTTTAACATTTCCGCAATGAATGAGTTAAAGAGGTCAAAGGTCACCACCTTCCATTTGCAGCCATCTTGAGAAGCTTGGGTTAATGTGTGGCTTCCACGCCATGCAGAGTAAATAAATGCCGTACAACCTCAGAATCAGTGTTAGGTGTCTTGTTGACATAATCGTCCAAACAGCCCCCCCCCCCCACACACACACACACTCCCACAACCACAGTTTTAATGAAGACTCAAAAGGAGGGCTCTTATAACCAGATGTGTGACAACGTGAGACTTACCTGCAGCTTCTATAGTCCTTTTCAACACGTTTCTTTTCAGTATGCCCTTGATCAGATCGACACAGCCAGAGAAATGGAGGACCCAGACTACCTGACCGAAGGCTACCTGAACTTGGCGCGCAGCAACGAGAAGCTGTGCGACTTCCAGAAAACTGTCTCTTACTGTAAGACCTGCTTAAACATGCAGGGGACCACCGTGAGCCTGCAGCTCAATGGCCAGGTGTGCCTGAGCATGGGCAACGCCTACCTGGGCCTCAGCGTCTTCCAGAAAGCGCTGGAGAGCTACGAGAAGGCCCTACGCTACGCACACAACAACGACGACAAGATGCTGGAGTGCAGAGTCTGCTGCAGTCTAGGAAATATCTATGTTCAGCTGAAGGTACTGATGAAATAATCTGACTGGTTCACAGGCGGGTGTTATGTTTCTTCCTCTGATTCGGCAGCGTTTTTCTTAAGTTTACTTAAAATGTATAGAAGATATAAAGTAAAATCACCTTTGATTTTTTTTTCTAAGTTATCTACAGATTATGATAATAACTGAGTACAGCTGAGTGTTTGGCTCTGATGGTGCTTAAATAAGCAGGCTGACTGGTAGGGGGTTACGTTGTACCCTTGACATAGGAGATTTGTTAATATAATCCCTTTGCTTCCCAGGGAGGATCAGTTTCAGTGTAAATACGATGAAGCAGCATTTAAATATGTGCAATTTTAATAAACATAGGCAAATAATCCTCCCAGTTTCAAACCAGCTGGTGAATAAGTTTTGCCCTCGTAGATGTCGTACATAAATGACATACCTTCCAGTCGTTTAGTATGTCTGCTTGCACTGGGTTCTGTTAATTGTTCATGTCTGCCAACAGGACTATGAGAAAGCCCTGTTCTTCCCCTGCAAGGCTGCCGAGCTCGTCAATGATTACGGCCAAAGCTGGAGCCTGAAGTATCGAGCCATGAGCCAGTACCACATGTCTGTGGCCTACAGGAAACTGGAGCGCCTTCCCGATGCCATGGAGTGCTGCGAGGTATTGTCTTAAAGCCTTTGTTGCTCTCAGAGACAAATTTATGCAACTTCAAGAACCTCACGGTTTAGTTTGGATGCCAGTGCTGCAGATTCAGTAAATGTGGGGCTGCAGACAGGTGCAAGCGCCAGTTGTTGTGTTTGCACAAGGCCTAAGACCCTGACAAAAATATGCTCCGAGGTGCTGCTTTAAAGTGTTAATGAAAAGGGAGGCTTAAGTCGTAACCCTGTTCTAATTATGTACCAAGGGTGAAAAATAGCTTGATGTCATTGCCTTGGAGTGCAGAAGTATAGTAACAAGAGAACGGGATGCATTTCAGATTTATTACATTTACCAAACACATTTAGCCAAACAGATTACACATCCTGTCATTTTCCAGATACCAGAGTACAAGGGGGAGGCCGAAAGGTGACAGCTCACATACCGACTGCTTCTTTCTTTGAATATACACTCGTGAAAACTGTGAAATGACTGAAAGCATCTGTGTCAACATACATTTACTATCAAGGCGATACGTTGGAGTGGAGAATGGTGTGCTGAAGGGAAGAAGCTACTCAAACATCCTATTGTTCTCCAACAGGAATCTATGAAGATTGCGCTGCAGCACGGTGACCGACCACTGCAAGCTTTGTGCTTACTAAACTTTGCAGATATACACCGCTGCAGGCATGACGTTGATGTAAGGTGACACTGCTGCATCAACATCTCTTTACATACTAGTTATTGAGGTTAAACCCCATCACTTATGTTTAGAACATAAGTGAAAACCCATTGTTTTGTTATTTGATCTTTGAGGGTTTTTTTTACATTTTGTATATGTTTTTTTTTTATCCATTCAGAAAGCGTTCCCTCGTTACGAGTCTTCACTGGGTATAATGACTGAGATTGGAAACCGTCTTGGACAAGTGCACATCTATCTGGGAGTTGCAAAGTGTTGGATTTTGCAGAAAGAATTTGACAAGGTCCATATAACAGAACCAGCCTGTTTCTTTATATGTTGAAACGAGAGCTTGTGTGGTAAATACCTTACGTCTTTGATCACTCTGCAGGCACTCGAGTCTTTGCAGCGAGCACAGGAACTTGCAGATGGGATGGGAAATAAAGTAAGTTCTGTTCCTTAAAAACAAACTGATATAAAAAAAATAAATAAACTTGTCTGAATGAAGCCAAGAGCAAAGTGAACTACTGCTGTTTCAAAACAGCTGCAGTCTCAGAGTTTAACAGTAGTTCATGCAAATGCTATTTTCACTTTACTTGTGTTGTTTTTTATAAACGCCCGTCAAAAGATGTATTATGGATGTATTATGGTATAGTCTTATCTGTCCATAAACGTTCTCTTGTCCGAGCCATAACTTGCCACACCTATGCATCATCACTAGACGGTTGCTGCATACACTTTTCATTACCCCAGCTCCAAGAGCACAAATCAAGGTCAAAGTTCAAACAAGGCATTTGCTTTTCTAAACCATATTTTCTGATCCCCTCAAGATAATCTTACGACACTTGATACGTATTTGTACCACCACTAGACAGCATGTATATTATTTTCATCACCTCAGCTCTAAGGTAAAGGTCACAAATCAAGATCAACAGTTCCAAACAAGGTTTTTGCTTGTCCAGGCCATAATTTCGGATCTGCTCAAGATAATTTAATGAAATTTGTTGCACAAATGCATCATCACGAGGTGAGTAGTTGCGTACCATCACCTCTGCTACAAGGTCAAAGGCAAAAAGCAAGGTCACCAAACAAGGTCTTGGCTCTCTTTGAACTTCTGAACCAAGATAATTTAACAAGACTTGATACGTGTATGCATCGCCACTAGATGAAATCTCAAACTTTTCTTTGACCCTGCTCTGAGGTCGGGGTCAGATTACTCTGCTTTTCAGACCAGAAGTTCTGTACCCTTCACATTTATTTCACTGAACTTGATACAACCGAGTGCTATCACTGAAAGAAAGGTCACAAACATTTATTGCCTTGTGTTTTCCAGTTTTAATCATTTAATACAGTTTTATTGTCAAGCCAGTTATTCAAGAAAATATGTGCCATAGCAACAGCCTGCCAATGTTTTTTGCATCATTCCAGAGTGATAATTTATGAAAATAATGTTGCTCAAAATTCATATTGCTTGGAGATAATCAGGCCATTTCTATAGATTGCTGTATAACAGTTTGTCGACAGGCATATAATGTGCTGTATGAGATAATCTTGTTACAGTTCATGGTTATTCTGGCAGAATTATTATGATATCCCTGCATTAAGTGCTCAAGGCTGCACTGGAAGAGTTACCGTTGTGCTTGAAAATGACTATATAATATGCTTGGAATAGCTGTTAACAAATTATTTAGGTTAGAAATAAACTGTATTTTCCAAATTGAGGTTGTTCAAACAGCTATTTTTTTAACAATTATGATATTATTGTGTATTTTCTGCATATCCCCCACTTAAACAGATCCAAGCTATCACTTTAAAATTAGCTAGTAATTTTAAACGGCCTCATTGCATCAGTAAATGCTGTATTTATCGACCTTGACGTAGCAGTCTTTGTGTGATGCTGACCGTCGTGTTTCTGCACGTTAGCTGTGCACTCTGAAGGTTCACTGTCTGCGTGAAGGCATCTGCCGAAGCCTCAAGCAGCAGGATGAAGTCAGGGAGGAGGTGGTGAAGTTCCTGCAGTGCGTCGAGGAGCTGGAGCTTTACTGCGGCATGTGTGGAGAGTCCATCGGGGACAGGGACCAAAAGCTGCAGGCATTACCCTGTTCCCACATTTTCCATCTCAAGTAGGTGTTCACTGAGGGTGTCTGCTGTGCTGCCGACTGAATTCAATAGAGTTTTATGTGTTTCGTTTCGTTCGCTCATGTTTCCAGGTGTCTGCAGACAAATGGGACGAAGGGTTGTCCGAAGTGTTTTAAGTCCTCCATTAAACCCGGGTTTGTGTGATTGCACAGCTGGGATGGTGTGTTGGATCCACAGAAGCAGCACGATGCCTCACAGGCTCCTGACTGACGTGAGAAAAGCAGGCAGCCTCAGGACGTGCTGAAATTCATGTAGGAGCAGCAATTTACTGCTCTGCACAACAGGATGCTAACCGGAGCGCCCTGGATCGGGGCTCACTAACTCTGATCGGAGCATCCGTGTCATTTAGGCATCAGCCTGACGCCGTCGGTGAAGACGATGCACAACTAAGAGTGTAAAGTTTCAAGATAAGCTGAAGAATCTTCATTGTTGAGGACTGGAGCTCTGTTGCAGCATTTACACAACTGGACTGTAGCAGCAACACGTTAGCTTGTTGTAATCATGATCAGAATTGTTTAGTAAAACTGAAATTACTTCGTCTTTGGAAAAATATTTTGGTGAGATCTCGGAAATCTTAGACTCGACGTGTTTTTTTGAACGGCAATATTTTTTTAAGAGAACATTTAATTCTATGTTTCACAACAGTCGAGCCATTTCTGACTTGTAGGAGTTTCACACAAACGAACGACTGTAACTTTGTACATATTTTTCTCATATTCCTTTCTTTAAAAAGTTGATTTATTTGAAATCTTTTATAAAAATAAACTCTTAATCATTGAAAATCAAGGATGTCTTTACCAAACAGGTTCATGCAGCTGTTCTTCTTCTTCTTCTTCATTGATAAAGGTGAGGGCGCAGGATCAACATGCATCGGACATTTGACCAATCAGTTAACATATCTTTAGCAGAGATGGGACAGATTCTGTACGTTTTCTTGTAAAACATTTATTTTTTTATGACCGGTTGCATTGAGGGTCATGAAACAAATCTGGGCTTTTATATCAGTGAGTGGCTGCATGTTTTATTTAGGATGCCAAGCAACAATGTAAAAAGTAGACGTCAATTTATTTATTTCAAATTTATTATAGCTTTTCTTAATATTCAATGAGTTTTACAGTTATTATTCCATTCAAATTATTTTATTTGAACTATATTCTCATTTTGAACAGAAAGCCTGATCAACTATTTGGACAATGTGTATTGATTTACTCGGTTTTATTTCAAAAACTGCCGTTTGTTTTGGACGCTGTGCTTGTGCTCGGTTAGGCATACGATGATGTGTTCAGTTGCACGGGAAAAACAGGCCAATTTTTTGCAACTTCAACAAAAAGTTTGTAACTAATGCTGTCACCTTTTTGTGGAAACCCCCCAAAAGTCATGTTAGCTTTGAAATGAACTTTATGCGTCTCTCCTCATACGAAACAGACGTTTTGTTTTTATTGCACAAGCACTTGTACGTTGTCATTTTTGTGAAACGTGGCGTCAGGTGTGAACACCAGCCAGTTCTTGTTTGAATTCAATGCAACCTAACAAATCCGTGAGTCATTGTGCGTTACGTGAGCAGATAAATGCTGTCCAAGTTCATTCTCGGTTCCAGGAAAGAAACAAACACGATTTACTGACAGGATCTTTTAACAGTGTAAACTACCTCTGTTTTCGCCTCCAAAGCCTCGAGGATAAACGCGGTGATAGCGCCCGTGTTTAAACACAGATTTGTTTTTCTAGGCGTTCGTTCATACTTAAATGTGTTGAAATGTGTACATTTAGTCAAATCATGTTAAATGGATGCATTTCATTTAGGACAATAAAGGACACTTAATGTATTGGAATGCTTTGTCTTGTGTTTGTAAGAAAAAAAGCTGGATCACTGTATCGCATCTACAAATGTTTCTAATATTACCATGAAAGAAAGGCATTGAACATATTTAGCCTGCTCTACCTGTCTGTCGGCATTTCCTCGTCTTGTGGGAAGTACCTCAAGTCACAGCACCTGAAAGCAGAAAGGAAGTTCTCTCAGCGCCACTTTACATGAGCACTTCAACATGCTGGCAACAAAGTCCTTCTCTGATCTGGACCTGTTGTGTCCTCAGTGCTCCGACATCTACTGCCTTCCTGTCATTTTAATATGCGGCCACAATGTTTGCAGAGTTTGCTTGTACAAATTCTGGGAAGTGAGAAGATGTAGAAACTGCCCGGTGTGCGGCACAGAGTCCTCCTCTGGGATGCCGCCCATCAATTTGGACCTGCAGAGTGCTGTGAAGGGTTTTCAAGAAAGAATTGTCGCCGAGGACCCGGAGAAATGTAGTCTTCACCACGAGAAGCTGAAGATTTTTTGTAGCAAAGATGAAGAGCCCATCTGTCTTGTCTGCCAAATATCACAGCAGCATAAAATTCACAAGTGCTGCCCTGTGGAGGAGGCATCTCTAATAAAAAAGGTAAAGACAATAAATTAAAAAAGTTATATCATGTCTGATTCAAAGAGATTTTAAATGGTTTCAACTAATAAATAGAAGTTTTCTCTGTTTTCTTTGGAAAATGTAAAAAAAAGGCCACAGCAGAGAGTGCAAAAATCATTAAGAAATAAACTCATCACCAACATAAGAATAACAGAAAATTGTTAAAACTCAAAGTTCAAAACTTGGTGATTAAAATGTTGGTGAACTTGATCTTCTTTTAGGCTGAAATGGCAGACTTGTTGGATGGCCTGAAAAGGAAGGTCAAAATAATGACGAAGACGTTGCTGCAATGGGAGGAAACAAAAACATATTTAAAGGTTAAAAAAAGTTTGTTTTAATCTAGAGACACCAACATAAACTCTCCTTAGTACTAAACTAAACCAACTTCCTCCACATTACAGACCCAAAGCTCCCAGATAGAGACGGCAATCAAAGAGGAGTTTAAGAAGCTTCACCAGTTCCTCTTTGATGAAGAAAACTCCAGACTGAGGGTCCTCAAACAAGAAGAAGAAACAAAGACCCAGATCATGAGCCACAAGATTAAAACCATAGAAGAACACATAAAGTACCTCTCCTCCACCATCAGTGACATGGACAAAGTCCTCCTGGAAAAGGATTTACCGTTCTTAAAGGTACACACACAACCAGGATCTGGTGATGGGCAAAGAACGAACCAGTATTGAACCACTTCCATCAGTTTGCATTGAAAACTGGTTCATTCATTCAGTGCTTTGTTTCAGTGGCATCTAGTGGCAAAATGGGAGACATCAGAACAATGTGTCATTAAATGAGGAGTGAAACTGTGTGTATGAATTATGTAATGTTTGTAAAAAAATTGATTGATCGGTTGATTCTGTAAATGTTGGGATAAGTCATGCTGGAGGATACTGAAGATGTGCTGGGAAGGTGTGCTTGTGTAGTGATTAGGAACATGGTGTAGGGATTCAGAGATTCTTATTAAGAAACATTATATTTTTACAGTTTTTGCGCTGAGATGGTTTGTTTGTGTTGACTCAGCCCTGGTGAGGCTGCTGGATGCAGGTATTGGTTTCTGCTTTATTGACATTAATAATATTATATGCCACTGGACACACAAGTCCTAGACCTGTCAACTGGATTATGCAAACAAATATTATTAGATTTAATAAAGACATCATGGACATGTTGCACCTGCCACACTGACAGTATTAACTAGTCATGTAATTTTGCTTGTTATAATTAAATAAACAAGCAGGTAGAATCAAAGACAAACTAGAGAAATTGCATTTCCTGCAAAAATGCAGTGTAAGTGCTTGTTGCAGAAGAACTTGCTGAAAAACAGCTGAAATTAGCTAAAAACATGCTGAAATGTAGCTGAAATGGAAGAACAAGCCTAAATTAGAAGAAAACAGAAAGGATATATTTGCTGAATTAGGTTTAAATAAGCAGAAATTAGCACAAAATTTTGGAAAGTAGCTAAATTAGCAACAACAAAAAGAGGTGAAAAGTAGCTGAAAAGGCAGAAAGACGCTTAAACTATACCAGAAGGAAGGGGAAAGAGCTGAAATGATGTGGAATTGGTAAAAAAAAAGAAGCTAAAGTTAGCATAAAAAAGGCTAAATAGTAGCTGAAATTGTAGCAAAAAAGCTGAAATTATCATAAAGAAGTTAATTAGGCTGAAAGTAGAAATTAGCATGAAAAACTTGAATTTATCTGAAAACAGCTGAAACTAGCTAAAAATGTAGCTGTAAAGGTAGAATAAACTCAAATTAGCAGAAGAAAACAGAAAGAACATGTTTGCCCAATTAGACTAAAAGCCGCCTAATTACACAGAACTGATCAGCTGAAGGTGTTCTTACATTTGAGCTGCCTATTTTTATTTATTTTTTGATTGGTGATAAAGAAAACAAAATGATAAGTAAAACATGCCGGCTGCTCTTTTCTTTAGGGTCACCCAGCAAGAAAACGCGTGTGAAAGTTGCCACATCTGACACAACCCGGGCTAGAACCTGCAACCTCAGGATAATAAAACCACAACACTCAGCCACAAAGCTACCTCACACATATTGGGTCGCAATGTGGTGCTTTTACTCACTAACAAACCTGGTAAAGCGCGCGGCAAAACTTCCTCACGAGTAGTACTCCTATGATTCATGTGATTCACTCAACAGACTGAAGCTGCAGCTGATTCTGACGTCATCGGTCACGTGTCTTGTTCCGCGCCAAAGCGAGCTTCAAGACTCGAGTTCGAAGCTTGTACCAGAGCGTCGGTGTCAAACAGCCAAACTACCAGTATCCACGTGATTTTATGAATTTACTAATGTGCTGTAAAATTATTTAATACTATCGACCAATGACATATTCTTAAAATTAAATTTAAAATGTCCCCTGGCAAACAAGTATATCTCAAACGTGCAAAAGAAGAATGGCTGGTTGATTCCCTGGAATAATACACTGGTCTGGGAAAAAAACAGCAGCTTGTTAAATATGTTCACAAACTAGCAAGACAAGTAAATCAGCTGCATCACACAGTGTGAACTCCACAGAAAAGAAGCTGAATAAAAAGGTGTTCAATAAGAAAACATTTGCTTTTGTTCACAAGAAAAATCATGACAAAAATTCAGATTTATATGTTGGTCAGACATTATTTGTTCAGGAGTAACCAAATTTGATTTGACCAGGACTTCCACATTCTGTCAGTGAAATACAAAGGTGGAAGTATAATGATATGGGGCTACCGGCTACATGGCTGCAAAATTAATTTGGGAAATGACATTTATGGAGGGAAGCCACGAATGAGTGAAAATACACCAACATTTTCTGACATCTGTAAGATAAGTCTGAGAAATCACAGAGACTTTCGAAGCTTGATGAAAAGAAAAATTTGAACAAACAAAACAGCACATTAGTGTCAGCTGAGGAGTAAACAACATCAAAAACAAAGTTGGGATTACAGTATATGCTCTTATTATGCCTGGATTTTAGATAGATTAGTGTGAGCGATATAAATATTATAATATATACCAGTAGCTGTCCAGGATGTCCTGCCTCTTGCACAGCGACAGCTGGACATGGGCACCAGTGAGCCCCGCGACGCAAAACAGAAGAAGTGGATTAAAGATAATAGATGGAGTTTTCAACAGTATCACAACTGCATATTTTCATAAAATCACAGCACTAGTGTTAAATACTATCATCATTTAATGTGACATTATATCCCTTTATGCCCCTTTTAAACAAGCTAGTTAAATCCAAATAGCTCTCATTTTAGTTATGTGCAACTCCCACAACACAAAAAGGAAGAAGTGGTAATTGATGGATGGTCCTATTCAAAGTAGCCAGACACTGCTTTTAATTTCTGTATTTTAAAGTCAAGACGGGATAAGGATTTGGGAGGCTGGATAATAGCATGCTGAGCTGGGCTTGTGTCATCATAGCCCTAGAGTAGAGGTTTTGGGTACTCAAAAGGAAAATGTGCTCAAAATAAAAAAAGTACTAATTTTTCCACAATAATCCTCCAAGTAATAATCTTGCATCATCATTTGACTGTTGAGTATACTGCAGCATAATGTTTCTGTGTAGGAAACAGTATGTCGCCATTTTGAATATCAATACCAAGAATAGCATGATTTTAGGGCATGTTTCTGTTCTGAAAACGCTCACACACAAAAACAGTTGTTCTCTGTTCAAATAAAACAATAGCTGAGGGTGATGGGAATGAAAAGGGACACTGAAACTTTACTTCATTGTGATTTTAGACTATGGATTTGAAGCATCACAAAATCAATAACCGATTTATTCTCTTTGATCTTGTGTCATGTTATGGTCACCCCGTTTAAAAAAAGGGGGTAGTGTCTGTAATTTTAACCCTTGAAGCATCAGCTCTGAGCCCCTTCTTGTTTGCTCTGGTGATGGAACGACTAACAGATGAGGTCAGGCAAGAATCCCCATGGACTATGATGTTTGACATTGTGATCTGTGGTGAGAACACGGAACAGGCGGAAGAGAACTTGGAGAGGTGGAGGTCTGCACTTGAAAGAAGAGGAATGAAAGTCAGCTGTATTAAGACAGAGTACATGTGTGTGAACGAGAGGGAGACAGGTGGAACAGTGAGGCTAGAAGGAGCAGAGGTCACAAAGGTGCAGGACTTCAAGTACTTCGGGTCCAAGTAATGGTGTATGGTCTGGAGAGTGGCACAGACGAAGACCGGCGAAAGAACTGGACGTTGCTGAAATGAGGATGTTGAGTTTCACCTTAGGAGCGACAAGAATGGATATTTGGAATGAGATCATCAGAGGTACAGCACAGGTTGAACAACTGGGAGATACGTAGCTGTAGTAGTTAGTAGGGTAGTTGGAGTGAGGACGGAGTAAGAAAGGATTGCTCTGTGCTTTCACCCATTTGAAAAGGGAACAGCTAAAAACAATGTTTCAACTTTTGAAATCTATTTTTTCAGTTTTTAATTGTACACAAGTGTTTGCTGGTGTTACTTTTATTTCCTATAACTCTTCTTCTGAGTGCATGTGAGGTTTTCCTCGTGCAAAAGGTCACTGATGAAATGTGTTTCTTCTTTCAAAATCAGGCCTACAAGGAGACAAAGAAAAAGTACCGGTACGTATGAACCAACATTTGCTATAGTCAGCACTAGTTTCCAGAAGCCACTGTTGTGATGAGTTCAACGTGTTTTCAGGACCAAATCCAGCATTCCAGAGCCAGAGTGCGTCAGAAACATTCTGCTCAATTCTTCAAAACATCTGGGATTACTGGACTATGAAGTTTGGCATAAGATGATGAACATTGTCAAATACAGTGAGTGGACAAACAAACAAATGATGTTATCAACAGTTTATTGTGATTTATCACTAATTCACTGAACTTGTTGTGCAGCTCCGGTCATTCTGGATCCGAACACGGCTCATGCGAACCTGAAGCTGCTCCAAGGGTTGACCGGCGTGCGGTACAGCAACAAGCTGTGTCTACCTGATAACCCCGAACGCTGCACCAGCCGGATGTGTGTGCTGGGAGCCAACGGCTTTACATCTGGAAAGCACAGCTGGACGGTAGACGTAGGCCAGGGTAAAGACTGGTACATCGGAGTGGCCCGGGATTCCATCAAAAGAAAGAGCACGGTTTTCTACAGCCCCGCCGACGGTTTCTGGGTGATCGGCTACTGCAGCAAAGACTCGGTCTGGGCTCAGACTTCGCCTCGAGCCAGGGTCAGTGTGAGGAAGAATCTCGAGAAGATCACCGTCGAGCTGGACTGCGACAAGGGAAAGGTAGTCTTCATCAACGATGCAGATTCCTCTGTGATCCACACGTTCAAGGAGAAATTCTCAGAGACGATCTTCCCCTACATTTCTGTTGGACTGTGCGACAACTGGAAAAACGCCAGCCCACTCAAAATCTGCCCACTGACATTAAAAGTGAACAAAGAATAAAACATTACTCGTTACTGTGCTCTCTGGTACACACATAAACAAGACTAGCAGTTTAAAGCAAACGGTTAAATTCCAGTTTCCTTGGTGGCGTTAACTGTCCTTGTTCTTTGGTTTCCGTTGAGTTGCCATGTCTTTCAGTTTAGAGTCCAGCTTTCTTTGCAAATATGCTTTCTTACTGGGGTCCAAGGATTTGTCTTTCTTTCCACTCCCTGCATAAAGAACTCCTTCTTTGCTGATTCTCATCCGAGCATGGGACTTGGCCTTATCTCCACAGCCATGAACCTAAAAAATATTAATAAAAAAATAAATAATAATTTTTGGGAACAGTAAAATATTTACACAGTTGTAAGCGAATGCTATAAAACTGCGGATAAACCTCACACACAAAATGAATAACAATAAAATCTACCAAATTTTGTTTGGCTGCCTCTTACCTCTGGTATATGATGACTGAGACAGTACTGCCTGTTGCAGAACATGCAAAGCTGTCCAAGAGTCAACACCGACGCTTTACACTTGACAAAACTACAAACGCTGTCAGCCTTCATGACGGCGCTGACGAGGGAGTCGAAGTCGTCCTCTGGGGCAGCGGCAGCGGCGATGTCGCAGGCGCCGGCCTTTGTCTTGTTCTTTCCTGTGAAGAAAACGGTAACGACTTCAACTGTTACCAAACGTGTAAGAAAACCATTTTTTGATTGTTTTTATTGTTGCTACAAACCTTTAACCTTCCTCGTCAGCTGGCCCTGAGCTGGAGGAGCATCTTTTTGTTGCCTTTTCTGTTGAGCAGCTTCTTCCCTTCTCTGCTGCTCTCTCCTCATTCTCTCCAAGTGTAAACTTTTGAGGTCTAATGAAGGTCGACACAACGGTTCACTCTGCGGACTAGAGACAGCTTCTTCCTCTTGGATTCCTTCTGGTGTTGGCGCCTCAGCTGGCTCTGACTTCACGGGCCTGGAGACGGTGATCCACCTGTCGCTGCCCTCTCCTCGGCTCTCATGAACCAGACCCAGCTCCTCAGAGATCTGATGGACCAGCAGCCGGTCATGGGAGTTAAACGATGGTGGAAACTGTAGCTCGTTCCGATTCGGGTCCTTTATAAAGTCCTCCACCTGCTCTCTGATTTCAGCGTATCTGCTGCCGCTCTGCTGCTCGTCTCTCGGCGCTGATGACGTGCAGGGTTTAGTGCGACTCTGTAAAGCAGCAGCACTTTCCACAGCAGTTTGTTTCTGTTTTGCTTTACTTACAGGCTGATCTTTGACCTTCTGTTTCGTGGTGGAGGACGTGGTCTTTTTCACGCCTTTCCGCTCTCGACTGTAATTCTGCGGCACGACATCTTGAAGGTATTCAAACGCAGTTCTGACTTCACCGAACTCAGTCATGTGACTGACGAGGGATTTGAGGAAAGCGTGACTCTGAACAGTTTGAGTGTCGCAGACTACTGCAATGTGGCGTCGTGCACGAGTAACGGCAACATTTATCCTCCTGTCCTCCGCCAGAAATCCAACTTCACCTAATATAAAAAAGAAGAAGTGTTAATAAATGAAATTGTGACACAACGAATAAAACCGCACGTTTCTGATTTGACCTTTTCTGTTGGACCGAACTAGCGACAGCACGACAGCTTCTTTCTCTCTGCCCTGAAATCCATCCACTGACTTTATCTCCAGCTCCGGGTGCCGAGAAGAAAGTTTTTGACGCAGAAGATCCACCTTTATATTGATAAAACACACAGTCAAGATCTCAGTTAATTATCCAACATTAGGTGGACAAATGGTTTTTGATTTAAAAGTTAAAAAAAAAAAAAAAACTACAAGCTTGCATTTTTTTCCTAAAACTTTTAGATTTGTGTGATGGAAAATTTCAACTCAGATGTTTAAACACAGAGCACTTTCGTTTCAAACGCTCCTTTGTTTACCACTACATGTAAAGATTTCCATCAGGTTTTAGCACTTTGAGCACAAAACTGCAGGTTAAACAAAATTAAAAAAATATAAGAACAAATCCTGACAACTTGTGAGTTCTGAAGCTGTTTTAGTTACAGAAAATATCCAGATAATTTAATTTAAATTAAATTAATATGCAGAAATGTCTGAAATTAATTATGATTCATTTATAACTCATTTACAGGCTGTTATGTTTCTTTTATTTATAATTACAGTAGTCCCTCGTTTATCGCAGGGATACATACACTGAAGCCCCGCGATACGTGGAAAAACACAAAGCAGGAATAGTAATACAACTAGTAAGTAGTAGTTTATTTTAGTAGGCGTTTTAAACTCTTCCCACACTCTTGCAATATCCTAAACAATGTTTCTAAACCCTAAACGCTCTAAAACAGCACAGAATGTCACGATTTCAGCTCCCTGACGCCTGTCAGCGCTCTTGGCCACGTACTACTACACTACTGTACTGCTATTTCTAATTATTAAGACACTCCATCTGTTTTTATTTGTCTTTGTTATCGTTTATTTAACTGGTTATTTTCAGTTTTTACTTTATTTATTAGGAGTATTACTGAATGTTTTCCACGTGATGAATTAACGTTGAGTAAAATTTAAAAGATGCAGCTTTATGGACTATTAAAATTTTTTTAAATGCTCATTTTGCAACGATCCACACAAATTAATCCAGTTGTAGTCGTAGGTTATATTTTAATTTGTAACTATCCTCTATGATCTAAATTTGTTTGGTTGCTTAAAAAACAACTTTGCTTTGTTTGACAGAATCTAGACAAAAAAAAAAAAAAAAATTGATTAATTCGTTCTGAAACTGACATTTTTCATTGGCTATTTTTTAGGGGGAAGAGTAAAACATTAAAACAAAAAAACACATTTACATTAAATTAATCAGCGTCTTACTTGTAGATTATACGGTGCGATAACAGCGATATCTTTAGCTTTAACTCCAGCTTCAGTCAAGGCCTTTATGTGAAGCTCAACAATGTCCACCTCACCTGTGACAGTTAACACGACGTTAGGTCGCACAACAGCAAACAGAACAGAATCATTCAGTTTTAGTTTTAATTAAAGGCGTTTAAACCTCGGTTTCCTTTGGACTGCTCCTCTGTGACTTCCATCTCAGTCAGACCACACCCTGCTGTGTCAATCAGAAGGAGCGGAGTGGAGGTTTCTTCAACACAAGTGACGCCTGGTAGATCCCTGTTGGACCAAAATCACCTTAAACGTTCCATTCTTAAAGTGAGACTGTACGAAAACCCCAACATGAGATCTTTTCTTTGACTCTATGGATGCTCACTTCAATAAATGCCTCTCCACTGAGCTGTGAGCGGTTAGTCTTCCACTGTACATGTTTCTGGAGGCCCACTCCATGATGGCACTGTTCATGCGGTACTGAACTGTTAGCATACGGACCACCGAGTCTCCGTACATCTGGATCAGTCGTTCCATGAGGCTCAGAGATAAGCCTTTTGATGCAGCCCTGTAACAGAGAACACACAGAAGATAAATCATTTGAACCATTGTACAAAAAATAATAGCATGGTTCTTTAAAAACACCTTTTTCTTATCAAATAGCGCCATGGGAGAAAAACGATATCAAGGACGCATTATGATATTTAAAACAAAATAATGCGCGTTACTGTCGAGGTGCACGGACGAAATGCTTGAATGTGAATTAAAACAGGACAGATTGTGTTACGTTTGTGATTTGATGGTCGGTGGTAACTGCTTGTGGTCTCCAGCCAGGATGCATTTGCGTGCTCTGAGCAGGGCGATCCAGCAGCTGCTCTCCAGGGCCTGAGCGCACTCGTCAATCACCACCCAATCGAAATGCTCTGCTGACAGGAGCTTCAGGGGACCGTCATCACAGGCTCCTGCAGACACAAACACGCGCTCACTGTCGTCTTCACTGCTACAATTCAATGACATAGTCTTGATTCCACTGACCGGTGTTGGTCGACAGCACAACATCAGCACTCTTCAGGATCTGGGTCATGGCTGTTGCCTCCCGGTTTTTTAGCTCTTTTCTCAGCTCCCCTATTTCACGTTTAAAGTTTACCCTCTCTCCTTTGTCTGGCTTCTTCTTCATCCCCAGCTGGAAAAACAAAAGGAGACATAAAATTTCACAAACTACTTGACGTAACGCTAAAGGGAAGTTTCAGGAGATCAAACTACGATCCTCACAAAAGCTTTGTCGATATCTTTACGGATGTCAGCGATGATGTTTGCATTGTCACTCTGAGCGAGCACGGCGTCCAGTGAGTGTTTCTGGATGGACTCCAGGAGTCGGGCAGGGTGACCCAGTCTCAGGACTTTAGCCTTGCAGCGGGCTAATCTTTCCACTAAATTATCCACTGCAACATTTGACGGAGCACAGCAGAGGACCTGCACAGGCACAAAATCCCAGATATCAAAATGATCCTGTCTGAGGCATTTCCACATCATTTTTTACCCTTCTGTTCTAAAATAATTTTTTTGCACCTTTTGGCCTCGTTTTACTGCTTGCAGGATGATCTCAACCACAGTAGTGGTTTTACCGGTGCCCGGAGGTCCATGGATCACAGCCAGTTCTCTCTGTGACAGAGCAAAGGTCACCGCTTCTCTTTGAGAATCATCCAAGTCTGAGTTAAAGAGTTCAACCTCATCTGATGAAACAAAACAAAAACACACAAAATTAAACGCAGCGTCAAGATGGTGAACTCCTCAAAGATGCATTTTGTGAAGCTTTACTCTGCTGCGAGTGAGAAGAAGGCTGCGCGTCCCCAAAGAGAACATTTATCAAACTGCCCGCTGGTCCGTTGCTGTATCCACTTAATGAATTTAAAGCACTGCAAGCACAAAACACAATAAGAAAATTGGATGATTAAATCATAAATTATACACTCCTAAACGTTAAACATTACAGACGTCACTCACCGTTTCATTCGTTTGTAAGTGACATCATTGGCTAACTTTAACAAGTTGTAGAAAGCATCTCTGTCAAAGCCGACGCCATCCTTCAAATCGTCAAAGGCCACGCTTACAGATGCCTGGCTGACCCTCGTTACTATCCCCGTGCATATCTGTGAGGCCGCAGAGCATCCGGAGGAGTCATACAAGCCCACTATATCACCTGGAACAAAAAAAGCTCATCTCACTGTCTGCAAAACACGAAGCAAAAGACCTGGTAACAGATGTTCAGTCTTCCATCTCACCTGGACCAAAGCTGTTGCTTGGAAGAGATGAAAACCCAAGATGCTTCCTCGGTTCTAAGACAACAACGGTGCGACCGTACAGGCCCGTGGACTGACTTCCAATCTGCAGCTTCAAAAGGCAAACGCCTTTATTTTGAAGGTCCTTCAAGGAAACGTTTTCCTGCCATATCCTGAGGAGAAAAGATGACAGGCATTTTATAGACCCAGCTTTGGATAAAAGGAACAACTTTCTTAGCATAATATGGAGAAAATATAGTAGTTTACATTGAATACCTGTTTTCTGTATAAGGTTGTATACTAAGGGTCTAAAATATAATTTCATGTTTGCTTTAATGTTTATTTTAAACGTTAAGTTTCTTTCAGCTGCTCTCTTCTTCAGGGGTCACCACCAGCGATCAAACGCACATGACAGATTTGTTAATTTGTTTTATGCTGGATGCCCTTCCTGACGCAACCTGGGCTCAAACCATCAACCTCAGGATTACAAGACCACGGCACTGACCACCGAGCTACCGTAGCCTTTAAATGTTAAGAATGAATAGGTACATTTAAAAGCAAAAATAAATATTTTACAGTATTCTACAGCCAATGGAAAAATATGTGCATGCAAATATGTATTCAGTTTTTGTAAGATTTTATTTATATGTCATCAAATGTTTTTTTTATTTTACTTTTACGCAAATATTCTCTTTCAGCAACTACCGGTACTCAGTCAGCGCCCCTGTCTACAGTCAGCGTTCGATCAGGTGTTTATTGCTAAATGTTAACATTTACCTCAACCACTTTCCTATTTACAGTTACAATTTTGATATTTGTGTAACTTTTTAAAATATTTGGTTTCGTGAAAATTCAAAGTTCAAGTTAGTTAACTGTCATATGTACCAGAAACAACGTCACAGTAAAAATAAATTATTATTCTGTGCATGTTCCAGTAATCTGTACCACGAGATGCGAAAAGAGTAAATACGTACAGTAAACAAAATAAACATTAAATAAGACTAGACAACAAAGTAAAATAGTGTTATAAATTTAATACGGTGCCGGACTCTTTACATGTTAGCAACAAAGGAGGAATTTAAATAAAAAAAAATAAATAAATGCCTAGAAAATGTAAACAAGAAAATTAGAGAAAAAGTCCAAAAGTTGATCTAGTAGACCTTTGAAAGGACAAATTTCACTACAAGAGTGAACTTGCAATGCATTTAAAATAAATCATTTATTCTTGAATCTCCAGGCCCTGAATAAATATTTTGAATCCTTTCCTAAATGGGTTCATACCTGGTTTCTTGTATTTCAGCCTCCCGTTCTTCTTGTAGAAGCTCGAGCGTTTTTGAAACAAATTTTTCCAACGCCATTTCTATTTAAAAAAAAAAAAAGAAGGTAAAATAAATAAAAAACTGTAGGACTTTGTATCTATACACAACAGGTGAACTACACAGGAAGTTAACACACAAAACAGAATGCATTTCACTGATCAGACTTGGTGTAATTTATGGATCGGTAATATTCCCCATAAAAATCGATGTCTATCTCTATGATGGATTAAACTTGGTGTCACAGTAGAAGAAATAGAGCCTTGACATAGTTTAACTTTTCATTCTTGTGTTTAAATTATGGATGAATCTCAGATGACATCATCCTTTCAGGTCACCTTGAATTTAATGTCCAACATTTTGAGTTAAAACATTTATCTGTTTTTGGTTTGGTCTCAACAAGATTTGTTTTCTCTAAATTCCAGAGTTGTTCAGGTCTCAAGGTTAAATTTGTATTTAACATCTATTAAAACCACAAGCACACTTTAAATAAATAAAACTGTTCTTATTGAATTATGTCCATAATCAAATACACTTAAATACATACATCTGTATAAATAGGATTATTTACTTGTTTTTTGTAAAATGACAAAACACAGTAGGCTACTCTGATCTAAATGACCTACACAATTGTCCATGTGCAAACCAATTTATTAAATTATAACTTAACTTTCATGAGTTTTTACTAAACACAACTTTTAAAATGTCAACTTTCATTTACTGATCCACAGTCATTTTTGAAGAAAATGTCTAAAACGCTCAAGACGATTCAAAGCAAAACGGTTTGAACCACGTGTTTGAAATGTAAAGTCAAAATCAGTTCGCAGTCTGTAAATATAATGTTTATTAACACGACAGGACAAGTTTACATACGTACCAGGACAAGTAAAAAATAAAATAAGTAGCTCTCAGAATGATGCACGTGTTTTACACACTGAAATAGAGAAGTTCAAGGTTGACGGTACGACAGCTATTTGAACAAGACAGAAGCTGATAAAGACACTTACCTACTGACGAGTCACCAAAACATGAAATTATATCAATTATATTTAATCAGTCAAATTCGTTCTGTTGCTCCCTGTGGGTCTATGGAGTCGTCTTCCTTGTTTACGTCCTCCATCCTGTCAGGCAGCCATATTGCCACCTAGCGGCCGGGAGGACGTTTTTTTTTTTTTTTTTTTTTTTGCGCAAACGTCTCAACTTTTATTTTGAAAACAATCCAAACACGGAAGTGACGTACATTTCCTCGACGCTCCTCCAGTCCAACAACGCTGGCCTAAGTTTTCTAACACAACCACTGACAGTCAAAGCTGCTTTTTAAATCATTATTATTATCAAATATCTTTGCTGTATGACTTTAAAGTGGACGCCGCCGTGTGAATTCAGTTCGGGATATGTTGGCGTTTAATCTGCCACATCTCAGTCAGGAAGGAAGGAAGCGCACAGCCTCTGCAGGAAACCAGCAGTCACACATTTTAGTCTTCATTTGTTCGTTTTCGCTGACTTCTTGGAAATGAAAGCCGCGTTATTACTGCTGCATGTGGTCTCGTCCTGGTGGCTGGTCAGCGCCACTCTTTCCAAAACAGACGCGAAGAAGTCCCACAAAGCTGAAGCTGAGGTGAGTGACAGCTGCTGCGACCTGCTCGTGCACGGAGGCTGCGCTTAACCTGCACCTTGCTGCTGTTTAGACATCTCCAGCTGAGCTGTCTGTGATGGAGAGAGGTCTTGTTGTCTCAGACCTGCAATGGAAAGACGTCGTGAAGGAGGAGAAGAGGCACAGTGCTGACATCCAGAAGACATTTCAAGGAGCTGTTCTTGGATACGTCACACCAGTGAGTCTGGTCTTCTTACAGTCTGTGTTGCTCAGCTTCTGTTGGCAATGATGCAGTTCAAGGACAGCTTTGATTTTTACATTTGTTTCAATGCAAACTTGACTTCTAACCTCATGATCTAATAATAAGCACTATGTTGTTTTTTTTTGCGAGTTGCAAAAAAAAAAAGCCACTATTTGCATCTCATCTGATTGTATTTTAAAGTAAATTAACACATACATGCTTTAATAAAACTATAATCTGTTGTTAAACTGGTTTTCTGTAAATCCACTAGGACCAGATCTAATAATTAGTGAGCATGAAGTGCACACTAATGACATCCAGCTAGTTTCTCCTGTGGCGTTTTATATATATTTTTTAATTCCACCTTTATTTATACAGGTTAGTCTCATTGAACCTCGAGGACTCATTTACAAGAGAGACCTGTTCTTTAACAAAGAGCGATGACAGCAGTAGACAATAAAAGAAAGCATATAAATTGAAAAAATAAATGGAATAAAATTATATAAACAGGCTTTAACTATTGGTGTTTTCTTATCTTAAAATATATCCACTCAATTTATTTATTTTATTTAACGAGAATTGGCATTTTTGCGTCATTTTAATGTTTCATTTTATTCTGTTCTCTTCTATTCTGATCTTGTACTAGCAGTATCGCTACCACAGCTAATACTAGTAGTACTATGTGTACTGTGCTTACAGACGTACATGTCTGCTGAAGGATAGTAAAAAAAAATGCCAATAAAACTAGTTTTCATTTCATACTCATGTTTTTTTTTTTTTTTTTGCAGAATTTTTTTCTAGTTGCATCCAGTTTCTTGTATAGTTATGAAATTTAAATCAGATTGTTACAAACTTGTAACACTTGTTAAGCGACATTAATAATATTTAACAACTGGCATCAAATCAACCTTGCGTAAGAGCAGGTTCGTAACTTAGATCTGTGTCTTGATGCAGTATTTAGTCTTTTTTTTCTCCGCCCTGCAGTGGAATTCCCACGGATACGACGTTGCCAAGATGTTTGGCTCCAAAATGACGTCGGTCTCCCCAGTTTGGCTTCAGCTCCGTCGACGGGCTCCTGAAACCTTCGACGTTACGGGACTCCACGATCACGACTCTGGTAGATGAGCCACTTCATTTACAGTCAAAGCACAAGTCATGTTTTACATGAGGGGACTTTAAAGCTTTGTTTCTTTGCAGGTTGGGTCAAAGCAGTACGCAAGTCAAACAAAAAAGTCCGTCTGGGTGAGTAATGTCTGTCACTGTGGATCAGTGTCGGCAGATGAATCTTCATTATTGTTGTAACGCTTTTATCCCCAGTGCCTCGGCTCTTGTTTGACGGCTGGTCCTATCAGGACTACATGAGCGTGCTGGGGAGTGAAGATGAAATCGAGGAGCTGGCGAGTGAGCTGGTGGATGTTGCAAAGGTAATTAGGTGTCGTGTTTATCTTCAACTCCCTTCAATCGTTGCGTTTGCTCGATAACTGACGAGGAAGCTGTGGCCTTTCAGACCGAAGGATTCGATGGGTTTACCTTGGAGCTCTGGAGCCAGCTCGGAGGCAACAAGAGAAAGTGAGTTTTTTTTTTTTTCTTCTTCAAATCAGTGTTGGATATATATTTTTTATCAGAGGTGAATAAAAAATTTAAACGTGTATATTTTCCCACATTTAGGGAGCTGGTGCATTTGGTGAAGCACATATGTGAGAGTTTGAAAGCTAAAAAGTTAGACTGCATTCTCGTTATTCCACCGGCTGTGACGAGGTGAAAGATGTTAATTAAACATATTTATATTAAAGAATCACAGTGATCTGTGCCGATTAATAAAAATATTCTTCTCATCATCATCAGTACCGGACAGCCGGGGATGTTTGGCAGGGAGGAGTTTGAGGAGCTGGCTCCAGTTGTTGATGGCTTCAGCCTGATGACGTACGACTACTCCAGTGGCCCCAGGTGAGCGCGCCGACTGATTTTCTTAACGTTCGAGCAGGAATAATCGACAGACGACAAGAAAATTTAAAGCAGATAATGTTCTGCTTGTCTTATTGTTTGAACAGATCTGGACCGAGCGCCCCCCTCCCCTGGGTCAGAGAATGTGTTGTTCAGCTGGCTCCCAGCAGTCAGTGGAGACAGAAGATCCTGCTCGGACTCAATTTGTACGGACTTGATTTCGCGAGCCACGGAACCGAGCCCGTCCTGGGGGGGAGGTGAGACAAAACTGCAAATACTTTGCATGTGGTACAAAAGATTTGTTTCATCAATTTTAGCTTCAATAAGTTTCAATCGGGGGGGGTTGATATGGCATTACATAAATATACTGTGTCTCCAAAGTCCTTTTCTTGTTCACTCATTTAACATTTAATGTACAGTGCCATGCGAAAGTATTCGGCCCCCTTGAACTTTTCAAACTTTTGCCACATTTCAGGCTTCAAACATAAAGATATAAAATTAATTTTTTTTGTGAAGAATCAACAACAAGTGAGACACAATCGTGAAGTGGAATGAAATTTATTGGATGTGTCAAACTTTTTTAACAAATAAAAAACTGAAAAGTGGGGAGTGCAATATTGTTCGGTCCCTTTACTTTCAGAGCAGCAAACTCACTCCAGAAGTTCAGTGAGGATCTATGAATGATCCAATGTTGTCCCAAATGACTGATGATGATAAATAGAATCCACCTGTGTGTAATCAAGTCTCCGTATAAATGCACCTGCTCTGTGATAGTCTCAGGGTTCTGTTCAAAGCACAGAGAGCATCATGAAGACCAAGGAACACACCAGGCAGGTCCGATATACTGTTGTGGAGAAGTTTAAAGGCGGATTTGGATACACAAAGATTTCCCAAGCTTTAAACATCCCAAGGAGCACTGTGCAAGCAATCATATTGAAATGGAAGGAGTATCAGACCACTGCAGATCTACCAAGACCCGGCCGTCCCTCTAAACTTTCATCTGGAACAAGGAGAAGACTGATCAGAGATGCAGCCAAGAGGCCCATGATCACTCTGGATGAACTGCAGAGATCTACAGCTGAGGTGGGAGAGTCTGTCCATAGGACAACAATCAGTGGTACACTGCACAAATCTGGCCTTTATGGAAGAGTGGCAAGAAGAAAGACATTTCTCAAAGTCATCCGTAAAAAGTGTTGTTTAAAGTTTGTCACCTGGGAGACACACCAAACATGTGGAAGAAGGTGCTCTGGTCACATGAAACCAAAATCCAACAATGCAAAACGATATGTTTGGCGTAAAAGCAACACAGCTCATCACCCTGAACACACCATCCCCACTGTCAAACATGGTGGTGGCAGCATCATGGTTTGGGCCTGCTTTTCATCAGCAGGGACAGGGAAGATGGTCAGAATTGATGGGAAGATGGATGGGGCCAAATACAGGACCATTCTGGAAGAAAACCTGTTTGAGTCTGCAAGAGACCTGAGACTGGGACAGAGATTTATCTTCCAACAAGACAATGATCAAAACATAAAGACAAGTCTACAATGGAATGGTTCACAAATAAATGTATCCAGGTGTTGGAATGGCCAAGTCAAAGTCCAGACCTGAATCCAATCGAGAATCTGTGGAAAGAGCTGAAGACTGCTGTTCACAAACGCTCTCCATCCAACCTCACTGAGCTCGAGCTGTTTTGCAAAGAAGAATGGGCAAGAATTTCAGTGTCTCCATGTGCAAAACTGATAGAGACAAACCCCAAGAGACTTGCAGCTGGAACTGCAGCAAAAGGCGGCGCTACAAAGTATTAACGCAAGAGGGCCCAATAATATTGCACGCCCACTTTTCAGTTTTTTATTTGTTAAAAAAGTTTGACACATCCAATAAATTTCATTCCACTTCACGATTGTGTCCCACTTGTTGTTGATTCTTCACAAAAAATTTAAATTTTATATCTTTATGTTTGAAGCCTGAAATGTGGCAAAAGGTTGAAAAGTTCAAGGGAGCCGAATACTTTCACAAGGCACTTGTATAATCGATACCACAGTTCAAGGTTCTTTGTTGTCATTCATCTCATGTGGTACATGAGGTAAGGCTCCAATTACACCCAAATATAGCAAAAATATCCATCCATCCATTTTCTTTACCCGCTTATTCCATTTTGGGTCACGGGGGTCGCTGGTGCCCATGTCCAGCAATCACTGTGCGAGGGGCGGGGTACACCCTGGACGGGTCGCAAGTCCATCACAGGGACACATAGAGACAAACGAGACAAACAACCATTCACTCTCTCACTCACACCTAGGGACAATTTAGTTACCAATCAGCCTAACATGCATGTTTTTGGTCTGTGGGAGGAAACCGGAGTACCCAGAGAAAACCCACGCATGCACGGAGAGAACATGCAAACTCCACCCAGAAAGGCTCCTGGACCGGGGTTTGAACCAGGAACCTGCTCGCTGAGAGGCAGCAGCTCTACCAGTTGCGCCACCGTGCTGCCCATAGCAAAAATATAAAGTATAAAATAAACTGTGTACAAGAATCTAAGATATATGCTAAACACTAATAATATAAAATAAACAGCAGCCAGAACATGAGTCTGTTGTGAGCAGATGGATACAGCTGCATGGATTATCAGTAGGGGTGCGAATCTCTGTGTCTGTCAATTCGATTCAGATTTTTTTTTTGTGTGTGTGCAACCATTCAATTCAGAATCAATTTTCAATTCAGAAACTATTTTCGATTGAAATGAATGGTCACAAATTTTGTTTAAATTGTGTAACTGACAAGATGAAAAGTTTAAATAACAATTTAAACAAATAGAACATTATTTAAAACATTAATATATGCTAGTAGTAAACACTAATAATGTAAAGTAATACAGTATAAAGCAGCAGCCTGAACTTTGAGCAGATGGGTATATGAATAGAATACAGCAGCTTAAACTCAGCAGCACAAATAAAGTGTCACCAATTAAAGTGGCATTACAGTGTTTCTGGTTAGAGATTCATGAGTCTAACAGCCTCAGGGTAGAAGCTGTTCCTCAGTCTAGTGGTTCTACACTTAATGCTCCTTCCTGAGGGGAGTGGGGCAAAAAGTGTGTGTGCTGGGTGAGTGGGGTCCTTCATGATGCCGGTGGTCCTCTTCCTGCATCTGGAGGTGTAGATGTTTGTGATGGTGGGGAGACTGATTCCAAGTCTTCTGTGCAGCCTTCACCACTCTCTGCAGAGCAAAATTAGGTTTCACTGCTATGGTTGTGTTGCAAGTGCAACACTTCCTTTTGTAGACATGCCTGGAGAAAATCTTTTGCATCTTTAAAATCATCTCTTGTTTGGGTTGTTTGCACAAAGTATTGTGCAATCATTGAACGCTAATTTGTCCCATAGTGCGTGCTCAGAAAAGCCTCTTTGACTCGTTTCCTGTCAAAACCTGGTGCTCGACCTGTCTGCAGTCAAGATTCAGCTGCACGGAGCGAGACCCAAATAATCCGTTCTGTCTTTGAATCAACCTCAGAAACAGATGAATAGTAAAGAGAAATGTCCTGCAAACAAAACAAAAAAAACGTGTCTAAACTCACAATTTAAAAACTATTTGTACATAACAAAAAAAATCATGACTAAATAAACAACGAAAGTAAAAATTTGGAATAATTAGGAATAAATGCAGACTTGAATGTGAGACGAGCTTTTAGGATGTTCTGACGCTTCCCGTTTGTCTGTGGTTTTCTGTAGGTACATCGAGATTTTGAGAGAAAATAGGCCCAAAATTCTTTGGGACGAACATTCAGCCGAACATTACTTCAGTTATAAAAGGTACGAGTTTACTAAGACATTAAAAAAAAAAAAGGGTTTAAATTTACTCAGTGTTTCTAAACAAAGATCTGTTCCCTTCTTTCATGTTAGAAACAACGCAGTCAAGCATGTAGTGTACTATCCATCACTGAAGGTAAAACTCATTAAAACTTCAAACAATAATGAGTATTAATATCTACACTAGATGAAAAACAATAATATTCTATTTATTTTTGCAGTCCATCTACCTGAGGATCTCTTTGGCCACTGAACTGGGAACAGGCCTTTCTTTATGGGAACTGGGACAAGGACTGGATTATTTCTATGACCTCCTATAAGTGTTGGACTTCTCAGTAAAAGCAGCACATTAATTCATCTCGATTGCATTTTTTCTTTTTTTGAACAGAAACGATCTTTAGTGAAGCATCGACACAGTTTGGTTAATATTTAACTTGTTTGGGTCGTGAATGTGTTGAGAAATCTCGTCTGGGTGAATGAAGGGGAAGTCGTTAAAAAAAAAAAAGGTACTTTGTTCTTGAGTTTGGGTTATTTGACGCTGAGCTTGTGATTTGTACAGATTAAAGTGTAACAGCGCATCTACATTCAGCCAAAAAATAAAAATAAAAGGGGTTTGTTTGTGTGTGGTCATACTTTTTGGATTCAGATGTAATTGCTAGAGAAAAAAAAAAACTTCACTAATGATTTATTACTTACCAATATTACAGATTGTGTAACATTTTATTCAACAATAATGATAAATATAATGTATTTACAGTCTCAAACATCTGACAAATCATCATCCAGTATTTCTTGAGAATAAGAGTTGTACAAAAACATTTATTTTGCGTTACAAAGCAAGATTAGATTATTCACAGCGAGGGACGTTGACTGCATGTTCTGTCCAGTTACTAGGTGTCTGTCTATGACCACATGGACGGCGTCTTCTTCACTTGCTGAAAGGCAAAGATAAACAGCTGATCTGAGAAACTTTCATTTTGCGTATTTATATACAGTATGTGTGGGTTAGCTCACCTGTGTACGACCCACCGCTGTCTTTTACAAAATCTTCAACAATCAGAGGCAGATTGGCAAAGTCGGGCTTCCGCACCAGTTCGAACACCGACGGCTATCGAGGAACGGTTACTGTTAATAAGTAGAGTGAAGGCCTGGATAAACATCTAGAGGCGTATTCACTGACCCCGGTTAAGCTGTAACCGCTGAAAATCCACCTCTGCCCATCTGTGGCACAGCACAGAGCTGACACGCCCTGACCCACGGCACATACCGCCTCTGCAAAATAAGACGAGGGAGAACAACTACATTTATGTAGCTACAAAAGATGTAGAGGGTTTGAAATGCGTCTTAAACTCACTTTGCTGAGAGATGAACTGCGTAAGAATGCGGTGCAGAGAGCCGCTGCTGGCCAGGTCGTGCAGCGCACCGGGGCAGTCTGGGATGAGCAGCGCCTGATATCTGGCTCCTTAAAAAGGTGAGAGATGTTTCTGAGCCAAAGCCATAAATAAAATGGCTACATGACGATTAAATAATTAAACTCACCATCTATGGATTCGAGTTTGGCTGGTGTTGCGTAGGATTTTACGTTGAAGTCCTGCACCCATCGAGCCGTGCTTTCATCCACTCCAACAAAGTCGATGGTCTTTCCCTGCAGTCCAGAACAAACTCATGGTGAAACACTGACGAGGCACCAGGACATGAACTGGAACTACTTTCAATAAACGGCCTCTTTAATTCAAACTGCGTGACTTTAAGGCTGCAGTCTGTTTAAAATAACTGTCCTTGACAAATTCATCAAAGAAAATAATTTAAAGCCTGGTGTAGACTACGTGAGATGCTGTGTCTCACTTGGGATACAATGAAATTAGAAATTAATTGCATATTTTTAAATTCTGTTGACAATTATGGGAAACAGAATGAACCAAGTTGTTCCACACTGGGATGTTCAAATCTGAAGCACACACATGCAAATCTAGATTTTAAAAAGTTGTCCAGTAAAAAGCTTTTTTTAAATTTTATTTTAACATTCAACTTAAATCTTTGTACGTGGAGGTAATAAGTAGGTTCACATACAGATGAACCTTTAGAAGTTACTGAATGTTTCTGATTAAAAATAGGAAATTTTGTAAAACTATTACCATCTATTTAAATTACACTTTGTTAGTTCTGTAGTTGCAACGGTTACCATGGAAATTACTAATATTGACCAATACCATGCCGATAAAATTGTGCATCCCTAATTATTATTAACAGATTTACAACTGAGCTTCAAGTAAATGTTAAAATTCACTTACCACTGGGTTTTTGATGCCAAAATGTAAATATGAATGTATCTGCTATAATTTTTAAATGATCACCATTGCAGAACCCTTTTATATTATTATGGCTTCTTCATACAAAACATGTTTATCTGTCAATAAAAAGATGATCTTTTCTACGGAAAAAGTTTAAAATCTTGTACAGTCCAACAAGAGTTGTAACGTTTCATGATGGTCTCTAAAGAACGTGTATAAAAGGATCTCGTTGCCATTTTTAATTGATTGATTAGGACCGTTTTAAAGGGGTAACAATTGTAAATAATGTTAAGAATGTCTCCCTGGTTTTGTTTATTTACAGATGTTAGCTCAGAAACAGCCAAGACCATTTCTGACTGATGTCTTCTTGAATGCTGAACTAAAAGATGGTGGAAAAAAACCATCTCTCTCTCAGAACAATGGTTCTTGTGTTCTTGTTGGGTGCTTTTATGCAGACCAGACAACAGTCAGAGGAGTAAATAGATGGTTCTGAATCAAACGTGTGTTAATGAAGTCTTTACCTTCAGGTACAGATGATAAAATTACAACTCTCCTCTGGTAACAGCATCAAAAAAACAACACATTTAGCAACAAGAACTTGTGAAAGGGCAACAAGTGAATCGGAGTCTAAATGTGCCTAAACAGGAGGTGAGAGTTTACACTTTAGTTAAAATGAGTAGTTCAAGTAGGATCTTAAAGATGAAAGCTGAATGCATTCATATTAAAATATGCAGATACATTTGTTGGTGCGTTAACTGAAACTGTTTCATTCGTGAAAAATGATTCAACTATAAACAATTTTTCAAGTATATCTGCACGCACAATGTTAGGAAGTAAACAAAAAATGTATTTTTTTTTAAAGAATTGTTCACCAGTATTACCATATTTGTTGGAACCCATAGAGATGATTAATATTTGCATTACAGCCATGTTTGAAACCGTTTGACCTTAATAATCATCACAAGTGCCTATAATCTTTTCATGGGCCATTCAGACTATTTAAAGGGAACGATCACACCAAGCTACTACGCAGTGGCACGTTCGCTCCCTTTAAACAGACTGAATGCCTCAAAAAGCTTGGACACGTTTTTGAGGAGCGCAGGAAGATTATTGATATCCATGTTAAAGATAAAAGCTACAAAACCATCTCCAGGCAGCATCATGTTCCTGTCACCACAGCTGACCATATTATTAAAAAGTGCAAGGTTCATATGGGACTGTAGCCAGACATGGCTGCAAGAGGAAATGCAGCCCCACGTTGATCTGTTGGAAAGTGAGAATGGTAGAAAAAAGGAAACCATCCAAAACCATTTAGGCTGTGCCACTTCCTGATCACAATATTAATTGGCTCTGTGGAAAACAACCCAGGAGCTCCACTACTGACAGAAAAAACATGAAGCCTCAACTGGAATTTACCACAACGCATGTTGACGAGCCCTAAACTGATGAGACAAAACTGGAGCTCTCGCCAGTTGCATCACTTGAGTCGCTTGTGTTTTTTATTATTATGGAAAGGTGCCAACTAAGTTATCCACATTTGTGCAGTGATATTATCTTTTCTTTTCGGCTGCTCTCTTCTTCAGGGCTCGCCACAGCGAGCAAACCTGCTTGAAGCCTGTGTACTGGTATAACGCTCTAAATGAAGTGGAGCTTGAAGCAGGTTTTTGAAGTATTTCATTTTAAACATGCCGTTTTGAAATGAGAAAATCTAAGACATTGATCCCACTTTCGGGAGTTTGTTCATATGTATGTTTTTATTAAGATTTAATTATCCCAAATAAAGTTAAAAATTAATGTATCAGCATAAACAAGTTAGAAGAAACTTTTTGCCTTGAGGATCTGTCTAATCAACATATTTAAATTCACTTCTAAGCCTCGTGAAAAGGATTCCAGGAGGAAATAATTCACATTAGCAAACGTTTAATGTCAAGTACTTATACCAGAAAAGGCTGTATCAACAGCTTGAGTGATGCACATCGTTTTCATACATTATATTTTTGTCACGTAAAAACAGAACAACGTGCTGACGTCACAGACAGCCTTTAATTTAACGGCCATTTCCTGCTTTTGTTTTCAAGATAAAAACTCTTACCCCTGGCGTGGCCACCTGGAGATTAAACGCTGTGCTACAAAGACTGAAGCACTGAAGAAAAGATTTGGCTGACACCCCTGAGTGAATAAAAACAGCAATGATCGACACAAACCATCAAAGAAGATGAACAACAGCTCGCAATAATAAATAACAGAACAGGCCGCTTTAACAAATATTTTGTTTATTATCGAACATATATTTGTCTCACCTTGAGGAGAAGCGCTCGCCACTATTAAACAAGTTGGTTTCGCAGACATGCTATTAAAGTTTAGCTTACAATGAATGAGAAGCTACAACACGACGCTAGCAGGAAGTTCAGTCAGCTGACAGCAACATCCGCTTGAATATTTTCACAATAAAAGTTCCAACCAAAATGCACATTTCTGAACGATTCAATGACCAGAACAACAGGACGTGTGTTATTCGCATTTTTACAAACTTAAAACAGTTAAATTGTAGCCTAAGTAATTAACTTATGTTGCATAAAATGTAGGTCTGCAAACCTTTCCAAAGCCAATTCAGATTTTTCTGCCTTTTTGCAGGTGTTCTTGGTTAGAAGTGCTCACCTGTCGTCTCTTTGTTATAAAATGAAACATGAGTGGAATTCTCTGTGAAGATAAGATTAGTGCTGTCCTGCAGCGTTATGGTCTCTTTAGTGTTTTGTTATTTTATTCTGTCATATTTGGAGTCATCTGTACAGCATCATTGTGGGTAAGTGTCATAGAAACATCCAATAAAAAGTTTTAAAGTTAACAACTTGATTTTAAAGATGCTTCAAAATCAGTATGGATCTTCTTTCAGGTTTCGATAAAGGCAGCAAGTGAACATCATCCCCACGAGCTGAAAGAAAACAGAATTAAATAACTTGTTAGTTCATTGTATTGAAAACTGAGAATCATGTTGTTCTGTGCTTTGGTCAGTGATTAAATCTTCACCTGTAGAAATGCAATCCCAACACCCACCACACCAAGAATATATAACTGACTCTGGATGAAGTGCTCTAATTTCATGATGCATCCTCCCTGAGGCATAGTGCAAAGGATAAAATAAAAATGTTGAACTGAAAAAAAAAAAATCAGCCATGGAGAACTGATGAAGAGCTCCTGTACCTCCACTTTGTAGATGTTGGATGGATGGTCCCTGCGGCCGCAGAGCTCACTGGGAGTTTTACAGCAGCTATCAGGAACAAGCCGCTTATTCTCTGGTTTCTGGATCCATACACTGTCTTTCCAGTCTGAGTAGTTGTGACTTCCACAGCATTTAAACTGCAGGGGAGGAAAGATAACGAATGGACTACTGTGTTTCATTTGACCAAATTTTCTGTAATTATGACAGAATCGTGCATCCTCTTCCACACTTCCTGGTGTAGCTTGTCAACAGCCTGCGTGATGCTCTCCTCTCCTGGCTGATGGTATTTCTGCTGCATAGTTTCCTTTAGATTCTGCTCCTCATCCAGCTGTGAAGCAGAAGAAGCAATTCAGCTGAGCCAAAAGAAACATCAGAAACTATCCCTCCCTCAAATAAAACTAGCCTCAGGTCAAGTTTCTTTCCTCCCCTGTAACATTCCTGTCTACCTGAGCATTTGCCCACACATAATTAAAAATATAAGGCCACAGATTCTCAGACCACGGTTTCTGACTCGCCAGAGCAGTTTTTACATTAGCTCACTGGTTAAAATGAAAATATGTTGCTTAACTCACAAAATGCAAAGACCAACAAATTAAAGCTAAACTGGGGGGTTTTGGAAACGTTTTGAACAATTATTAGCTTACATAATGTAGATAGCTCTTAAAACAACCTCAGATCGGATAAGTGGAGTTCAATTTTAAATGATTTGTTGAATCTTTGTCCAGGTTAGGATAATAGCTGAACAAACATGGACATGTTTGAGGAAACAACAGCAAACTAATTAAATGGTGCTGTACAAATCTGTGGAGGGATAAAATGAGCTAACGCAGCATTCTTTCACACCAGAATGTGTCAGCTTTGAATTATAGTTGATATACATTATATACATATATATACCATATACACATATACATATATTATATTTATACATAATATATATTTTTATTTTTTCCAATTGCCCCACATTGACCATTGGCCATCTATGACTGAGGACCTAATTATTGATAACTACTTGACAGAGCATTACTACAAAAATGACTAGGCTATCCCTTTCATCTAACTCATGAACTTTCATGGCAGTTTTTGCAAACATTATTTTTAAATTATTACACGACTATCATTTTCACATTACACAATTGTTCTAGCAGAAATTTTGCAAAAAGTGCCCCAAGCTGCTAGACACCACTGCAATAAAGAAATATTTCTGTCACTAACCATGTAATGTAAAATCTATTTGAATGTAAAGATTTATAAAATAGCATTTGCATATTAAATATTTAGAGCTGTTTGAACACAGCAGCACTTTGGCTTTGGCCTCACTCAGACAAGCTGTTGACCGATCAGTCCTATCAGAGTTGAACTGTTTCTCTAAACTCAGGTCATGCAAAGAGTTCATTACAAGAGGTAAATAATACTTGTTCATAACCTTTCCACAGAGCCCCATTTTATAAAATCTTTAACGTAAATAACCTTTGAAGAAACTGATGCAAAAGAGGAACACACGTCATAAATTTACCTGGTGGCAGAAAGGGAAACACTGCAGCGAGAACAAGGAGGAAGAAAGAAGAGGTGTAAAAAGAATGGAAAACATGGAGAACATGCACAGAAATGCATGCTGAGCAAATCTCACAACAGAATGCAGCAACCCAGGGGGTTAGATATTTTAAAACAAATTATAGAAAGTAAAGAATTAGGTTTAAAAGTGCATGAGGTGGAATGATACACACTTAAATGGAAAAGTATGTACTTTGCAAATGCTTCATTGACGTTTAATAAAACAAAATCAATAATTTGTGTTGAAAATGATGGCGGGTCCAACTGTCAGAAGTTAAAACAGGAGACAAAACACCTCACCTCCTGGTAGTTAACGTAAGCCAGGACTCCAGCAATGATTTCCAGTAGGAAAATACACAGCAACAAAACCAAATACTGCAGAGAATAAACATAAAGTATACAAGTATGAATAAGATCAAGTGGACAAACACACATTCTATTATTCATATGGTATGTTCTCTGTGCAATTATGTGTTAAAGTGTGAACAAAATTAAAGCCTGAAATAGATTCAACACTGGCACTTTTTGTGGATGACTAAGCCAAATCAAAAGTGAGACTGGAGAACAAATAATGAAACTGTGGAAAAGGAAGTTACTTTTTTTCATGTGGTAGGATCTAGAAATAGCCATGATGTCACAGTTTGTGCAGGTTTGCTGTTGACCTGTATCACCTCGCAGCACGTGTCTGTCTCTCTTCAGTCTGAGCAGCCGCCTCTGATGCCCCTCATTCCTGTGGCATGAGTCGCGCTCTAAATGTAAGCCCTTAAAGACACACTCTGCGTGACTTTCCCTGTCTTATCTGATAGCACGCCTGACATATGGAGCTGCACTGAATGGATGCGGACCAGCCAGAAGGTCACCACAAATTAACTCTCAACACACTGGCCAGACTCTGAAAGATGTCTTAGGCTCAGATTTGACCTACCGTATTTTTCGGACTATAAGGCGCAATATCAGTGCGGCGCACCAGATTATAAGGCGCATTAAGTGAAACAAAACAGTCAGACAAGTCAAACTTTATTCAGCTCATTCACAATAACCACATCAAATCGGTTCGAGGTCAATAAGCACAACTAGAATTAATACATGAGGCGCAACTGATTATAAAGCTCGCTGTCGATTTTTGAGAAAATAAAAGTATTTGAAGTTCGCCTTATGGTTCGAAATATTCTAACAAGCTTTGCACAAGCAAAACAAAGCAATAAACGGTACACATGGTTTTCAAGTGTTTTAAAGTCCTTACCACGATCAGAAGACTTCTCATCTCCTTCAGAGTGGCACAGCATCCAATTATCCCGGTCGCGATCACGACGACTCCAGCGATCATCAGGATGTACGCAGAGGCTGAGTAGAAGTTGGAGTTTAACAAACTGATGTAGTCGCTCTTTGCCACCAGAGTCCACGCTCCCACTGCCAGCACGGCCCCTCCTGCAAGCTTCCACAGCATACCACCATCAGCACAATTCAGACCAGATGCTCATATCAAGAATGCAGCAGATAATTCGAAGCAGTGAAGACATTACTCCTAAAATATGACCAGATTGCAAACGAGACAACACCTCCAACAGGCAAGCAGCTACATTCGATTTTGCAAACTGGTCCTTTTAAATCCGAGTGCACACTTTGCAGCTGATCTTTCTATTCTTTGAACATATTAAAATTAATCGAGCAAAATGAAGAACAAATATTGCAAAAAGACTATATTTCTTCAGATTGATAGGTGACTGTGTTGTGAACCGCATATCTTTGCAAGCAGGTTTTAATAGTTTAGGATTTTTTTTCACAACTTCATGCAAACTTACCCAAAATAAAATATTGAAGAGGAAGAGTACATATTTCAGACAAATTACCCCACATGAGTCCGTTTTTTTGCCACGAGCTTCCATTCTGGACAAGAAAAGACAAATTAGGAGTCTAAAAACTGTTAAAAAACACTAAGAAATGAGCTTTAGAGGATTTGGAGAGTGAACAGAAGACAATCAGAAAGCAGGTCACACTTCTCAAGACAGCTTCTTTAATAAGAGATAACATTATCACGCATCTTTCGCCTTCCATTTCTGCGTAATGTCAAGGTAAAGCCTCGCACACGAGCACCGTATCTGATTAGGCGTAGTTAGTTGAGGCCTATGTAGAGATTTCCTCTTTCAGTCTGCATTAGTTCCACCTTTGGTTTAAAAAAAGTGATCCTGATGGGAGTTCAGCTGCAGCATATAAATAACCTTTTCTACAAACACATCATCTTTGTTTATTCTATTTATCTGAAAGGGAAACAAAAAGGCTTTTATTTTAAACTGGCATCAAGTCGGTGTGACTGTGGCGACAGAAAGAGCACAGACATGAAATCAAATATGTTGTGGGGAAAACATACTTAACGACTTGTGTCGCATGCCAGCCAGCAGACAGACGCATGTTCCCCCTCTCAGTAACTTACACTGATCATTTTACTCTGGGATTCTGAAGTTTGTTTTAATCTTAAATTGAACATATTTTATGGAGAAAAAAACACAAATCTGAGTAAAACAAGAGGATGTGCTTATAATATCTCTCTCGTGTATCTCTTTCTTAGCAGAAACAAACTAAACAATGAAGAAATGGACGACAGACGTCCATTGAAAAATAGATTTGTTTAGAGACATAAACTTAACTTCATGCACTAATGTTAATGCTTATACAGTTATTTTTAACTCATTGTATCTTGGAAAACACTGCTCTCCCTTTTCATTGAGACCAAAATACTCCTACCTGATTTTAGATGATGGACCTCAGAGTTGCAGATCCCCCTGACCCCTCGGTCACTGTGTTGCTGAAGGTGATCAGAATACAGCTTTGGTTTTCAGTTGACGCTCAGAGCCCAGAGCCTCCCACACAAGCGTCTGAGCGTCCTCTTTTGGCTCCACAGGCAGCACGTCCCCCTCACACTACAAGCTGCACAGCGTACTTGTCTGCCCCCATCTGGTTTTATATTCACACTGGTTCTTGTTACACCAAAGTTAAGCCATAATAAACAAAAGGAGTTATCAAAAGTAATAAAATTTATTAAAAGTCTGCAGGCTACTTTTTACTTTAAGTACAGCAACGTCTTTCAGCTGTGCCCTTGGTCAGTAAAAACACATCTTCACATTGTTGATCATGCTTGGTCATCAGAATCCTAAAGTGACAAAAATACATTTTTAATGGATCAATCTGTAAAATAATCTACAATCTTTGAGACGACAGTTGATATTTTCAACGGCTGATCTTGATAGGGTGTAAGAAACAAACTACACTCTATGCATCAATACAGTATAACTGAATAAGTGAAACACTGGTGAAATATTTTCAATCATATTCATTAAACTACTTACGTACTGTTGTTTATTGAACTGACAGTAAAATCATTCAGAGCAGGATTATTACTGACAGATCCAAGAACAAGTAAAATTTGACCTCTTGTCAGTCATTCCTCTTGTTCAATGCTGTGCTGGCGCATGATTAGAAATTCAAAAGCCTTACTGTTTAAAGAATAAGGCTGTTGCATAGGTTGGTTTGGTCTCCAAACCATCTCACCAACAGTTCTCCCTCTGCTCTGTACAATGTTTCATCATTAGCTCTGATGAGCCCCAACACGGTTGCATAATTAGCAATTCATTTCAATTCAGTTTATTTATACAGCACCAAGTCACAACAGAAGTCATCTCAGGGCACTGAACAGAAACATTCACATACATAAAAGTAAGTTAATAACTTTATTTATCTGAGGAGCCAGCAGACTGCTTTGCAAACAAACATTAGCAAACACATTTAGTTGATTTGTACTAAATTTAGTAGTGCAGTTATATCAGCAGAGTAAACGGCAAAGGACTGAGTACACATCCCTGAGTTGCCCCTGTGCTCAGTATGGTAAGGCACAACACCTTTCTGACAAGATCTCAAAAACTCGAAAAGTTTGATTAAGCAAAAAATGCCCTGGTTTTATGTAGTATATGCTTTTATATTACAGATCTTATTGTTCCATATTTTCATAACACAGCATTTCGCTCTTAGACTGCAAGTATACTTGTGGATAGAGTTTCCAAATGCAGAATGGGAGGAAGAACTTTCAGCTATCAGGCTCCTCTCTTGTAGAACCAACTTCCAGATACTGTCCGTAAGGCTGACACATCGTCCAGTTTTAAGACTGGGATTAAGTCTTTCCTTTTGATAAATCCTATAGGGTTGGCTTCTTATGCTGCTATAGGCTTAGACTACTAGAGCAGTCAGCTCCTCAGATAAATAGTGTTAACTTATTATTTATATATATAAATATTTCTGTTCAGTGCCCTCAGATGACTTCTGTTGTGACTTGGCGTTATATAAATAAACTGAATTGAAACTGCATTGTATCACAAAAATAGTAAAATTGTTGCTCCTGTTTCTATTTTTCAGTGTAAATTAAATCAGAAAGTAAAAAAATGGGTAACACTTTACAATAAGGTACACAAAATGTGATTAACTACTAGGGAACGCCTCAGGAATGAAGCAGGAACAAATCAAGTCAAGTCAAGTCATATTTATTTATAGAGCACAATTTAAAACAGATAGACTGTTATCAAAGTGCTTAACACTAAGGGTAACACTGAGAAATAAAAAGCAGTAAGAATATACCTTAAAAAATTAAAACAACAGCATTAAAATGAAGACATGGAACAAGATATACTAAATCAACTCACACAGTATGAAACGCCAGAGAGAACAGATATGTTTTTAGCAGGGATTTGTACACAGGAAGGGAGGTGGCATGCCTAATGTTGGGGGGTAGGTTGTTCCACAGTTTGGGACCCATGACTGAAAACGCCCGATCTCCTCGGAGCTTCAGTCGTGTTTTTGGAACAACCAAAAGCAGCTGATCGGATGATCTCAGAGCCCGAGAGGGAACATATGGTTCCAGTAGCTCAGAGAGGTAGATGGGTGCAAGGCCATTTAGGCACTTATAGGTCAGGAGGAGAATTTTGAAATCAATCCTAGTTCTCACAGGAAGCCAGTGTAGGGAGGACAGAACTGGTGTGATGTGCTCATACCTCGGTGTACCGGTTAAAAGCCGAGCTGCAGCATTCTGGACGAGCTGTAGCCGTGAGATAGAGGCCTGGCTGACCCCAGCATACAGTGAATTACAATAGTCCAGGTGGGTTGTGATGAATGCATGGACTAGTGTCTCAAGGTCGGGTCTAGACAGCACTGGCTTGAGCTTAGCTACCTGCCGCAGTTGGAAGAAGCTTCTCTGCAGAACCGAACTGATCTGTTTGTCGAACTTAAAATCCGAGTCAAAAACCACTCCAAGGTTTTTAACAGAGTGCTTCAGATAAGGCTGAAGGGAGTCCAGGTTCACAGGATAAGAGGCAGCAGCTGAGCTAGGGCTAAAGACAATGACTTCAGTCTTCTTGTCGTTAAAACTTAGAAAATTTGAAGCCATCCATGTCTTAATGTCGTCCAGACATTTGAGGAGAGGGTGGATGGAACAAGCACTGGCTGGTTTCAGTGGCAGGTAGATCTGACAGTCATCGGCGTAGCAATGGAATGGAATACCATGTTTTCTTAGGATCGACCCCAGCGGAAGCAGATAGAGCGAAAATAGAAGGGGTCCGAGAATCGAGCCCTGCGGGACACCGCAGGAAAGAGGCATTGAAGTGGATAGATTTTTACCCACCTTCACACAAAAACTCCTGTCAGAGAGGTATGAGCGGAACCAGTCTAATGCAGCACCTGTAATCCCAACCCAGTGTTCAAGCCGAGAGATGAGGATACTGTGGTCAACAGTATCGAAAGCGGCAGTAAGATCGAGGAGTACAAGAGCCACAAAATGACCAGAATCATTTGCTGTTAAAATGTCATTACAAACCCTAACCAAAGCTGTTTCAGTGCTGTGGAGCTGCTTGAAACCAGACTGAAAGACCTCAAAGATTTTGTTCTCAGTTAAAAACTGATTTAACTGAGTAAAAACTACTTTTTCCAGGATTTTGGACAGAAAGGGGAGTTTTGAGATTGGTCTGTAATTTGAGCAGGCTGAAGGGTCAAGACCAGGTTTCTTAATTAACGGTGTGACTACTGCATGTTTGAACGCCTCTGGGACCACGCTTGTAGCAATACTACTGTTTAGTATTGTTAGAACAGCAGGCCCAATCGCTGGTAGAACCTGTTTGGACAATGCTGCTGGGATGGGGTCCAATGGTGATCCTGATGGCTTCATGTGACCAGCAACTTTGTTTAACAATGGGAGTGTGATTGGTTTGAATTGCCTGAAAGTAGCAGAACACGAAACAAAAGCTGATGGGTCGACTAAGGAGCGGGGGATGGAGGCCCTGATAAACTCCACTTTGTTAACAAAGAATTTAGTGAAGTCATTGCAGGTGTCAACAGAGGCCTCCACACATGAATACGAAGGGACATTTAGAATGGAATTTACTGTTGTGAATAGGGCGCGGGGGTTGTGTCTATTTGAGTTGATGAGTTGGGAGAAATTTTTTTTTTTTTTTCCAGATTTGACAGTGTTCTGGTAATTTTTTAAACAGGTTTTGAGCAAATTGAAAGAAACCTGGAGATGGTCCTTTTTCCACCTGCGCTCAGCTCTCCTGCACAGGCGTCTCGCTGCCCTGGTGGTCTCATTCATCCATGGGTACTGGGCTCTCCTTGGTTTCCTGACTTTTAGTGGGGCCACCAGATCCAAAATCTTAGTGCAAGTCACATTGTGGTTACTAAGCAGCTCCTGAGCACCGACACAGGCAGAGGTTTCAGGTGTTGTAGCAGCAGTGGTAATAAAGGCAGAGGAAAACCGAGCAGCAGTTGAAGGGTTAAATATACGACAGGTCCTGGGTGGAGCGGGAGATTTAGAGACACGAGCAAGAGGTATTACAAATGAGATTGGTTTGTGATCAGACATGACAGCATCCCCAATTTCCAGATTTAGCACAGAGACACCACAAGACAGAACAATATCAAGAGTGTGACCCTGATGGTGTGTGGGGCCGACAACATTTTGCACCAGGTTTAAAGAGTGGATCAGATTAAAAAAGTCCTGAACTAAAGGCTTTTCAGGGCAACAGACGGGCACATTGAAGTCCCCTAGAATCAGCACACGGTCGTATTTTAACAGTATTGCAGTGAGAAAGATAGACAGTTCACTGATGAAGCCTGTGGAGGATTTGGGCGATCGATAAAGCACCGCAATCAACATGGGGTTGGAGCGGCCCAGTTCAAAATGCAGCAGTTCAAATGCTTGACTGCTGGTAGATTCGAACCCCCAACTCTTGCATTGGAGGACAACTGCTCTAACCACTCAGCCTCAGCCACCCCATTATTATTTGCAGTCCCCTAATAAGGCTTGGCTGTGCATTACCCAGTAAGTACTACTGGTTAACTCTTGATTTGTTCTTCTTTGGTTTCCTTGGTAACAACCCATTAGTTCTTGATTAGTTCCTCTTCATTTACAAGGTAACAAACCAGTAATCCCCTAATAAGGCTTGGCTGTGTGTTCCCTAGTAAGTACTGGTTAACTACCCATTAGCTCTAAAAAAGTTAAATCTGGTCCTCTGGACATTCAAAGAACAAAACAAAGCAAAACAACAAAAAATGTAGAAACGTTTCGTCTCTCATCCGAAAGACTTCCTCAGTCTGAGGTGCTGTATTCAGCTCAGTCTTATAAACAGCACCTTCTCAGAGTGGATCAACCAGTTTGCTGCTGACAACCAAAACCAGCTGATCACATGCTCAAGAACCCATTAGCTCCTGATTCGTTCCTGAGGCGTTCCCTAGTAGTTAATCAAATTGCGTGTACCTTATTGTAAAGTGTTACCAAAAAATGGTCTAAAACTCAGAAATTGTGCTGCATTTCTCATGAGAGAATGGCTTAAGCTGCAGCTAGTAAATTCAACTTAATATTGAGTCAGAAGCTCTCTGGAAATGACATTAAATCTGCCAATTGCAACCTTTGAGAAAGCAGAAGGATGAGTTTAGAGATGTTTGAGTGACAAAACTAGTGTAAATTGAAACATGATGTAGGATCTGGACAGTAGGCCAATCAATTTAAAAAACCCTCCTACCCAGCCAGGTGATCTATCAGCTTTTCCATGTTCTCTCCTGTTTTGGCACTGCACTCATAAAACAAAGCCTGGTACTGCTGCACAAGCAAGAAGATGAAGGAAAGTTCATTTCGAAGAGTTTTTTATGTCTTAGCACTGGTTTTGAGTGAATCACTGCAGAAACATGTTTGAATAATCAAATGAACCTCACCTCTGCCAGACTCTGACCCTCTGCTGTCGTCACTTTTCTGCTGTGATTGTCAGCTAGGTCCAGCTTGTTCCCCACCAGCATCAGCACAGTCCCTTCACACATCTTCTCCTGATTACACACACAGCAGATTATAGTACACACATTTTACTGTAGATACAGCAGTAGATGCTATTAGGCTGTCTGCCCTTTGTGTAAAACACTCAGAACAAAATGAAAAGTAGATTATTTTTAAACTTTAAAACTGAATCCTCATTATGTGTCTAGAGGGATTCCCACTGTGCATTTTCCAGTGATCTGCATGTTCATTCAAATCACAGTTTTGCATGATAACCAGCTTACCTTGACAGAGTCTATCCATTCCCTCACCGCAGTGAAGGAGGCGGAATGAGTTACGTCATACATGGTGAGGACGCCATCAGCCCTTCGATAGTATTGCTCAGTGATACTGCGATACCTGGAGCAAAATATGAGTAAACAGAGCAAAACAACATTTACAATACTCCTCAGGAAAAGTATAGTTTAAAAGAGAAAACAAGACATATTTGAACGTAAAGCCACATGTCTTACCTCTCCTGCCCTGCAGTGTCCCAGAGCTGCAGGGTGACGGTGGTGGAGTTCAAAACTAAAGTCCTCATTTGAAAATCTACACCTGAAAATAATAAAATTACATTTTATATTTGGCTTCGTATAATTACAAAAAACAAATACAAACGAAAAGTCTTAATAAAGACATTATTTTTAGCACAGCTTTGGGATAATTAATTTCATTGGCATGCAGTGTTGTCAAAAACTAAACAGTTCTGAGGCAAAGAATGCAAATGACATGAAGTTACTGATGATTCTTTGATTCATGTCGTCTTTATAGGCTGCATGGAGCCCACCTCTAAAATGAATCCCAAAACATGGTGGTTTGGTCATGTTTTTCTCCAACAGCCATTAAGCAAGAGGTGGGGCACACCCTGGACAGGTCACCCATCCATCACAGTGTCTCACAATTTATCTGTCCTCAAAAAATATTTACCAAATGTTGGAAGGGTAAGATGTCCATTTCCCAGCACTCTCTAAATGAAGCACAAACTTCATATTGATTCTAATTTACTGATGTTAAGTCAAGACACAGCCATGCTTCTTTAGATCAACTCAGTATGGCAGAATAGTCTGACATGCTCTGAGTATAGTTATAGACTTATAGCTTATAAGATGGTGCTGTGAGGAAATTTTAACAAGAGGAGTACAGCCAAGGCAGCACGGTGGTGCAGTTGGTAGAGCTGTTGCCTCTCAACAAGAAGGTCGGCAATTCCGGGGGCTTTTCTGGGTGGAGTTTGCATGTTTTCTCCGTGCATGCGTGCGTTTTTTCTGGGTACTCCGGTTTCCTCCAACAAACCAAAAACATGCATGTTAGGCTGATTGACTCTAAATTGTCCCTAGGTGTGAGTGAGCGTCCCTATGATGGACTGGAGACGTGTCCAGGGTGTCCCCCGCCTCTCACAGTGACTGCTGGTCATGGGCACCAGTGACCTTCGTGACGCGAAAAGGAAAAAGCGGGTAAAGATGATGGATGGATGGATGGACGGGCGGATGGATGGATGGATGGATGATGATCATTTATCCCTTCACCACTGGTTAAAACCAAAGGTTTTCAACCTTGACCAGTACAAAAAACAGTTCCAGTCAAAAGTGTTTCAAACTGTTTCTTTTCATGTGAAGTCACTCAGAGCTGGATTCTAACGAGACTGAAACCTGGAGCTGTTTTAACTCTGCAGTGAGCATTCGGTTCATAAAGGAACTGCTACAAACTTATCCCGAGCAGTGGACACTTCCCCGTCTCCCTCGCAGCAGGTCACAATATCAACAACTAGTCTGATGCAAGCTGAGGCCTCTCTGAGCTGCGCCGCTTCATAATTTGAGATTTCTGGCTTTGTAAATCGACCCTGTCAGATCAGAACCAAGTCAAGAATCAGACACTTTGTCACTTTAAACCTTGGGCTGTTTTAAGATGTTAAAAACGGATGCTTATTCATTCCATTCCTTTAACACCAGTATTCAATAATGGTGAGTTTATGTAGCTGTGATCTTTTAGAGGTTATTTTAAAGTCTAGACACATCTGTGACCAGATTGCTCATGTTTCTACGATAATGCAGAAAACCTTACCGACAGTAGAGCTCATGTTCCTGTGGAACCGTCCCATGCAGCAGTGGTGGATGAAGGAGCTCTTACCAACCCCCGAGTTCCCCAGAAACACCACCTTAAACACTCGCTGAGGACCGACGGCTTTACTCTACAATTTAAATAAAGGGGACCAAACTTAACATTTTTGCTTTGCCTGATAATTCAGCGTTATCTTGAGGTCTTTAAGAGAGTCCGTGTTGATGATTAAGATTTTTGCCCACCTGAGTGTGCATCTGCTCAACACTTTCATCTATACATGACGGGCGGAGCGTCTCGGCAGAGTCTGTGAGCTTTGTGTTTTTGGTCAGCTCCAACTCTTCAGCAGAGCTTGGCCGTCTTTAAAACCAACACATATAAAATAAAAAGTTATTTTCTGTCTCATTACTGCAAACTTAAACGTGCTGAATTCACGGTACAAACCTTTTGACCGGCTCGTCCTGCAGTAAGTAGCTACCTATGACTGAGCCTTCCCTCTGCAGAGGCTTTGTGACTTCTGGGTTCTGAAGTGTTGAATCATGGAAAGTGTGGCAGAAGAAACATGTAGCATTAAAATATATGTAAAATGAGCTGGGGCAAATATACATTATTAATGTTTTTTTATGTGGTAATTATCGTTCCACACAGGTCCATGGTTTAATGTGTTCATTACATTCCAAATTACTTTCTCCACAGTAGACTTGTTTTTTTTTTAATAAGATGAAGATTAATGATAAAACAGGTGTTATGGAACAGGGAAAACAGTTTAAGCAGCTTCTTTGTCAGATTTACAACAATCAGGTGAGAGTAAAAAAAAAAATACCTACAGTGAGCATCTTTGCAAAAATATATTTTATTCATTTTCTCAACAAGTGTGGATGAAATTCATGAAGTCCTAGAGAACAGCAGAGTTAATTCACCCACACAAAGGATGGGACTAACAAACCAGAGATTACTTATTTTTCTTTAAGTTGACATAGCACACAATAAATGTCTGTTCAGCACAATCCGTGGCTTCACCGACGACATCCGGAGGAAAAAAAAAAAAACGACAACACAGCAACCTTAGAAATATTTAACCAAATAACAGCAGCTGCCCATGTGATTAGTCAGTCCAGAGGCTGGAGGAAAGAGTGATGCTTAGTTTAGGTTGGGTAGACCTGCCGTGTCCAGGACGTGCACGGCTCTTCGTTGAGGTAACAAGGTGACGGTGAAGGAGACAGGACAGAGTGTCTGTGACTAACCCTCTGATGGGCTTGTTGGACGTCTCTCTCGTCTCGCAGCCTCCTGTTCATGTCCCTGACGCAACAAGAGAAATACGTTAACAATCTCAGAGAGGCTCATCTTTAGATTGTTCGAAATATTGTGGAGAGAAACGGTCAAAATGTTCAGTTTGAAAAAAAAAGTCTTCCCCGTAATCAAACTAGACTGAAACTTTGGGACGTACCAAACAATAGGTGTTGAATCAGCTGATTTTTTTATGACGCAATGTTGTAGTGGGCGATAAATAAATAGATAATGAGCTTTGATTTGCCTTAAAAATGAACAATTTCTGGAATTCTCTTTTATGTTGGGTTTAATTCTTACAAATACCTCTGTCCAATAACTCGAAGGCAATTATTTATAAACCTGCAGAGAAACAAAACCTTGAAGATTTTATTGCAAATACACTCAGACTTTCAATTAAACAAAATAAAATAGGTAAAAAATGTGTCATTAATCCAAAGTCTTTGTGAAAAGTTGGTCTCTGACAAAACTGGAATAGTCCAAAAAAAACAACAACAACCTGTTCTTAGATTTCTCAGCTTTTGAACACAGCCTGTGTTTGTGGATTTAATTAGAGCTGTCATAACTCATAAATACTATAAATTAAATCCAATAATTTGACACTTCACATTAAAATTGTATTTCTGATTAAGTACATGTGTCCTCAGAAGAAGATGATCATTTAAAAGGCTGTAAAAAAAAAATTACTTCCTTCCATTTTGGCTTAAAACCTCAACAGAATTTTAATGTCTGGCTTCGATAAAATAAATTCTGGCGACGATTATGTCAAAGAAAACTGATCAATAAGTCAAACAGTTCATGGAGCAGATTATTAAATATGCTTCCATTATATTACAGCAGAAGATAATGTCAGATATTTGATTAACTGGCTGTAAAATATAAAACTGAGCAACTATTTCATGCAACTGATTTAAAACTCTAAAGTCTTTTGTTCCTCTACAGCAGGAACAAAAATACAAAAAACCCAGACGTCGTTTCACATGCCTGCCTTTTTAAATTTAAAATCTGTAATAAAATAATATAAACCAGTCTCCAAAGCAAACTAACTTATTGAAAACAAGCAACATACCTTAATATCTCCAGCTGTCTCATGAGACTTTCCTTCTCTTTCTTGATGTTTCCTGACACGTTCATCACATTCCTGCAGTGAAACAATGAAAAAGTTCCAACATTTTCATTTTAGAACAGGTTTCGCAATTTGATGCATGATATTTAGATTTTATACTCAGCATGTGTTAAGAATAACTTTCAGCCACTATCGCATCAAATTTTAGCTCAGTATCTGTAAAACTGACTGGATAATCATTATTTTGTATTGGCTATTGTTAATGAGCTGTGGTGGCCATCTTGAATTGAGCTGACTCCAAAGTTTAACCATTTGTCGATGTACACCTAATGATTATTTCCTGAAAGTTCAATTATAATCTGTGCAGGGGCTCGTGATATATTTTGCTAACAGACAGAAAAAGAACAGGCAATGGTTGAATTGTAAATAAGGACTTGTTTGTTCTCAGAATGTGTGTTGGTGATCAGTCTCAGCTACTACCACACCAAACATTAGGACAACTGACTGGAGTTTGGTCTTTTTTGTTGTGTTTTTACTGTCAGCTGGCTCCAAAAGTTACAAATGATTACTTTCTGAAGCGTCATTAAAATTCATCCAGTGTTCCATCACATATTTTGCTAACAGACTGTGACACATGCATGAAAAAAACCCCAGATCTGTCGCTCACCTCTGCCGGGCTGCTTGCTCGTGGGCGGCGCTGATCTGCAGCGAGCTGAGCTGCCTCAGAGCCGACCTCAGCTGCTCTCGGCTGCTCTCCAGCTGCTCCTGCAGCTGCACGTTGAGCCTCTCCAGCTGCTGGTTCTGCTCCTTGATGCCCACCTGCTCGCTGCTCAGCTGCTGGATTTTGATCTCAAGCTTAAATAAATGAATAAAAAAAAAAAATGAATCGGGTCTTGTCAACATTAAACTCTTCTCAGTAAAGACTTCAGCCCCGCAGGGACGCCTCACCTCCTTCTGTTTGCTCAGTGTGCTCTCCAGCTCCTGCTCCCGCGCCCTCAGCTCCTCCTCCATCCGCTGACCTCGCTGCTTCTCCTTAAAGCTGTCCTTGAGCATAAAACAAATCCATCACCACTAAAATCATCTCTTCTGCTCAGAGGGAAAAGGGTTGAACTTGGCAGCGTGTACCTGCTCCTGAGCCAGCCTTTTCTCCTTCTCCTCTCTCACTTGGATCTCCATCTCTTCATAAACGGACCGAATCATCTGGTCATGCTCACTCTCCCGTCTAAAACAGAAGAAATCACAAACTGAGTCAGAACATTCACAGATGCACCAAAGAGGATTGGGGAAGCATGCAGCACCTGCGAAGAGCTTGTTCCAGATTGTCTCTTTCTCTGATGATGTCCTGTAGATGGGACACGGCGAGGAGCAGGACGCCCTCCAGGACGCTCAGCAGATCTGGTCTGCCTCTGTGGAGCTCACACCACAGAGAGCAGAGCTCCTGCTGACTGTCACAACACAACAGTTCATATGACTGAGAACAGAAATCCCCAGAGCATCACACACCTCAAGGTCTGAGATATTCCTAAATAGTGAGGTGAAATGGAAACATTGAATGCAGCACTGTGCAAAACTCTTCAGCCATCCCCATTTGCTTCATTTTATTTTCAAAGACGCAGATTTTGTTGGAATCTTTTGCAGTGATCTCCAGGCTGTCATATTGTAAAGTTTGCAAATGATACGGCGGTGGTGGGATGCATCACAAACAATGATGAGTCCAGGTACAGGCAGGAGGTGGAACACCTGGAGAGCTGGTGCAGGAAGAACAACCTTCACATCAATGTGAAGAAGAGGAAGGAGATGATTGTGGACTTCAGAAGGAACAAACACACCTTCTCCTCACCCCCCCACCCCCCCCCCCCCCCCCCCCCCAGCACATAGGAACGTATGTGGTGGAAGTGGTCTCCAGCTACAAGTACTTGGGTGTGCACCTGAATGATAACAACACCACCAGCCTGATCAAGAAAGATCATCAGAGACTCTACTTCCTCAGGCGGCTGAGACGAGCTGGTCTGGGAAGCTCAGTCCTCACCTCCTTCTACAGGTGTGCAGTGGAGAGCATCCTGTGCTCCAGCATCAACGTGTGGCATGGAGGCTGCACAGCTGCAGAAAGAAAAGCTCTGCAGAGAGTGGTGAAGGCTGCACAGAAGTCTGTTGGAGTCAGCCTCCCCACCATCACAGACATCTACACCTCCAGATGCAGGAAGAGGGCCACCTACATCATGAAGGACCCCACTCACCCAGCACACACACTTTTTGCCCCGCTCCCCTCAGGCAGGAGGTTAAAGAGCATTAAGTGTAGAACCACTAGACTGAGGAACAGCTTCTACCCTGAGGCTGTTAGACTCATGAATCTCTAACCAGAATAATCACTGGAATGCCACTTTGATTTCCATTCTGTGTTCATTTGTTTCTACTTCCTGTCCTCTCAAACCCAGCCGGTCAAAGTAGATGGCCGCTCATCCTGAGCCTGGTTCTGCTGGAGGTTTCTTTCTTTTAAGAGAGTTTTTCCTTTCCACTGTTGCCTTTGTGCTTGCTCAGAATGGGAGACTGTGATGAAGTGAACATTCAATGAATCTGCTGCGTCCTTAGATAGAGAACTTTACTAACTGGATTTTGTATGTGAATGTTTCTGTTCAGTGCACTGAGAAAACTTCTGCTGTGACTTGGCGCTATATAAATAAATTGAATTGAATTGAATTAATTGGTGATATGTGACTTATCTGTGCTGCTGATTATCCATGCTGCTGATCACATGCTGCTCATAATCTCATGCTGCTGTATTTATTTATTCATACCCACACTCTTGTTTGGGCTGCTGTTTAATACACCGGATTATTTTACATTATTGGTGTTTAGCGTATAACTTAGTTTATATCTTAGATCCTTGTACACAATTTCTTTTTATTCTTAATTTTTTGCTATTTTTGGGTGTAACTGGATCCTTGTGTACACAGTTTCATTCCACCTCATGTACCACATGTGATGTGAATGACAATAAAGAACCTTGAACTTGATGAATTTCAAAGTATTTCTTTGGACATTGGCTTTTTCAGATTATGTTTATTTTTGTGGGTTCTTCTTTTTCCTTTTCCTTCTCACTGTGCTCACCATTTATTCTGTCCTCTTGATAGACTCTGTCCTCTTCATAGACTTTGTCCCATGCATTTACGCTGTCCCCTGCATAAACTCCATCCTCTTCATAGTATCTGTCCTCTGCATGGTTCTTAAGTCTCGTTAGTCTCCTAAACTCACAGGATGGACCAGCGCTGTGTTGACCCCTAACAGAGAACCTTAAAGAACTCATTTTAAATTGGACTTTTAGGAACTTTGTTCCAAAACAAATTTCTATCTGTCCCAAAGAAATTATTTATTTGCTTTTTTGTTGTTGTTGAATTTAGAAAAAATACCAGAGAAAACATGTTTCTGTCTCACATTAAACAGGATTTTAGCACCAACAAGGTGAGAGCTATCAGCTGAAAGTTGGGCTCATGTCCCCACCGTGTGTCATGAAACACTTCAGGTCCTTGAATAATCTCCACCTATCAACTTCCATTTAAAAAATAATTGCTTCAGGCCTTTTTTAACCATCAATATTACACAGACAAACAGTACTCATGAATTATTAATTTCTTAGCATTTTCTTCAGATTGTATTTGTTTGTGGTGAACCAGAGCTCATGTGAACCAGAACTACACCAGTAAAATGCCTTACTCTTTCAAAAGTTTGTCAGCTCCAAGCTCCATTAGTATGTTGACAAATCTGACTGCAGTGGGGTCCTGGGACGAGTCCACCTCGTCTCCGTCCTCCTCTGCTTCCTCTGGGTGCAGCTCAGTCGTCGCCTCCAGTCCCATCAGCTCACCTTCACCACGGAGAGATCGACACAGGAACCACACGTTATGAACACAGGAGCTTGGTGCCGGTTTTATTGTTGCAGTAAACTCACCGAGTCCTGTGTAGAACTCCACTGGAGTGAGGAACCCATTGTCCTCTCGGTCCAGACTTTCAAACACAGTCTCCAGCTGTTCGTAGGACAGAGGCAGCTCGCCCTGCAGCCTCTGAGCAGAAGACAGAACCGAGAGTTCAACGCTTTGAGAACTGGTGCAAATGTTTCTGTAGGAACTGGAAGCCAGCTGCCTACCTGCATGTCTCTCTTTGTGATGAACCCTTTCCCCTCTTTGTCACACAGAACAAACAACTCTTTGGCCTTGCCCATGGTCTCTGCCTGCGGGCTTAATGCGACTGCCTCTCTGACCCGCGGCGCATGGAGCGGACTCCGTCTCTGACCCAGCCTGGGGCTCCCGGTGGGCAGGCTCCTCATTCTGGGGCTCACTGGTACCGCTTCACCGCTGCCCTGACCCACCAGCACTTCTCCATCCTTCAGCCACTGAGACATTCCTGAACAACGAGGGATTCCTGCCAGCAAGCACAGATTATCTCCTGATCAACATTCACCGTCCAAGGGGAAAGGGTGATGGTGTTTTGTGTTGTGATGGCAAAATAACTCGTGAACCACTGAGCAGTTTTTATTGAACGTCTCAGAGATTAATCATTGGGTGGACTTCTCTAACTAATTAACTTTTGGAATCAACCCAATTCAAGATGGCTGCCACAGCCAACTACAATTAGGAAACAAAAATAGCTATAACTCTGCCAGTTTTACAGATAATAAGCTGAAGAGCTGTGTAGCTGAGTATCACCCCTCGCATGAGCACTACATTTTGTGCAGGAGCTTTGATTAGTAACTATTTGGTGTCAACCGCATTTGTCTGTCAGCAAAATATCTCAAACTATTGAGCAGATTTACTGAAACTTAAAAGAATCCTTCGACGACTGGTAACCGTTTGGAGTCACCCCAATTCATGATTGTTGCTACAGCTAATGTAGAGTTGGCAAATGCATTAGCCAACACAAATTTACAGATGCTGAGCTAAAGTTTGGTGGAGTAGTAGCCGAGTGTCATCTCCAACACATAATCCAAGAGCAAACACATCGCATAATAGATTAGACAAAATTTTAAAAAGTTTTTTTTAACGTTTGACCAAAACAGCTGTAACTGCATCTAAAACTCTGGCCTGAAGGTTGTAGGCTCAATCATCCAGGTACAACAACAACAACAAAAAAGTTAAATCGTGTCATCTGGACCAGTTTTTTTAAGTGAGAAAAGTTTCGTTGCCCATCCAGAGGACTTCCTCAGTCTCCAGCCTGCCAACCAGATCTGTCCCATAAGTATGATGTTTGAGCTTACAACCATTTATCTGAACCACTTTGGCCTTGGTTGTCCTCAGGCTGTTTCTGTGAATAGCAAGTTGGCCATCTGGCCTACAACAGTTGATTCTTGTACATGATGATGGATCGCTTTGGATGGGTGTGTTTTGCACATGTTAAAAGCCTACTTTTGAGATTCCAACAGGAGGTTGGCTTGAAACAGCAGTGAAGGCTACCTATGGGACAGATCTGGTTGGCAGGCCATAGACTGAGGAAGTCCTCTGGATGAGGGACAAAACATTTCTCACTTAAAGAAACTGGTTCAGATGACACAAGTTAACCTCTTTGTTCTGGCCTGAAAGGCGGCAGGTGATATGTATCACTTCAAGTAATGGCAGAACTTTTATTTGAATAACGTTTAACTGTGTTGCACTTGTCAAAAACAGACTTTTTTTTTTTATGATGACTTAATCTTAAATGCCGCAGTAAACTGTGAGAAGCCGGCTGTGAGGCGACTCCCTTGCCAAATACGAGTTGCAAGACAAACTACAGTGACTGAGCACATGATCAGCTGTCAACCCTCTCTGCACACTTTACAACACTCTGAGTATCTAACATACCCACACGTTAACTCAGGAAACTATTCTCACATATTATCAACCCAAGGTGTGTCAGAAACACAGCGTGCTGCCTTTCACTGTTTATGTAACGGAGGGCTAATCAGCACAAACTGCACCAGGATGTGTAGAGGGGACGAAAACAGGATGGTGTCATATGAGAAGAATGATGTGTTCTTAAGGGGGAGGGCTGAGCTCTGCGGCAGAGAAGATGCAAATTGATCATTTGCAGTTGTTTGCATTGTTGGGGCTCGCACAATCACAAACAGATTATGCTCCAAGGAGTTTGGGGGCAAATCACACCTTTAAATGAAATTTTAGAACTCGAGCTGAAAGCGTGATCAACTTTTGAGTCAAATTATTTGCTTATTTTTAACATGGATTAAGCTAAGAACAAGTTCAAGCTATGCTGATTTTAAGTCAGGCTAAATATTACATAAATACTGCCATGTCTTCCAACTTTTATCTCTCTCCTCCTGCTATCTCTGAAGATACAAAACATATTTTAAAAAAAAAACATGCTGACAATAGTAGTAAGTTATCTCATTGATGATCTGGGAAGTCTTCCATATTACTAATCTGAGGGATGTACTATTCCAGATAAGACTTGTGTACACAATGTGTGTTAAGGATTTAGGGTGTCAGCTGAGACTCTCCATGGACCAACAGCCACACCAAAGGTCAGAGAAACTCCAGTATTAATCAATGTCAGAGTATGGGCCAAATGCAGGCCTTAACATTCAGGGAAAGTGATAAAGTCGACAAAAATACACTTCTGCTTGGTACACCCAACACGTTCTGCATGTGGGTTAACTTGAACATATGTTACAGACTCCTCTGATCAAACAGAAACTTACACAAATAGCTTACAGTTATGATATTGGCTTGTAGTTATTACACAAGTACATTTACTTCCAACTTGAATACTTATATTTCCTATAAGGTGAGCTCAGTTTTAAAAGCTGGAGAGCTAAAACCAATATTAAACAGAAAGTGCCCACACAGTAGTGACTGCGTTAACAAAGTAAACATGTACGCTTCTACATGAAGCACATTGCCTCTGCTGTAAGTTAGCTGAGTGAAGTTGGGGAAAAAGTTTGGTTACTCACCTGCCCTGACAGCAGTCTCCTCACCTTCGATCACGCTCGCCTGGTTATTCTGACAGTTTCACTCCCGCCGCTAGAGGGCGCACGAGAGCGCGCCCATCGTTACCGTAACACTTCAAGGAGCGCCGCGACGAAAAACAACCACGACCGGTTGCGCTAATTTACATAGAATGAGGTTTTAATTTGTGCTTATTTATATTTATATGCAGTTAAATGCGTTATTTGATACATTAAATTGCCACTATAGTTTTCGGGCTATGCTCGTGGTAGATTTCAGATCGAAGAACTCGCGTTATTACGGTAAATCATGGCGTTACCATGGAACTACGGAAATACAGACGTTACCGCTAAAAATGGCTGGGGATGCTTTAAGCGGCTACTACGTTAGGAGTGCATAAAAGCAGAAACATTTCAACTTTAGCTAACTTGTTTCCTGCACGCGTTCATTCCTGGTGAGTACAAGTGACGTCAGACTGTGGGCGCAGGTGAACAATGTGTAGTCCAGATGGAGTTGGTGGAAAAGAGCCATTTTTAACTCCTTTATCCGTCTTCAAGATTATCTACAAACGAGTACCAAGCAGGAGAGTGGCAGCAAAACAAAAGGTTTTAATTGTGTAAGTGCAGCTGGGTCACTTGTATAATCCTGTGTGAACATGTTGACCTTACACAGATGGGTTTACCTCTAATGTACCTGTCTGACATGGAGGATACTCTGTGAGCGCAGAGCTAAGATGCTGGCCATGTTTATTTATTGGCCCAACAACAGCTCCTGTTTTCTCTCGCAGGTGATGCTGCAGTCCAAGAGGGTTTCATGCCACCATCATGCAGGATAAGCCCGACACCATTCTGATGTGAATCTTTCCAGCACAGGTCTTGGACATCAAAAGGGAAACAAACCAAAGTCAGGGTTCCTGGGAGCTGTGACGGTTGGACAAGCTGGATGAAGCTGGATGGACTACGTTCACCCTAAAGAATGCAGGTGGATGAAACTGACTGAATAATCTGTGTCAAAGACAAAGGAGGACTGTGAAGATGCTCCAGACTGGAAACTACTCTCTGGTGCTGCTGGTCCAGCTGGTACTGCTGGCCTATGACCTCTTTGTGAACTCCTTCAGTGAGCTTTTGAGAGGGGCACCCGTCATCCAGCTTGTGCTTTTCATGTGAGTCACAAAACAACACGCTCAGAGGACGTACAACGAAATTATACTTGTCTGACGGTCGTTAGTCGGCTACAGCGAGGCTTTTAAAAATGTAATTAAACTCAAATATTCAGAGGGGAGCAGTTCAAAGTAAGGTCATCTGTTTCTCTTAGCACAAAAACGGGGTTTAAACGTGTATGTGCCATGTTATATGGTGTGGGGTTTAAATGATTTAACGTTATTTTGGCTTTTAGGTTCAAGAAACTGTTTCTAATTGTTTCTATCTGAGTAAATGTCACATCAAATCCTCAGTACTCAAAGATTAAACGGCTATAGTCTGGGACATGTAGTTTGGTAAATATTTTTGGTGTATTACATTGAAAATGTAAGGATTTGATGATTTGTAAACCAATTATGGACTTAGATTTTAAAAAAAGGAGGTGGGGGGGAGGAGAAAACAGACTGTTTGAAGAGGCTGCAGCTCCTGAAGGAATCCACGTGAAGTTTAAATTTTAATCATTTAGATAAAAAAAAAATCACTTGCCTCCCAGAACATGAGTTTAACATAAAAGAATTAAGGTTTTAAACACACCAAACCAGGGGTGTCAAACTCGCTTACAAAGGGGGCCAAAATTAAAACCTTTTTCAAACTAAGGGCCAGTTTCAGAATCTACATTAACTCAAGTTAGATACCAAACATCTTTTCTTGGTTGCAGGTTCCTCAACAAGAGTTTGATTCGTCTCATTTGACGTTCTCTGTTGCACTTTTGACATCATAATTAAAGATTACTGAAAAAATTAAAGTGATAAAAGTATTTTGCATTTAAAATAACATCTTGGGGGCCAGATAAGATGTCACGAGGGCCACATTTGGCCCCCGGGCCTTGAGTTTGACGCTCTAAACTGTTCTATGACAACGGTTAAATCTGGTATAAAAACAGACTTTTGCAGTACGATAATAACATCTGGTGATGTGTTGTCATCATTGTATGCTTCCATACAACGGTGACATTGGTTCTCTGCATTTGACCCATCATGCATGGGGTGCGCCCGGGTGGGGCGGCTATGTGGACGCGCGGGGAGCAATTGGGGGTTTGCTCAGACATGACATGTGGGAATGACTGGGGATTGAGCCTGTGGCTTTCAGGTTGGCTGCCCTACCTCTACCCCCCGCCCCCCCATGTATCTTAATGATGACGCAATACCTTTGTGGTTTTATTTCTGACCATTGAACTCCATTACAAATGCTCATTCCTGAGTCAAACCAGTGTTGACCCTCTAACACGCGTGTTGTTTGGAAACCACAGAATCCAGGACATCGCCATCTTGTTCAACGTCATCATCATCCTCCTGATGATGTTCAGCACCTACGTGTTCCAGGTGGGCCTCGTGTCTCTGCTGCTGGAGAGGTTCAGGGCTCTGCTGGCCTTTTCTGCTCTCTACCTCACCCTCAGCATCTGCCTCCACAGCTGGGTGTTGGTACGTTCAGCCATTCCCTTACAGAGGGTTATTTTTCAAACTCATGGATATCAAGTTGAAGTAAAACCCCTCCCTAAATGTATAAATCATAAATTAATGTCAGTTAATGTTTTTTTGTTGTTAAAGAACCTAAGGTGGCTCGATTCAAAGCGCTTCATTTGGACAGACGGTCTCCAAGCTCTGTTTGTTTTCCAGAGGACAGGTAATTTATTGCAGATAACAGATTGATTCATTTAAATGTTTTTTGTCTGTATTAATAACTCCCCGTCTGTTAACAGCGGCTGTGTTGTACTACTACTTATACAAGCGCACAGCAGAGTTTATGGGAGACCCGCGGCTGTACGAGGACTCTCTGTGGCTGCGTGAAGCCTTTGCCAGAGCTCGTCAGTGAAGACGCGGCAGTTTAAAGCGGAAACCTGAAAAGATTTGACACGCCTGACACATGGAACGTACACTAGGCTGAACACGGATGAGACCCACAAACATGTGAACGACACCGGGTCTCAGGGTTTGTTTACCGGCTCCTCAGACAGGCAGATGGGCCGCTAAGGGGTTTACACAGGTAGGTGTCCACAATGATGGCACATGCAGTGTAGTTTTAATCAGGATTGAAGTGGGTAATCTTGGAGGCCTTGTCAAACAAATTGAACTGCAGACTTGAAAGTTAAACATTTTGGAAGGACTGTTGCATGTTTTACCTGCCTTGGTGTGTTACTTTTCTGTTCTGTACCCAAGAACTCATTGTAGAACTTGTACTTTGAATATTTTGATATTCTCAGAAGAAAAAAGAAAAAAACACTGGCTCTTTTGCCTTATAAAATATTTGTATGTTTATATGCTTAATGAAAGTTTAAAGAGCCAATTTTTTACATGAACTCAGATGGATTTTGGATCATTTTTAGAACCATGTTCACAATTTTTTTTAAATAAATAATCCTTATCTAATGACGGTGTAATCCATCACTGGGATAGTCAGTCTTATCCTGAGACAAGGATAAGGCACGGTGCTCTATTTTTAACGCAAAGATTAATCAGGGATTGAGGTTTTAGGCACTAGTGAAACACACCACAAATAGCCGTCTGTGTAACAATAATTATTCTTAGTCAAGTAAAGCTGAAGTGCACTTCAGAATAGGCCTGTCATGATAAACAATAAATCAATTAATTGCGAGATAAAAGTATTGACCTCATTATCATTTATCAGCTTTATCGTGTCTTTCTACTGAAGACACTGGATGACAAAAGGCTCAACTCCGGTGTTCTTCACTGACCCCTCCCTTTCTCTTTAAAATCCATTTTAACAATCTAAAATTGCGTTTTTAAATCGTTAAAAGCAGCTAAGCTAAGAGCTAAGCTAACAGGCCAACCTCAGGAAAAAAACCTCCGTCTTATCGAAGCTCCAAAATTCATGGTGAAACCCGTGCCTTTGTGTAAAAAATTGTTTTTCTCTGCAAAAAGAAGCTGAGAACTTGTTTACTGATTTTTATTAAAAGCTTTGTGTGAAAAATGCTATGCTAAAGAGCTCAAACCACACAGAGTGTCCGCCATTTTGAGAACCGAAGAGACAGCCCCATGTCACGTCAAGGGTCCTCTCTCCCATTTTTCTTAGAGACACGCTGCTCACTCCTTCACCATCCATCCTTCGGTTCAGTCTTATACTGCCATCCAGTGGTCCAAAAAAGGTACTACACTCAAAACAAATTAAACATTTCTTCTTAAATGTAATAATTACTAATTGTCAAATTTCAAATTATCGTTTATCGCAATAATTTGAGACAATTAATCGCCCAGCAAAATTTGTCATTTTGACAGGCCTACTTCAAACCTCATAAGCGTTTTACTAAACTCCTCAGTATTACCAACTCATTGTTGAACAGGCTTAAAGAAAGACAACAGACGTAGTACAAATCCCATTTACTTGTGAAACAATAGCCAGAGTCCATATGATTCCAAATATTGTCAGTGCCATATGATTAAATCCAAAATCCTGTACGTGTTGTCTGTGATGTCCTTTATTCTGCTGGAATGTGTCATTTTTTGAATTTAGTTACCTGGAAAGAAACGAAAGAGAATGTAGTTAATAAGTAGGTTTCAGTAACATGACACCTGTTTAGCAGGACTTCACACGTACCCTCATACGTAGATGCCAACCCACAGCAGTAAGAAAAGCACGCCGAAGCCCATAAAAAGTGAGGCCACGAGGGAGATCAGCAGCTCCTTGTAGACGTCCCTCGTGTATTTTGTTGACGTCACCTCATAACTGATGAAGAGTTGAGGTAAACAAAAAGTACAAGAATAAACTACAATACACTTTGCTCTCTGAACAGCCATTATGGTTAGTTCTAGTTAAAAATGAACTTTTATTATATCAGCAGATATTCAAATCTATGTTCTTCTACATGGGAGTAAAGTTAGTTGGTTTCCAGCATGTAAACAAAAGTTAGATTTGACAGCCTCTTATTGAGCAGAAAACTGGAGAAGTACTTTTGTTGTTTTGAATTTTAAGCAGTTCTCTTTTGGAGCCTGTGCAGGACGAGACGCATATTCAAATAAACTTTTGTGCTCACCAACTGTTTTAAGGAACTTCCACTGTTGCCCGTTTCCCCTGCAGTAATGAAACGTAAAGCAAATCAAATGGAGATGAATCTGTGAGCTGCAGGTCTGCAAGTTGAACAACTTAAAGGCAGCTGGAGTTTAGGAGGGAATACATTTTACATGTAAAGTCTTTTCCTCAGATCTGCGTGACAGATCACTTCAACCACAATCTGTTTTTAGCACCAAGCAGAGAGGAGCGAATTATTTGAGGGTTAATCTGAATCCTGTTGTATTTTATTTTCTGAGCAAGCATGCCGTCGTTTCATGTGTTAGATTAACTTTTAAAGACTTTTGAACAAATTCAAAACTAGAGATATTTGACAAGAAGAAGAAATGTTATCAGCATATGTACTTAAAGATACATTTATCACGGTGCAGCAATTTATTCTCACACAGCTGGACCCAAGGAACTTGTTATAATTACAGTCAAATCTAAATGTATAATTTTTTTTTTTTTTTTTTACAATGATTATATGAGCACATGCATTCAAAATATTAAACTGTTTTTGCATTTTTTTTTATGCGTTTTTATTTTTTTTAAGAAAATGCATGTTTCTGTTTGGAATGTTAATTTTTCCTTCATGCCATTAAAAAAAGGTAAAGATGTTGCAATTCTTGCAAAGATACTGTGAGTGCTGAATAATTTTGCTGAAAGCTGCTGAAGTTTACTTGAAATAGCAGAAATTTAGCAAGGTGGTGGTAAAACGAGCACAATTAAAGCTGGAATTAGCAGAAAAGTACCGTAATTTCGGCCTGTAAGTCGCGTTTTTTTACATAATTTGCATGCCCTGCGACTTATACACCGGAGCAACGTATTTATGGATTTTTTCCCATATTTATAAACCAATTTTTGGCTGAGATATGACCGTTTTCATTCTGACTGAAAATATTGAACATTAACATTTTCAGCTGCTAGATGGCACTCAAGTTGTATGGCATGCCGTTATGTCATGTAATAGGTAAACGTGGCTATTAATCGGCCTGCCACCTTCGTCCAGCTCTCCTGAGCAACCGTCAAACCAGCTTCATTTCACTGCGCCGCCCCGGAGAAATGCAGCTGATTTGACCATTGAAATGCATTTATTAAGTAAAAGTTCCACTGAGACACACCTTTACTATGTCGAGCAAACAAATAATTGATTTAGGTGCTTGTTAAATTTAGAAGAAACGCACAGCGAGACCTCCCGTGCACGCTCCCGCAGCCGTAAATCGGCTTTTGAAATACAGCTGAATTGACTGTCAAAGTGCATTTATTAAGAAAAAGTTAAGACTGAGACACACCTTTACTATAATTTCAAGCAAATAATTATTTTTAAGTGTTAATCTTATTAAATTCTTGTTAAAGTCCTCCCGTGCACGCTCCCGCAGCCACCATTTGGCAGCCAATCAATTTTTGGCACAACACCGGCCCACATTTCCAGGTTGTCCGCGATAACGCATAATAGATGTGACATATTTATGGGTTTTTCCACTTTATTAGACATATTTGGACCGACGCGACTTATAGGGCGGTGCAACGTGTACGGCGGAATATACGGTAGTTGGAAATAAACTGAAAATAGTGGAATGAAGCTGAAAAGTTATGAGCAGAAAAATAGTTTTAAGCACAAAAATTATGAAGGCTCTGAAGAGAACTCCGTTTGTTTTCAGTGCAGAATAAATATTAGAAAAAAATGTTTAAAAAGTATAAATTACACAAATACCAAAGGCACCACAAAAGTGTGAACGCTTGCTGACTCAGCATTCACACTATCAAAGTTGTTCATCACATTAAGATAAAGTCATTTCATAGTTACGAATGCACGTGCACAGCTTCACCAAACACTTCCGGGTCACAGGTCATGTGGGACAAACGTTGCGGTTGCTCTGGAAACGCTGCTGGAACTCAACATATTCAACAGGTAAATTTATGTCGTTCTACTGAGCCGATTTATTTGCTCTAAACTGATTCATGTCAAACTTTCCTTTAAGATCAGTGGTGAGCTGTTTCATATATATATATAAATATATATATATATATATTTGAGCATGTTTCACAGCTGAGTATATTGTTAGGCATAAGTCCCAATTAGCTGCAGGATATTTTAGTATAGTAGGTAGAGAGTACCTGCAGAACCTAAAATAAATTAAATATTTAACATCCGTATCTCAGCTCAGTTCAGATATAAATAATAAAATTCAAAATTAACTAAAAGACTAAACAACAATGAAAGTAGTAACCATATTGGATTGGTAAATGCATAAAATGATACAAAATCAAAACGTTTAAAATAAATAAGTTGTGCATTTATTTTGCCTAACTCTACCATAATGCCACGCGTGCAGAAAATTACAACAGCTTTTTATTGTGGCATGCGCAGCAGTACCATTAACTGGACATAAAACATAAATCCCTCTGAATCTTTTTTGTGGACAAGTCTGTTTTTGCAGAAAATCTTTTTGTACGTATCCACAGTTATTGCACCAATTTTTCCAGGCACATCGTCTTTGCAGAAACTGTGCAAGTGACTGTTCATATTTTAACTTCATCCTTGGTTTTCTAAAATAGACACCCTAGAACATGTCTTCAGCTGTGTTGCTGATCTCACACTGGCAATCTTGTGTAAAAAATCAAAATGTGTGCATTCATCAGCAGAAATGACAAACGTACTGTTAAACCAAGCCTCCATTTTGTGGATGTAGTTCATGAATTGTGCTCTAACAAGTAAATCATCTCGTGTGTAAATATTGGGTTTGCTTACAGGATGTAGAAATGACATGTAAAGGTAAATATATCCTAAATTAACAACTGTGCAGGTTTAATGAAGAGTAGCCCACGAGCCACAACTCCCTCCATATAAAACACAGCAGACATTTGCAGGGAAGCAGGAAAAGGATACACGAAGAACCAGGCGGTGAAGAACATCCCGATGGCCAGCAGGACCACTGTGAGGTGAGGGAACACCGCAGGGTTCACCGGACTGGTGTATCTGGTCATGGCCTCGAGCTCCTGCAGACACAGCAAACGTGACAAGCAGCTTTACATTAAAACCTGAAACTATCGTTTTGTCATCAAAACGATACAATCTGATAATAAATACAGATATTAAAAAGTCTGTGACTTGGATTTTGTGCTGCAAACACATCGGTTCTGGTTTCTCATTAGCGAGTAGCTACTGGGAGAGAATCACAGAGACGTGAATCTGCCTGCTGTGCTAGCTCTTCACACAAAAGGTACCGCGTTACACATGTGATTTATAACGTGCAGTTGAGCCTACCAAAACATATTAAAACTGAAGTTACATAAAATAAATGCGAGTCAATCCTTACCATTCTGTAAAGAAGAAAGTTTCACTCAGCGCTGTTCCAGATGAAAAGGCCACGTACTGACTACTACTTCCTGGTTTTTGACGCACGGTTGACGTATCGCGAAGTTAATTCATCCCTGAGTTTTGCCTTTCAGGCACGACTACATTTAAACGCTCTTTTGTTAATGTCGTATAAAATATTTTTAACTTACTTTACTATACGCTTTGTCCGATTCGAATCTGTTAATATTATTACCATAAAATAGTACCGCTAACTGTGTGAAGAGCTATTTTTACTTGTAGACGATACTCAGGGAAAACAATACTCTATGTAATTTACGTTTTCGAGAACGTCTGAAACTTCTGCTGCCATCTAGTGGCCTGAATGAACAATAGTTTCAACTTCAAAAAGGCACAAGAAAATCAGGCAGTGCAATGACCACTTTATTTACTGTATGCAGTCATAGTATTACAACATATTTTATGACCAAATGCTTAGAAATTTAACAATAAATTGGCCCAGTGATATTAATGTAGCCAAGGAGATTGAAGCTTATGTTATTTTATTTTCAAACTGAGAAAAAAATTACAAATGTGTTTTCTCGTGCTTATCAATTATTTATTAACTCCCAAAGCTAAACGTTAATATATTAATGATAAAAACCAATAGAAAAATAATAATAATAAAGGACATCAGATAACAAGGAGGTACAAAATAAAACATGGAAACAGTAAATGGAGTTCTACCAGGATTTCTGACACCAGTTTGATGCACTGGAAAAAAGCAAAAGCAATTTGTATATACAAGTGAATAAAAGTGCTACAGTGATTTTATTTTTATTTTTATGCTAGCTGGTGCATTTTAAACAAGCTTAAACAGTACACAATACCCACACCAGTATACTAAAAAGCTGGTATTCATTTAATCTTAAATTTTATCATCTTTGATGGCTATTTTTCCTCTTTATTGTTATTGTTTGAGTTGTTCTATTTTATTATCTAAACAAAGGCACATGTGGAATACAAATTTATTACACATTTCCATTCATGCATATTGTCAGTTATTAGAGAAAGCCTCTGAAACAAAAACAGAAAATACAAACAAAGAAAACATTATATATTTCAGTCATATTAAAAGTATTATCATTGCATAGTCTTAGTCCTATAGGCACAAATAAAGATAGAAAATGTCAAGAAAAGTATATAAAAGAATACTGTAAAATGTCCATGTTTAACTTTGAATTATTTCCTCTCAGCTTGTGATGCAGATCTTAAAATAAATCAAAACATATCTTCTCTCTAAGCTGTGATGTATAATTTTAGAGAAATGATTGGGCATGCACCTGAAATGATGTCATTTCATGAAATACCAGCATTGTCCAGTTAACAAAACACAGTGTACGCTATTCCAGTGTTTCTAGAGAAATTGTCAGTGTAGGACTTTTCACTAAAAATATATCAGTGTATCAACACGTTTATTTCCTGTTTGCTTATCCAGTCCTGAGGTGATCGTTCAGATATTTTGAACTAGGGTTCTGTGGAAAAGTTATGAACAGTTATTATCTTACCTGTTGTAATAACAACTCCAATTACAAAATGTTATCAACGTTTAACTTTTTAAAACTTTTACTTTGGTGTCAAATTGGCATTACAGAGGTGTTTACATTAAATTGTAGTTTTCTGCAAGTGAAAATAGCACAGCAGCAGCTAGCTGTAGCACTTATAAAAAATATTATTTTAGTATTTCTGCTAAGTTAATTGCACGTTTCAAAATAACAGGGGAGTAAATGTTTCTAAAATAGCATTTGCACAAACCTTTGTACATTTACTGAAGAAAAATCACATATTTATCCGAAAGTGAAGTTGTTCAAAGTACTATCTACAACAGGTAAGATATTAATCGATATTAATCTCCACAGAACCTCATTTTAAACAATCTGAACAATCTATTTAAATATATTGTTTCCAGTAATTCCACTAACTGGGTTCAAGTCAGGGGTGCTCACTTTTCCAGTATGCCTTCACTTGAGGGGCAATTTCTAGTTTTAAACTTTTAATAAAGTTTCATTCAGTGTCTTAACTCTAATGTAGGAGTTTCATGATGAAGCAGCAGCATCTTCAAAAAAAAAAAAAACTCCACTGCATTGTTTGCCAGTGTTTACTACTGAAGTACGTTTGATATTAAAGTAGTAATTTCTTCTCAGTGTATAAAACTCTAAGGTGTGTTGTTGTAGACAATGGTTTCATGGGTACCCAGATTCAAAGCATTACTAACTAAAATGAATAGTTTCATTTAAAATCCACTATATTTTAGCCTGGAAAGTAATAATGGCTTATTTTACAGTTGGAAGACATAGTGATCCATAAAGGCATAAAGAGATTTATAATCATGGCTTTTACAGTCACAGTTAACAGTCAATGCAGTAAATCTGCAGGAATATAAGATAATCCAGTGAAGACAGGAAAAAGAGATGATCTACTGCAAATACACAGGGACAGGGTACGCATTTACTCTTAAAAAATTAAAATAATAAACAATAATGAGACAAATTAATCATCCTATCACAACACTTTACAACGGGGAACACGTCGGGGAAATATACAACGAAGTATGAAGATGCAGGGAAGCCCCATCCTCCTCCTCACACGCAGCTGCTCTGAATAACAAAACGGTAGTCGGAGTACGGTGACAGTTTTTCCTCTGTGGCACAAGTCACCTCCCTCTGTCAACAAAAACACAAGTACAAAAAGTTCTAATCAAACATGATCTTAAAAACACGCTCTCTGGGTGAAAGAAGAAACTGCAGCGTCTGACCGAGTCTCAGATTTTACAAACAAAATTTACTCACAGACTGGGAGACTCGGAAGCGGTACGTGATGTCCTGGAAGGAGAACGCTGACACTGACCAAAGATGATGAGTCCCCTTAGAAAGAAGCAAGTGCAACAAAAGAGTAAAATAAAAACAACAACAATAATAATAAAGGTTATATGAAATATTTTGAACATGTATGTAATTTGTACCTTTGCTGATGAACTCTGTCCAGCATGGATCTCTGTCTCTTTGTGGTTGAAACATAAACGTCCTCTGGTAGCTCCACACTGGTGCACCCACACACTGTTGGCATATCTGAAAAACAAAAGTCCTAATTGTTTAGAGCAGTATTTTTGAATAATTTTAACTTATACTTTTTACTGGAAAAAAACAGGTGATTCCCAGTTAAAATGTTTCCTGCAGGATCACTCTATTTTGGAGGTGTTCCAATCAGGCTTCAAGTCTCTCCACAGCACTGACACTGCTCTGTTGAAGGTTTTTAATGATATTTTCATAGCCACAGATGTAGGTGACTCTGTGCTTCTTGTCCTACTGAACCTCACATCTGCTTTTGACACCAGCGACCATGAGATCCTCATGTCTAGGCTGGAGCAGTGGGTGAGCATCACAGGGTCGGCCCTCAAATTGTTTAGGTCTTACCTCTCCGACAGAACCTTTTGTGTCAACAAGGATTTTATTTCAACATCAGCAGCCCTTCTGTGGGGGGTACCGCAGGGATCGATGTTCGGTCCTCTTCTCATTTCTTTATACCTATTGCCACTATGTGCTATTTTTCATAAACACAGCATACCTTTTAATTTTTATGCCGATAACTGTCAAATTTACTTCCCTCTGAAGCACACTGGTGTACGTTCTGTTCAACCTCTTCTTGACTGCCTGGTTGACATCAGGGGTTGGATGGCTTTAAATTTCTTAAACTTTAATAAGAAGAAGACTGAAGTCAAGTTGTTTCCACCTAATGGCACAATCATGAACCACTGTATCGACTTTTCCTCTCTAGCCCCATTAGAGAAACAAGTAGTCACTAATCTGGGAGTGAAAATGGACCCTTCTATGAAGCTAAACTGTAAATATGATTGTTAAATCCTGTTTTTGTTTTTTCAGTTGAGGTGACTGTCTAAATTGAAGCCCATACTGTCCAAAAGTAATCTTGAAACAGTAATACATGCTTTCATAACATCCATGCTTGATTACTGCAATGTGCTTCTGTTTGGAATCAGTCAGACCTCCATTGTACATTTACAACGGGTTCAAAATGCTGCAGCCCGATTTTTAACCAGTACAGGCAAAAGAGAGCACATTTCTCCAGTTCTAGCCTCCCTGCACTGGCTCCCAGTTCACTTTCAAATTCAGTTCAAAATCCTTCAGTATGTTTTTAAATCTCTGAACAGTTCTGCCCCCTCTTATTTTGCTGATCTGCTGCAGCCATATGTCCCACAGCGCTCTCCGAGGTCAGCGGACCAGATGCTTTTATTGGTTCCAGGAACTTGTTTTAAGCTCAGAGGTGACAGAACCTTCTCTGTTGCAGGTCCAAGACTGTGGAATGAGTTACCACTGTGCGTCATGCTCCCTCTCACACCGTTTTGAAGTCTTGTTTAAAAACTCACTTTTATTCCCTGGCTTTTGACAATGTGTGAGCTGATTTTAACATCTGTTTTCTATAATGTTAGTCATTTAGTTTCTTATCTTTACCTCTGTGGGATCTATGTATTTTTTGCTGTGTCCTTCACTTGTTTGTTTTTGGTGTACAGTACAGCACTTTGGTTGGCCTTGTTGCTGTTTATAAGTGCTATATAAATAAAGTGGTATGGTATGGTTTCTCAATTAAAAGGTGTGCATCGTTTGCTTCTAATCAAAAACTTTCTTCATCGTAGAGGCGGAACTGTACGGTTACTAATGCTGTACTGCTCAAGAACAAGATAGTTGGCAGTTAAATCAAATGCACTGAAATAGATTATTGCAAAAATGATTTCCATTTAGTGTGTCTGTTCAGGCGACTGGAATTAAATTTCTGGTGAGTACTAACTTTCTGCATGCATGGACATTACTGTCTGACTCACAAACAACTAAAAAATGAGTCATGTAAAGATACTGAGTGAAAAGGCAGCTTTATTCCATCAGCTGAAATTTAATAATGTGTTGCCAGCTTAAAACTAAAGCATGTACTTCACCTCAACACTCTGGGTCACAATAAGTGAACATTACCTAAATAACTTACCACAATTTGAACAAATGTTAATGTAAGGAAGGATAAGTCAAATTGTGTCATTAAACAAAGTAAGCTTTGCTTAAATTTAGATTAAATACATTAAGTTAACCTTAGATTAGATTTATAACAGCAGTCTGACTTTATTTGAAAGATACTTGCAAATACCATGAAGCAACATGATCTGATCTATTTGTATTTACAGTTCTGTCATGTTCATACTTACATCATGAGTAAAGTAATTTGAGAGGAGACATTTCTTTGTCCATGAAGTGAAAGAGTGTAGCTGGAATCGACACAAAGAAAACGTGCGTCACACACAACACACCAAAAATGATACTGTAATTGTATAAAAGAGACATTAGTGTGAAGGTTCCTGCAGACCTACCATTGTACACATGACAATAGCACATTTTTTTTTGATGAAATGAACAAAAATTGTGAAATTCCTGCCTATCTAGTAGTCTACCTGCAGGTTTCTGCTGTTGCACACCTTTGTGCAGTAATTTCTTGTTTTGTCTCCACAATTTGAACACTTGAGAGTCTGGGAGCAGCTGTTCCTGCAAACGAAAACAAATAAAACTGCATTATGGGAACCGAACTTTAGGTACTTCTGTCCTTTATCAATAAGTAGACAAGCTTTGTTTGCTGTCATCAAACATATAGTTTCACAGTCTGCATGTTGCACATATTGTGTGTACATATACATATATGTGTATATATGTATATGTACATAGTAGCGCTATGGCTGAGCTGTGTAACCTTTTCCATGTAGGCTGCGTTGTCTGCGTGGCACAGGCTGCTGGCCCTGAGGCAGGCGATTGGTGGTTCCGGCTCCTTCTGGGTCTGCAGGGACAGGTTTCTTGGACTTGGCAAAGTACATGGGTGCGGAGGTGTGACTGAGGCGGTTCCTGTTGTGGCCATCTTTGTCCATGGGCCTGGACTTGGCCTTCTTGTTAATGGCGCCTGGTGTGGGAACCAGGCTGCTTAAACCTACAGAAGATGTATCATTCATCTTAAGATAACACAGAAAAACAAGTCAAATATGCAGATTTACTTTGCTAGATTTTTTTCTGTTTACCTGAAGTTGTTTGGTTTGTATTCAGGGTCAGGGTCGTTGCTGACTGGTTGTTTACAGCTGTGGTTGAACAGCAAGCTACCGAAGAACATCACAAGTCAAAATTATATATTATATTCATTTTACCCTCAGACATTAGGTAATTATTGGGATTTTTAAAACAATCCAAACATAACTTGTGCTCCTACAGGTAAGTCAGGACCTCCACTCACCTGGTGCAGGTGTGGTGGAGAGTGGAGTGTATGGATTCTTGTGAGACGATCCCAGTGCAGCTCTTGACCTGCACCAAACAACAAACGGAAAATGAAAACCTCACTTTGATGCATCTGAATTCATTCCACCATGCTTACACGTGTAGCCCGTGATCCAGTTTCAGACGGAACAGAAGGAAATGTGAAACAGGAAATCATTTGTAGAAAGAAATGAAGATTGGAGCTGATGGAGTACCATTTGCAGACAGGTGGACAGACAGTTACAGTAGCAGTGAAGATGGGCATCCAAGAGATGTAGAGGACACAGGAAGGAACGCAGCTACAGGAAGAGGAGCCAGTTGTAGAGAATTATTGGAAGGCTGTAAATTGATTGTTTTCACAGTTTCTCTGCACCCGAGAGAGAACATACCCATCTTTCTCTGCGATGTCTCCTCTGTGGTGAAGCGTGAGCATGTAGAGCACGGACATGGAAATGACACTGCAGGCAACAAAACATAAACAGGAAAGTCATTATCATCCTTCATCCTGAGGTGTAGCCGGCGTCACCGTCTCACAGAACTCGTACCTGAAGGCCATAACAATGACCAGAGCCAGGATGGTCCCCTGCACGAACCTCTGACTGATGCAGCCCTGATCCAAAGGGGAGCTCTGCAGCAGGACAAACAAATACAGAAATATGAACATCCTGCAAGTTACTCTTATTAAACTTTGAAAAAGCACCGTTACAAACCTTGCTCCCAATTTTGACTGTCTTTTTCTTGAGCGGGACGCTTCCTGTTCTGCTGAAGTAGCTTCCTGATTGGCTGAAAACACAAGATAAAGAAGAAGTTCATCATTACGAGTCGTAATGAATGTCCATCGTAAAACTAACTTTAACGTGGTTTAATGTGGCGCTATGGCTCTGTAGACATTGAACGTTGCTGTCTTGTGGTGTTTCTAGTGTAAAATACTTCCACACAGCGGACATGTTTAGATGAAAAGTTTGTTAGCTGTTAGCCACAGTGCTGCTAACTCAGTCCTCACGTTGTAGCTGGCTGCAAACTTTGAAATGGATTTCCTGAATGTGAGGCGGGTCTTATTACTCTGGGCTCATGAGACACGCCGCCGTTCAGGAAATCCATTCCATAGTTTTGAAGCCAACTTGCATCATGGATCGGAAATATCGGCAGGTGGATCGGAAAATCCGATACGTAAATTATGCTGGTATCGGAGGCCGATACGATACTGGATCGGATCGGCCCATCCCTAGTTACGACGGACTTCATGCGAGACGCTCTCTTCAAATGTGAGACATGCTGTTGTAATCAGGTGCTTGTTTTCTCACCTCACCGTGCCTCCGCTCACGGTGCTCTTCATGCTGTCGAGGCGGCGCAGTTTGGCCAGTTTGCGGCTCCAGCGCTCCAGTTCGTCTATACGAGTCTCCAGGTTGTCGGTTAGCTTGCAGAGCTCCTTCACAGCTCCGACGTTCTCCATGAAGATGCGCTCCTGTGACACCAGATGATTGAGTCAGTGCAAAGAATGTTTTCCAGCTGTAATCGCTGCATAATTTCCTGCTTGCCCTTGACAAAGGTGGATGGTTTTCCTCCCGCTCCTGCTTTCCTCCTGCTTAATGTCATCAATATGTTGCTATTTCTGTGCTGAGGTTTTTTTTTTGCAACAACTTTCACACTGTGTCTCTTCAAGGACACAGTGTGAGATATGATGTTTTTTTTTTTACACCTCCTCTTTCCTCGTTTACCCTTGTCTTATCTAAACACAATGGGCAGCGCCTCCCACAAGGCTGCAGCCTCAGACACCTCTGTCTACTTATGTCTGTTTGTGTTTTACTTGGATGGGCTGTACTGAAATATAATTTCATTGTGCTTCGGTGCAATGACAATAAAGCTGATTCTGATAATACATCACGTGTGAGCTTTTTGTTTATGGGGTGCCATTTGTAAAGTTACACAGTCAAAAATTAACAGCAATATTTTTGGTTTATTTAACCTTTCATAAGAAAAAAATAGTTTTTTTTTCAAAGTCATATTTTCACCATGTTATTCATACATTTATAAATGTTATAGTTCCAAACTAAATATTTAATTTACAAGCTAAATATTTAGCTTACAAACTAAATACTTACTTGCAAGTTAAATATTTAGTTAGCAAGCTAAATATTTAGCTCCACACTAAATATTTAGTTTACAAAATAAATGTTTATGGCAAGGTAAATGTTTAATTTACAAACTAAATATTTAACTTGCAAGTTAAATATTTAGTTAGTAGACTAAATATTTTGGTGTTAATTAAATATTTAATTTCCAAGCAAAAAATTTATTTCTAAAACTAAACATTTAATTTCTAAACTAAAATTTTAATTTCTAAGCTAAACATTTAATTCCTAAACTATAGAGGTTCAGCTTTTATTTTGATAGTCCACGTCTGCTTTTCAGCAAGGAATTTGCAGATTAGCTAAATATTTAGGTTTGAGTCAAATATTTAACTTTTGAGGTAAATATTTAACTTGCAAGTTAAATATTTAGGTCAGCGCTAAATATTTAGTTAACAAATTATGTATTTATTTTGGAAATTAAATGTTTAGTTTGGAAAATAAATATCTAGGTCAGAGCTAAACATTTAGTTAGCAAATTAGGTATTTATTTAGGAAATTAAATGTTTAGTTTGGAAAATAAATATTTAGGTTTGAGCTAAATATTTGGTTAGCAAATTAAATATTTGGTTTAGGAATTAAATGTTTAGATTAGAAATTAAATGTTTAGTTTTGAAAATGAATATTTTGCTTGGAAATTAAATATTTATTTTACACCTAAACATTTAGTTCACTAACTAAGTATTTAACTTGCAAGTTAAGTATTTGGTTTGTAAACTAAACACTTATCTTGTAAATTAAATATTTAATTTGGAACTATAACATTTATAAATGTATGAATAACATGATTAAAATATGACTTTGAAAAAAAAAACATTTTTTTCCCTATGAAAATCTAAATAAACCAAAATGTTGCTGTTAATTGACTGTGTAACTTTACAAACGGAACCAAATTGTTTACCTTGTTGACGACTAAGAGGTTGGGAATTGTATCTCCGTTGGCACACACCACGTCGCCCCCTTCTTTCACGGCTTCCGGCAGGATTTGTTGAACTTCCTGAGCAATCACGCCTGCGGAAGAACGCATTGAGCACAGATGGCACAATCAGAGATGCAGATTTTTTTTTGTCTATCCACATAACAGGCAGAACAAAACATTAACTTTGTTAAGACGATTGCAGTTGTATACAGGTTTTTGTTTAGAGTTGTAACAGAGGTTACATAGGACGCATTTACCGGTCTCTGCCGTGCTCTCTATGCCCACAGTGGCAGCAAACTCAGGCTTGTACTGATAATGGACCAGCCTCATCTGAGAGATGCGCTTTAAATTGTCTGTGGTGTCCACCTACCGACAGACGAGCACAAAACACGCCTTAGTGCACGCTGGAGATGACAGTGTGACGTTACATAAGGCTTTAACAGCCAACTCTATCATCCATAAAATGTAACTTCAAATGAAATATGAAAAGAAGTTTAATTACTTTGTAATTTTTTTTTGCTTGAAAACAAAGAAAGGCAACATCTCCAGTATAAAATCAGAACCAATGTGAGTGTCTCTAGAACATTGGGAGAAAGACCTAAAAAATGACTCCACAGGTTGTGTCACCCAAATGAAACTATCTTGAAACATGACGTACAGTTTTTAGAGCCACAAAAATAATTTAATAAATAAAACGCACGACGTCCTGACCTCCTGAACATTTTCTTTCGCCCTGATGTCAGACGGGTGGACCAGGGAGCCCATGACCTTCAGGTTGCCGTGGACAACGAGGGCCTCGTCGGGCCGGTCCGTGTTGATGCCGACCCTGCCGTGATGGTACACGGAGTCCGGCAGCTGGCCACGCTGCCACAGCACCTCGGTGTCACTTTCAAACTGGCCTGGGTTGGATGCCTAACGCACAGAACCAAAGAGGAGGGTGCACAGAGAGTCTGATTCAGATAATTAACCATTAGACCAAAACACAACTTTAAATTTAACGCGTCGACAACATTCAAATATCTTTGTTTTTGCTTTTCTGCCAGGAGTTTAAGAATATCTTGGTTCTGCCTTTTATCAAAGCAGATGCTGTAATTTGCAGTTGATCACAGCCGTTATCACAAATACACTTTGGATTTTTAAAACTGCCCAGTAAGCATAAAAACACAATTCTCCACAGAACTAGTTAAAAAGGCTTATATTTGTACTTTTCCTAGTCTTAGCAGACCAACTTTATTAAACAAACACGAGCCAGTCTAACCCGTCTGCAAGAAAAGCACATTAACTAAGAAACTGTCAAATAGGACGAAGTCTGTTGAAAGAAAAAAGTCTTAAAACATGGAAGTGGTTACGATGCAGTCAAATATGCAGTTACACATCTGTTGCGTTTATAATAGCAGAAAGCTTGTCCTCTCAAATACTTCAGCAAGCAAATATAAAAATAACGGCAATGATGAGAGTAGAAAAGCTTGGGCGTCAGATGAAACGTGTCACATTCACACAGGTTATGATTGTTGTAGGAAGGGGACAGACATGGCCAGACGTTACCCTGACGATGATCCTCTCCGACACGTGAGCAGCCACAGTGTAGCTCTGACTGTGGGACTGAGCGTGCAGCGTCACCACCAGCATGAAATACCTGCACACATCAGCTGATCAGGACCAGGTGTGGAAGCAGCAGAACATTAATGAGACCAAAACGCTGCTCTTGTTCTCATGGCGGGCCCTTCACCTCTGGTCTGGGTTTGGTTTGCCCTTCTTCCTCATGTTGTTTGCCGTGGTCTCGCTGAAGTGGAGCCGTCCCACTGTGACTTTTGTCACCTGCTCTGATGGCAGTGTGACACTATTAGAGACGGAAATCATAATTACATCATGAAATAACACAGATTAAATTTTTGATGTTGTTTCTTGAGAGCAGACTAACAGAACTGGCTTGAAGGGCCTCTTGCTGCGGTCGGACTGGGACTGCTCCACACTGATGGACTGATTCATGGCTTCCACCTGCCAACGAGGAGCAAACACAACGCACACGTACTAAATACACCTGAACACTAAAAATCACCACAGATCACTACATCTGTCTCTGCACTGAAACTCAAATGTGACATTTGACCGTGTCATTATTTCTATACACGCTTTCAACAGCAACAAAAAACAATTTAAATGTTTATTTCTGGTAATATTTGTTTAAATAATGATAAAGTGTGATGACCCTTTTACATAAAAAGGGTCATGTGACCAGCCGGTGGAGCAACAAGAACAAAACCCAAAAATTAATAGTGATCTCAAAACACCCCAACACCGCTACATTTATTTATTATGATTTTATTTGAAATATAGGACACTGACACAATAATGCACAATAATTTAACCGTTGCCCAGATCATGGGCTTTTTAGCCGAGTGCTAATTCGTAAACCCAGTCCCTGGTAGAGCTGTCATTTCAAACCCCAACCCAAAACCTGGCCCGGACCGACCTGGATTAGGGCTGGTCCAGGCCATTATAATGTGATTAATGTGCAGGTCGGGCTGGTTTTACGAATCATACAGCACAAATAAAACGAGAAGATGAAGAAAGAAAGAAGAGTGCAGCAGTTAATCCGACTGTGGAAGAGATCGCTGGCGCATTGCACAATAATTACGCAAGTGGGCTCAGATTTCTGCGGTTTTGCCAATCATACAGTACAAAGAAAACTAAATAATGCACAATATAAAATTGTGTTAATCAACTTGTTGAGGTGGAGGCAGGTCTGACCGGCCGGTTTAAAGAGGTTTAAAAAAGTCTCGTTAAGCTCAGATGGACACCTGTCACAGGCCGCGCACGTCCGCTGACTTGCTGTTTGAAATGGATTTGCGACCTGTGCAGGGTGTTACCCCACTTTTTGCAGTGACTGCTGGACATGGGCACCAGCAGCACCAGCAGCACCAGTGGCACCAGCGGCACCAGCGACCCTCGCTACCCGAAAAGGAAGAAGCAGGTAAAGATAATGGATGGATGGATGAATCGGCTGATCACCGGCTGCGCACATCTCTGCACCTGCTGTTATCTGCGGTGAAGGAAGTAGCAGCATTTACAAAAGCCAAAGCGAGCAGCACGTTCAAATAAAATAGCCTTGCTCTATATTTTTCCAAATAATTTTGCTCTAAAATATTTTTGTTCATCTGTATAATAGTCTATATTTAGAGTTGATTTTTTTAGACTATTTGTTTTGTATGTTAATATCCATTTGGTGACTTGTTAATAAACATACATTTTATATCTTCCTTTCATTGCGTTTTTAAAACTATCACATAAAACTGATCTGCTTACAAAAGCAGTAAAAGCTTAATTTAAAAAAAGTATTTTTTTTTAGGTTCGGCCCTCTAATTACCGGAAATCCGTTGGGTCCAGGTGCGGCTCAGAAAAAAAACACCCTACGGGCTCGGTTTGGTCCGGGCCAGGTTTATTAGGCCCGAATGCAACTCTAGTCCCTGGTTATTGTCTGCACATGACAAAAGGTTTTACTCGTGATGTTTTTGATTGACTGACATCATTATGTTTTTGTTTGTTGTTGTTGTACTTCTTTCATCTGCTCCCTTCTTCAGGCGTCGCCACAGCGAACTATCTTGCACGAAGAGTTTGCAATTGTTTTTATTGTTATTTATTTTTATTTTTTTTACACTGGATGCCCTTCTTGACGCAACCACAGACCACTGAGCTACCACAGCCCTCTATATGGAGCAGAGAGCTGCCATAGGGTGCCCATGGGAGCAGATGATGGCGTTTAAGGGACTTGCTCACGGGCCCAGAGTGGGGTAAATGGTTGTGGAGTCATAGCTGGTAAATGCAGTTTACCTGCTACACTCCGTGGTTTTTGTTTATTAGTATCCATGATTTGTTATTTTTGTATTTGGATGGATTTTCTTTGTGTTTTGGGTACATGTTGCTGTATTTCTTGAATCAATTTTGCCTTCTCAGCCCCACACACCTGGATTTTATTAATCAATCAGCACACCTGCTCTCTATCTCTAATTATTTCCCATATAAGAAATAGTCCTTTATATTAAGTACTTGTTATCAGATTAAGTAATTTCTTGGTCTGTTCTGTATTGGGGAGTGGTGGCGCAGAGGTTAGAGAGGTGGGCTTGTGATCCGAAGATCGCCGGTTCAGGCCCCGGCCCCGACAACATCAAAATTGTGGGTGGGGTAGGTGAACCACCCACACTTGCCCCCACCCTCATTCGCCCCACCCTGGGCCCATGAGCAAGGCCCTTAACCCCCACCATGTGCTCCCTAAACAGGTCTCTCTTGAAAATGAGTTCTCGTGGCTCAATGAGACTAACCTGTATAAATAAAGGCTAAATGAAAAAAAAAAAAAAAAAAAAATTGGTGTATTTCAGTCGTTTCTAGTCAATGTCAAGTCGGTTTAAATCTTTTTAATAAAATATAATAATCTTTCTTCCAACTTCCTGTCTGCTGCTGCCTCCATGGCCTGCATTTGGACGTTTCAGCTTTAATTCACAACATTACTAAGTCAAGCCCCCTTTTTTTCATTCATTCAACCTTTATTTATACAGGTTAGTCTCATTGTGTCACGAGGACTCATTTTCAAGAGACCTGTTTTAAACAAAACCACAGATAAGGTACACAAAACAATAAACAACAATGAAATGCAAATAAAGTAAAAATAAAATGTAGTGTTATAAAACAAAATCAAATCAAGGTGTCTTGAAAAATACTAAAATACTAAAAACAGGAACAGGTTTGCTTTAATTTTTCTATTGAACTTGTCAATTGTTTAAAATCCCATAAAGAGGTTGTCAGGGGTTTTAGGTAAAGGTTTATGGATGTTTATCACTGCTAATGTTAAATTAATGTTGAACCATGTGTGTGAGTTCAGTTTGTTTTCCTCTCAGAGAGGAGCCTGTAGGCACCTGACGCCTCCGGACTGAGAGGCTGAGGTCATCGTGCTGATAAGCGTGTATAAAAAACACTTCTTGTACACTGCCCGTTGCAGATTCTCATGACGGGGCTTTAAATATGTAACGTTGAACATCTGTATAAGCGTGTTTCGTGACTGTCTGTCCTTGCATGTAAACTAGGTTAAAAAATCTTCTTGTCATTGAGTGTGCTTCTTTTATTTAAATAAGTTAAATAGAGGATATTTTAATCTAACAGAGGTCAAAGTGGACAGCTTCAGATCTTTTAGCAAGGTATTACAGTAGCAGAGTAAGAAAAGACCCTTTTGCCTAGTTCAGTCTGCACTGAGGGAGCGCTGCAGGTAATTATGTCCTGAGAGCGCACGCTGTAGCTGCACTGATCATGTGACATATAGGAGGAAATATATGAAGGCAGCAGACCAAGAAGTGATTTATAGTTGAATATGTACCAGTGAGAGCGTCTGTGTGAAGTTGATGACCAGTTGACCAGTGAATACAATGTGCAGTGATGGATTTGGTAATTACAGCCAGTTATGAAATTTAGTGCGCCATGATAGACAGCATCCAACATCTGCAAGGTGCTTGCAGGAGCGTTCATGTAAATAATGTCACCATAGTCAATGGCCGATAGGAAAGTAGCAGCTTGTATATGATATATTTGTATATAAAGATGTATATATGTATACATAGCAAGATTCCTTTACCTTTACTCCGTGAAGCTTGAGGCAGAAGCAGTCGATGGGCTGCAGGCCCTCGTTTGTCTTGATGTACTTGGGATCTCCGAGCATTCCGACGTAGACCGTGACCTGGAAATGGTTCTTCTTTTGGCAGACAAACGCATCGTCAGCCAAAGAGAAGTTGAAGCCTTTGTCAGCGTCAACCCGGTAGGTTGGCATTGGACTGAAGATGGAAAAAGGAACGCACATGACCTCAGATTTGTTACTGAATGTTGCCCTCAGGGATACACATGTGGATTAGGTTGATGTAACTCACACATTTTAGTAAACAAAAACTGCATACAGGTGGTAAAACGTGATTCTTCTGTTGGTCAACACTGTTCAGCAGGTTACACAGGAACATTTGGCCCCTCTAAAGTTTAGATAAATGAAACCCTCATTTTCTACTCGAGCGGGGTTTGGTGTGTTTAGTGTTGCAACGGTCAACCAGGTGGTTTTGATAACATATCTTAAAAGGTCGTGAGTTCATTTTAACCTTCCTCCCTATCTATTTTGGCACTGCGAGAGCACAAGAAAGAGCTCACTATTTTTTTTTTTCCTTTTTCACTTTAAGTCAAACCCCTGGTCTCGTTCACTCCCCCATACATCTAACCGCTGAGGAATTTTTTAGAACTCCACATTTCATCTATTCCTTTGCTGTCCCTGTAGACTTTGTTGAGTTTTGCAAGAGTACAATTAAAACTCAGTTTATCTTTGACACTGTGGATTGTTTATGACTCATTTGGTTCCAAACTGTGCAGTTATGCCCACAATAAATAAAAAAAATAGAACAATGCACCCACAGCTCTTTGCAGTTGACATCGTAAAGCGGCGTCCACTTGTTCTGCTGGTGAGGCTGCCACTTAATGCACTGATAGTTCGGGTCCAGGTAGCTGTTGTCTGCGTCCTGCATTAAACCTGGGACAAAGAGTTTTTCTTTTAAGCATGCTAAAGTGAGCAAACTAAATATAAAAACAGCTACTCTGTTCAGTAAGTCTTAATCTGTGTTAAGAGTTAGTAAGAGCAGGTGAGCGGGAGGTAGAGGGGGTGCGAGGATGAAGAAAGATGCCTGCCTACCTGGTTCTTGTTTGATGATACCTGTGAGGATTTGGGAATTCAAGGTGCTGTTGGGTGAGTCCGAGTGCTTCCTCTTCTTCGCCTGATGACCAGGGATGCTGCTGTGAAAGGAAAAGAGAACACAGTCATTTAGTTCAAACTTAAGGCAAGCCATTGGAGCATTTATTCAAAATCCTTGATATCAAGTGGCCTTTGTTCTCAACCGTATTCCAACTAGTCAGCCAAAGTTCTGCAGAGGTAAAAGTCTGAAACAAACTAGTAGATGACCGAGTTGTACTGGTTCACTAGATGGTATCAAAAACTCAAACATGTTCACCACAGTCAACAAAATATCTGTCCAATAATACTTTCATCCAGTTGCTTAGCCGCTTGTTCCTTTTTATGGTTGCGGGCAGATGGTGCCTATCTCCAGGAGGTGAGGTACAGCCTGTACACGATGCACAGAGACAAATGACACAGGAAACCATCCACAATAACATAGGGACAATTTAAAGTAGTTAATTACTTTAACATGGATGCTGTTGGACTGTAGAATGAAATTAAAGAACTTGGAAAAAAGCTGTCGCCCATACTGAGCTTGGTTCAGCTGAAACAAGACTATTCAACTAAACTGCTACAGTTTCTGAAAGCCAGCAGATCAGGGGCCGAACATCCAGTAGTTAAAGTCATTATGTAAATAAACCAAGCACAGTAGTCCCTCGCTACTTCACGGTTCGTTTTTCACGGACTCACTCTATCGCGTTTTTTAAAAAAAGGATTGTACATGACACACAATTGGCTGATTGATGGATGAGCCACACGGTCGGCATGGAATTTTTATTTAAAATAAATTATTTTAAATTATTTACCACCTGCTGCACCTTTGTGCAACCCATGCTGCAGGATAAGCTTCCTCCTGCAGCCGAGGCAGAGAGCTGAAATCATAACATTCTGTGCTGTTTTAGAGCATTTACAGTTTAGAAACATTGTTTAGAATATTGCAAGAGTGTGACAAGAGTTTAAAACACATTCATATATATATATATATATATATATATATATATATATATATATATGAATATATCTGTGTATGTATGTACACTGCCTGGCCAAAAACAAAAATTCGCCACCTGGATTTAACTAAACAAATAGATACGAGCCTCCTATTGTATAATTACTGCATGGATGATTATCAGCTGGTAACAAGTTATTTAACCCCAACTGGTGCAAAGAGTTGCTTCTCATTTCTTAAACAACCATGTTGAAAGACACATGACGTGGTCATGGAAAAGATGTCTGTCTGGTTAAGAAGGGTCAAATCATTGAGGAGATTGCAGAAACTACTACAGTTGGGTTAAGAACTGTTAAACACATTATTAAAAACTGGAAGGATAGTGGGGACCCATCGTCTTCGAGGAAGACGATTCCTTAGATGGAGAACTTTACTAATTGGCTTTTATGTATGTGAATGTTTCTGTAAAGTGTCCTGAGACAACTTTGTTGTGATTTGGCGCTATATAAATAAACTGAATTGAATTGAATTGAGGAAGAAATGTGGCCAGAAAAAAATCTTGAATGATCGTGATCGGTGTTCACTTAAACATTTGGTGAAATCAAATGGAAGAAAACCAACAGTAGCACTCAGAGCCATGTTTAATAGTGAAAGTAAGAGCATTTTCACACGCACAATGTGAAGGGAACTCAAGGGGTTGGGACTGAACAGCTGTGTAGCCTGAAGAAAACCACTAACCAGTGAGGCTAACTGGGAAAAAAGGCTTCAATTTGTTAGGGAGCATAAAGATTGGACTCTAGAGCAATGGAAGAAGGTCATGTGGTCTGATGAGTCCAGATTTATCCTGTTACAGAGTGATGGGTGCATCAGGGTAAGAAGAGAGGCAGGTGAAGTGATGCACCCGTCATGCCTTGTGTCTAGTCAATGCAAGATCTTGGTGAAAAATTAATGCAACACTGGATGGAAATAGATCTTGTGACATTGCAGAAGTTTATTGAAACAATGACACAGAGAATGCATGATGTAATCAAAGCTAAAGGCGGTCCAACAAAATATTAGTGTGTGACCTTTTTTTTGGTGGTGACTTCTTTTTGGCCAGGCAGTGTATTTTTTTAATCAACTGAGGGCTGGACTGAAGTCGCCCATGGGCTGAAAGTGACCCATGAGCCGCCAGTTGAATAGCCCTGTGCTGAAGGCTAAAAGAGCATCTTCCTCTCCACTGTCACCCATCACTTTGTGCATGTTTAGGATGGAAAGTGAAGATTTTGTTAGAAAGGCAACCTTTTGCTTAATGGTGTTTCATGAAACATTAAATCTGTATCATAACTGGATTCAGCTGACTGTATGTAATTTAATTTGGATCTGTTTTAAACCAAATGAGACTGCATGGCTTTTGATAAGATTTGGATATGTTACATGTTTTCATGGTGCCCTGAGAAGACACTTGTTGTGAATTGACAATATACAAATAAACTGAATTGAAGTGAAATGAAAAATACAAAAAGTTTAGACTTTAGAGCTACTAGTAGTGAAACTCTTTGGCTGATGTTTGACTTTATATTGTTGGAGCAAAATGCCACTAGTTGGTGAAAAAATGTAACTCAGAGAAGGTTCAAAGTAGCAGAGTAAGTTGACACCTGATATCAACAATTATAAATAAATGGTTTGCCATACCACTGGACCACTCCACTCTTGTGCATCTTAAAAACTCACTCTTGTCCCTGAGGATGCTGCAGCAGCTGATGGAGCATCTGCGTCTGCTGCACATCTCCACTTCCACTAGTGACTGGTCCAATAGGATACTGTGAAATCATGGGCTCAGGCTTCAGGTACATGTCCCGATGCATGCTGGGATAGTGCCCATGAGGTGGGAGGGGTGGCGTCGGAGCCATGTGGCACATATTTTCTGGTGTCATGGTCCTGATCATGTGAGGGTCTGAAAGAAGAACGGAGAAAATGTTCTCCATCAATCATCTGCTTTTCCTGCTCAGTATTATTTTTGTGATTCAAGTTCCTTTTTTTTCTTTCCAGTTTTTCCCAACCTCGGATAAAAACATTTTTTTTATTACGTCACAGTGAATAAATTCCCATCAGATAACATTACATTATTGAAATATTGCATTACTGCATTTAGCAACACAAGTGTGTGACCGTCAAGAATCACTTTAATGTTTCGTTTCTCTTTCTTTGACTTTTAAAACGAACCAGATGAGAACTAGGTTTTTTTCAACAGTTATGTTTTAATTTGCATCACACATTATTATTACAAATTACAATTATTATTATTATTATTATTATTTATTAACTAGAAAATGGCTTTTTCAGTAAAAATGCAGGCTGAGAGCTGAATGACTGCAAATTTACTGACGTTGAATTTGAGTTGTTAGAGCTAAAATAAGTAGATCTCAAGCTAAATGCTAAAAGAAGCCAAACTAGCTGAAAACTATAAAGAGCAAAATGTTTGTTAAATCCTAAAAGAGGAAAACACTTGCTAAAAGTAGCAAAGGTTTAGCTAAAATTAGCAAGAGGCTAGCTAAAAGTAGTCAAATGCTAGCTAACATTAGCAAAAAGGTTAGCTAAAAGTAGCAAACAGTTAGTTAAAAGTAAAAAGAGGCTAGCTAAAGTATCAAAGGGGTAGTTAAAATTAACAAAAGGCTAGCTAAAAGTAGCAAAATGCTAGCTAAAAGATAAAAATAGAAAACAGGATCGTTAAAAGCAACAAAAGGCTAGCTATAAATTAAAAGTTGCAAAATGATAGTTATAAAAATAAGAACAAGCAGCAGAATATCAGCTAAAAGCTAAATTAGCTCAGTGGTAGCTAAATAACCACAAGAAGACAAAAATAGAAAGTATGTTAAAGCATAATAAAATAAAACAGTATTTTTGAAGAAATAGACAAGATCTTGATGCATTTCTAAAGGGAAATAATGTAAATAAAGTTAAATTTATTACCCAAAAGTCGTGGTACCCATCTCCTGAATGAACGTTAATATAAATGAGTGTTGTTATTTTTTTAATATATATATGAATGACTAAAATAGTACAAAATGTGCAGAAGTAGTTAGACAGCAAAAATCGTACAGGAAAATAAAACAAGAGTGAATTTGTATTTACATGATGAGTAAATGATAAATCACTGAATATGTTATTTATTGTCCTCAAACTCGCTGTAACAGATACAGTACTGACAGTACAGTACAGTACTGCAGGCGTTAATCTCATACACTGAAGACCCTAACTCTGCAATCTTAAAACAAAAAAAAGAAGCAGCATTTTATTTCCACTTGTCCTCACATTTTTTAATTTTTTGTCTTTTTTTTTAATTAATTTTTTTAAGGGAAACTAAAGCGATGCGTTACTTACCATTCACCTGTTGAGGAGAATACGGCTCTGAGCTGGAGTCTGGTGGGGATTCAGGAAGTGTCCTGAAATTATTGATAAAGAAAAACAGAACACCGCAAATGTTTCACTCATAAACACAAAAGTCTAGTTTTGAAAACCACAATTTAAAAATATAATAAAATATGCTGTAACCCACTCCCAACGTCCCAAATACTCCATTAGGATCACAACAATTTCATGTTTTTTTACACGAGATTGGATGCGTCAGATTTTCTCTGAAGGGTGTAATCTGATTCTCCTCTGTCTGTTATCAGTCCCCTTCCCCTACAGAATCAACCAGCTAAAGTTTTATTGGGACAAATGAAGCTTTATCAAAGTGGACCTGTAGATGGCTGTGTTTTGTCATACAGGGTAAACACAATTCTGTGCTACAACTTGTGACAAGTTTTAATGAACAATTTATTTCTTTTATGCATTTTTGAATAAACATCCATTGATCAGCTCACCCTGGAGCGTAGTGCCCCCTGTGCTCTGGTTTGATGTGAGCTTGTTGCTGCTGTCCCAGGCAGGGGTAACCGTGCCGAAGACCCACGGACGGCCCTTGGGGGTAGGCGTTCTGACAGCTGGAGGGCCCAGGTGGAGGGGCTCCTTGGCGCAGTAGAATAGGGGGGCTCACACCACAAGCCAGTCCTCCAGAGGAGGACACTCCTGCCTGAGGAGATGAGTAATTAGGTCCTGGTGCACTGTGGACCTCTGAGAAACAGCTGGGAAGACGGGGAAAAATAAGGAGAAGAGAGAAAGACGGGATTAGCCTTATCAGGAAAAACAAATTCCTTTGTAACGACATGATGTGGTTGGGGTGTTTTGACGTTGCTGGGTTGGCCCAGAGTCCCTACTGACATGTCAGCGCTATCGTCCTCCTTGCTGATGTACTCTTCCAGGATACTGGTGTCGATGTTGGCTGGCTCCAGAGAACTGGTAATATCATGACCTGCGGTGAAGGGAGGGTTGGGAACATGGAGGTAGAGTGGGGTGGGAGTGGGGGGGGGAGAACATTTGGGGATTAGCAAATGGAATCCTTCAGCAGTTCCACACGGTGCCACAGCTGCCCTGGTTTCAACACAAGCTGGTGTTGTCACCATTCTCTTGAATTTTGAATACAATCTCACCGAAAGAACAGAGTTTGTTGAAAGCAGCGTAGTATTTACCTTATGCACTGGCATCATCTTGAACATGTGATAAAGATGTTGCTAAAAGAAGAGCTTTGATTGGCTGAAAGTAAATTTAAGGATTAAGCTTTAATGGAAGGACGTGGTTATTCTGATGATTCGGTACAATTAATTCATTATCCGTTTAATAATAACATCAGCTGATAGTTGCTGTGTTTACTGTAGCTGCATTATCCCTATACAAACAGTGACAATGATATTGTCCTTTAGAACTTTACAACAATTTGATCATCATCTGCCACAGAAACATGAAGGCGGACGACGATGTTTTCTCCCAGATGTGAACATGTGTTAGTGTGTTCGTTACCAAACATCTAATCAACCACTGGAATCGTGCAGAACATAATTGATGAACTTTTCGAGAAATTTTATCTTTTAATGAAATAATTAGAGATCACATCCAGGAACACTTGCTCCTGTTTCTGCTTTTTATTTTATTCTATTTTTTTTTTCTTCAGTTTTTTTGATTGTTGTTACTTTTATGTCGGTGTTGCTTTTGTTTGAAATTTTGAAATGCTTGTATTGATATGTTTATTTTATACTAGTGTTATACTGTATTTCATTGGTTGTATTGATGGTATTGTTTTATTTTCGTATAGCAGATCTCTCTTGCAAACAAGACAATTGTGTTTCAATGAGACTAACCTGCATTACTAAAGGAAATTAATGAAAAAACTTGGTCAGTTTTACATATATTGCCCTAAAGTTTGGTATGGTAGTAGCTGAGAGTGATTCCCAGCAGATATTCATATCACTAAGTGATTGTGCTACATCGTTCTTTAAAAAAATGTGGCATTGACTATCGCTAGTCAACTCTGTCTGTCTGTTAGCAAAATATATTATAAAGCAATGAATGGATTTCAATGAAACATTCTGAAAATAGTCATTGCATGAATGTTTACAACTCTTGAACTTTTGGCATTGCCCCAATTCAAGACGGCTGCCACAACCTTCTGATTTTAGAAAACCCATAAATGGCTATTAGTCAGTCAGTTTAGCAGATATCAAGCTAACATTTAATGTTTGCAGCTGAGACTGATTGTCTCTGAGTGTGAGATACTGCGACGTCGCACGAGACTGAGAGTGAATTATTTTCAAGATTTGATCAATCCTTTTTTCCAAATCATTTCTCACCGCAAGATCATCCTCTAAAACTAGTCTGAAGGGCTGTGGGTGACATGCATTCCTTCAAGGCGTTTAATTTACTGAAATTTTAAACAACGTTCACAAATTGCAATATATGTTTTCCATACAAGTGGAAGTTTTTATAGCCACACTCGTGGGTCATTTTCAGTCCTTTGAAAGCAAAGCCTCGCAAATCCCAAACATATGACCCCACTTAATCTCACTTGCACCTGCTTTCTTCTATGTATATATATATATTTTTTTAAAAGTACACAGACCATTTTATTCATATAATGGGAGGCAATTTCTTAAAACGTGCATCAAATTCCAAAGTACAGCTAGAAACATGGTGATTATAGTAGAAAACAGAACAGCAGAGGGGAAAATACAAGAACTTGTTCTATGGTGGGTGGGCATCTCCATTTTTTTAACCCCCCCCCCCCCCCCCCCACACACACACACACACACAGTGCACACTTGGTCTTCCCCTAATAGATTAAGAAGCTGAGAATGTGAGGAATTTTTGTGTTAGTATTAGAAAATATTTCAACTTTTCCCCTTTAAAATAATCTTCTGCTCGCTGCCACCAGAAGCGTCACTGAGTTATTAATGTCCCGGTTTCTCTTAACATTCTCCGTAGTTTTCTACTGTTTGCCTTAAAGGTGACTAATTCATCGCACGCTCTTACGAGGAACAGTCAGTTTGCAACATCCAAGTGCTTAGTTCACAGAGGACAATGAGATAAACGTTCACAACTTATAGTCATCAAAGCAACAAACCAAAACCTCCAGTTCCAAACTAATTATATAAGATTTACTGTTTAACGTGATAAATTCTTTTGCTGCCACTTTTAAAACAATCTTTGTTGGATATAAACAGCTGGTTGATGTCTCATGATGCATGGCAGTGCAAGGGTAAAAAAAAAAAAAAAAATCAGGATGGTTTCCCTTAAATGAGATCCAGATGTGCACCCCACCCAAAGAGGCAGTAAATTTAAGCTGGCAGGCCTGATAAGAGAAAATAGAGCGATGTGGGGAAAGAGGAGGTAAGATGGATGGGGGCTACATGTGGAGAGAAAAACTAAGTGAAAGTTTGATGTTGGAGGATGGAAAGACAGAGAAACAAACCAAAACAGAGAGAAAATGGGACTGGAAGCTACACTACCACACACTGCCATGAAAGGCTGGTGATCATGTAACTGCATGTGTGTGTGTGTCTGGCTGTTAGAAAAATATCCCATGGATCACTGGATAGATTTTAATGAAGCTTTCAGAAAGTAATCATTAAATGTACATCTACCAGGGGCGATTCTAGGATCTGACCTTTAGGGGTGCTTAGCCCCCAGTACTGACAATGGCTCTTGACTTGAACAACGCACCGCATGGTGTGGTTTGTGAGACGTTCAAAGGCTGAAGCACCCAGGTGGTCTCCCATCCAAGTACTAACCAGGTCTGATCCTGCTTAGCTTCTGAGATCAGACAAGCTCAGGTGTTCAGGGTGTATGGCCGTAAACGAGGAGCTTGGTCGCAAACAGGACTTTTAAAGGATCATAACAAACAAAGACTAAATTTATGCAGCCACAAGTTACAACATATACCTACATACAAAATAAAGCACTACTAGTTTTAAGCATTAACCTTTAATTTAACCATTAACCTATGACTGCAAAGCATCTGTAATGCAAAACTCCAACAATGCTGTTGGAGGAAAAGGGGGTGGAGCTCCTGCAGGTAAGAGGCGTTTACCTTCAAACAAATTGAGGTCGCTCATTGGTCTGTTGCTGACGAGCGTACTGGGTTAGTACGTGATTAGACTCGTGCAAAAAATAAATTAAATCTGATTTTATTGGTCTGTTTAGAGCATCATCAATCTTTCCATATTTATTTCAAATTTATTGAATATTTTGGTGAATTTAAGGTTTGAGAACTGAGCTTCCTTACAAAATCCTAATAATGTTTTTACATTTTTCAGGGGTGCTGAGTTAAAATTTAAGGGTGCTTGAGCACCCCCCCAAAAAAGGCTAATCACCACTGACATCTACAAATTATTCTGTTTCAAGATGGCCACCACAGCTAAGCAGACCTATCAGCACAACAATGGCTACCGCTCAGTCAGTCTTAGACTTAATGAGCTAATATTGTTTGTGGTAGTAGCTGAGGATAATCCCCAACACATGCTCAGAGTGTTAACAGATGGTCTTTGTTTAAATGATGGCAAGTCAGCAGGTGATACAAGGAGTACTAGTTTCAGTACTAGTTTCAGTACTAGTTTCAGTACTAGTTTTGTTGTGCATCTAGTTATCGCACCAGTTGCACATCGTCTTACACTCAGAGCCATCAATGAAATTAATCGTAAAACTACAAGGACAAGCCCTTTTTGAAATCTACTGAAGAGACCGGGATGTCTGCTCTCTTTCCTTTACATTTATTGATTTATTTATTAAATCTGCAATGACTCATGTTTCTAAAAACTTGGGATTATCAAATCAAACAAACAGGTTATTGGCATATTTTATATTCACTATTTCACCTAATACAGTAAAGAAAAATGTCCATTAGACGTATTTTTGGCCATTTGACAAAAATAAATACAATCCTTCTACCAAAATAGTTTTTATCTTTGTCTGTTTGACATTTGGTGAATTTACACCAATGAGTGATTACTGAAGCTTGAAACTGTTGTACGAACGTCGCACCAGTGAACCAGAACTACAATGCTTTGGCAGCTGAACAATGAGATGATATGAAAGTAATAATGTTTTCTTGAATAAATGAGCATTTTTCAGGTCTCTCTTGTAAATGAGTCCTCGAGGCTCAATGGGATTTACCTGTATAAATAAAGGTTGATTGATTTTGTCTATTTTTGAAGTATGTGTTGACCCACGGGCAGAATTTTTAAGTTTTCTCCTATTTGGAATTAATTGCAAATTCAGATTCAAGATGGCCATGACAGCTAATCAAGCTGAACCAATCATAGCTATAACACACACACATCTTTAATTCAATTCAATTCAGTTTATTTTTATAGCGCCAAATCACAACAGAAGTCGTCTCAGTGCACTGAACAGAAACATCCACATACATAAAAAGTTCATAATGTACTTTATTTAGGGAGCAGATATTATTTACAGATATTAAGCTATTGTGAGAAAGTAGCTAATAGTTTTCCTTAACATATATAGAGATCTAATTAGATCTTTGCCTAAAACTTTGACCTGCAGGACAAGATAGCAGGTGATAGGAAATATTTCAAGTAAAGCTCGTTTTACAGAGAAATTCAATTTTCTGCACATAATTTTCACAGACAATGCAGAGAGAATGATGAGTACATGACTTTGACCTTTACAGAATAAGCTGAAACTTAGATAAAAGCTAAATGCGTCACAAGGCTAAAACAGCGGTGGGGGTGGGGGGTGGGGGGTGGGGGGGAGTAGCAAAATGTCAGCTTAAAGCAGGGGTTCTCAAAATTTTTGAGTTCAGGGAACCCTCACAGGGAAGAAAAAGTTTCAAGGATCCCGCTCATAACCCTCATATCTATTAAACAATTTTCTTCAGTTTGTCTCTTCAATGAAAAGGAAATACTTGTGTAACATAAATACTTAAGACCTGTTCTTTAATAGTGTTAATACACTTTTTAT